GCTGCCCAAAAAACGGCAGTGTGGGGCCCACTTCTCCCTCTGTCACCTGAGGGGAAGGTGGCTGCAAGGCTCTGTACAACGCGCCCTTCTCTGGCTTGTTTTGCCCCTGGGCGCAGGGCGTGGGCGCCACCCCAGGCATTCCCTGGGGAGAGCATTCCACAGATGGGGAGCCACTACAGAAAAGGCCCGTTCTCATGTTGCCACCCTCTGGAACCCTCATGGAGGAGGCGCATATAGATGGGTCTCAGAGGGTGAGCTCAGGGTCCAGGTCAGTTCATATGGGGAGAGGCAGTTCTTGTGGTATTGCAGTCCTGAGCTGCTTAAGGCTTTATAGGTCTAAAGCAGCACTTTGAATTGTAGAATCCATTTTCTAGAATCTGTTCTGCCTGGTTCAGAAAAGGTTACTGAAAGATGGGAGCAGCCAAGCTGGCTCATCTCGCTTAGCAGAGTACCTGCACCTTTTGCTTCATAATTTTCTTTCAAGGAGGGCCAGAGACATTCTCTTTTTCAAAAATGTATGTGGTTTCTTTCCCCGGTGGGGGGGGGGGACTGCTGACTGTGAGCCTGGTACGTCAGTACCCCTTGTCCCCACTTCTTGGCAGCCCTCCACGGTGCTTTGGCGCGTTCCTTTGAGATCACCAGGGCATCTTCCAGGTGCACCATCACCATGGAAGTTTGAGGAGGTCCAATCCCCTTGAAAAGATTTTTGGGGGTGCAGGCCCCCAATTACCCCTAGATGGTGCCCCTGGTTTTGCTCCTACCTAGAGAGTTGCTACAATAAAATAGCATTCAGGGACAGTAGGGAGTCAGACAGCAGCAGTATCTCAGGCCCCTGGCAGTTGTGGGATCCTGCAAGGTTCCATCTCGTCTCCAATGCTCTTAAAATTGGAGCTCCAAGAATTTGGGTCATGATGCCAACAATATGCAAATGACACCCAGCTGTGTCTTCATTGCATCCGAATACAGAGAGGCTATGCATGTGTTTGATGAGGGCCAGTAAACTGAGGCTGACTCTTGGTAAGACTTGCTCTATGGGTAGCTGGCTCCTGGGTCCCAGAATTAGCTAGACCATCTGTTCTTTTCTTTTTTAAAAAATAATTTTTATTCATTTTCCAAACAAGTTTTATACAATCAACAAATTGTTTTACACTCATGCTTCAATTTTTGACTTCCCTCAGTTTCTCTGTCAATCTTTCGAAAAATTTCTATTTATTGACGCATTTCTAAACATAATATTGCCTTTCCCCACTCCTTTTCCTCTTACTCTCTTTTTTGCAGTATTTCTTACTATTTCACAGAGTCTCTTCAAAACCAACAAGCATTGTCTGTACATCACATATATTTTTCAGATATTCTGTAAATTTCCCCCAGTCCTCGATAAACTTTTGGTCTTTCTGGTATCGAATCTTCCCAGTCAATTTGTCCAGTTCTGAATATTCAGTCAATTTCCTTCTCCATTCTTCCACTGTTGGAATTTCTTCGTGTTTCCATCTTTGGGCCAGAAGTATCCTTGCGGCAGTCACTGTATATTGAAACAGTTTACAGTCTCTCTTATTGATTTCGTTTCCTACCATTCCTAATAGAAAGGCTTCTGGTTTTTTTAACAAACGTATATTTCAACATCTTTTTCAATTCATTGTATATCATTTCCCAGAAGTCTTTCGCCTTTTTACACTCCCACCACATATGATAGAAAGTACCTTCTTTTTCTTTACATTTCCAACACTTATTGCATGTTTTATACATTTTGGCCAGTTTAACTGGCGTTATATACCATCTGTAAAACATTTTCATTACATTTTCTTTCAACGCAGTACATGCCGTAAATTTTAGCCTTTCATTCCATAATTTCATCCAATCATCATACTGTATATTGTAACCAAAGTCTCTTGCCCAGTGTATCATTACTACTTTTACCTCTTCATCTTTTGTATGCCACTCCAGCAACACTTTATACATTTTAGACAGGTTTTTATACTCATTATTCAATACCTCCACTTGGAGCTAGACCATCTGTTCTAGGTGGAATAGCACTCCTCAGACATAGCAATTGTATAGTCTGGAGGTACATCTCCATTCTAGGCTGTTGTGGAGACCCAGTTGGCCTCAGTAGTGCAGACGGTGTGCAGAAAGCTGCAGATGGTTGGCTAGCTATGGCCGTTCCTGGGCTGGGAAAAGCGGGTGGCAGAAGTTCATGCTGTGACCACTTTATACTTCTGCATGGAGTATTTATTTTTTTAAGTAGCGGTAAGTAATCTGGTCTATTTTGCTACCTAATTCCTGCATGCCTAGACCCTACTTATACTTAAGGTCACTTTCAAAACAGTACCACACAATCGTTTATATTTTAGGGATTAACATTATGGAATAAATTAAAGATTCTGTATTGACAAAGGCTGCAATTCTGTTCACTCTTACCCTGGGAGAAAATCTCACTGAACTGAGTAAAATTGCAAAAGATTGCATTGTTAGGCAGGCTGAAATCTTATGTCCATTTACCCGGGGTGCAGTATGGTGGAGGAATGGAGCAACACAAGTAGCATTGATGGGAGAGATGAGGGGGGAAACAGGACAGAGAGCAGCCCTGAGGGGCAGGTGTGTTTGGGTAATGATCCACTGTGGGAGAGAGAAAGACGTGGCGTGAGTTGGCTGACAGAGAGAAAGAGTTTGCCTTCTGTGAAATGTTATTTGTTTCGGGTTTTGGCCTTTTGTGAAAGGGTGTTCTTTTGGAGCAGAAAGCTATAGGTTCCAAGGATTTGCTGTTGTGTTTTGGGACTCAGACTCAACCTCTGCTTTGTACTCACTTCCTTCCTAGTCTTTTTTGCCTCCCAGTTTCCTTCTGTCTGCCTTTTGAGAATGGGCCTGCCCCCCACTCCCTGACAGCCATTTTGTGGTGGTGCCCTTACTGCTTCCTCAAAATTCAAAATGTGCTTACAGACCAAACACAATTGGGACTCCTATGGTAACTCCTATGACAAGTCTGTGGGGGTGGAGGACCTTGTTAGGCCCATGCCAAGGCTCCCATGCCAGGAGGGCCCCTGGTGCCAACACACCTAGAATCCCTGGCTTTCCTCCTCCTCCTCACTGTAGCTGCCTGTTGCCTTATCTTGTCTAAGCAAATGAGCAGGGACAAGACTGGCTGCAACAAGCATCCTCTTTTCCTCCTTTTTTTAATAAGATATTTATTAGGCTTTTTTAAAGTATTACAATAAAAATGAAAAAACAAAAAACAAAAATACAAAATAAAAATAGTTAAAAACACACAGATTTTCCATTGCTTGTTTTCCTTTAGCTTGTTTCCCGGACCTCCTCATACCTCCCTTTTTTGTATTCCAGTTCAATTTGTTGGTTCAGCAAATCCTTACCCTCTTTATTTATCCTAATCTTTAGTCTTAAAATAGTAACGTTAAATTTTTGCCTATTAACAACCCATTTTTTATAAACCCTTCAAGCATTACAGCTGGAAACCACTTAATTTCTATCCAACATCATTCTAACATTCATTAATTTTACAATAATTCTGTAGATAGTCTTTGAATTTCTTCCAATCTTCTTCCACCGACTCTTCTCCCTGGTCTCAGATTCTGCCAGTCATTTCTGCCAGTTCCATATAGTCCATCAGCTTCATCTGCCATTCTTCCAGAGTGGGTAGATCTTGTGTCTTCCAATACTTTGCAATGAGTATTCTTGCTGCTGTTGTGGCATTCATAAACAAGCATCCTCTTTTCCATTCATCTTCAGGTAGCTGTACCCAATGAGAGACAGTAAATTAATGGGCAGTTCTGGCACCTTCATTATGCAGTTTCCACTGTATGTTTTATCCTGGCATTTGACATCTGAGACCCACTGACTCTGCGCCTGAGAAGGTAATGTTTTAAACATTGTTTTCCATATTGAATTTTTAATTGTTGTAACTCACCCTGGCACCTGCTGGTGAATGGCGGGTGATAAACCAAATGAAAACTAAATAAATATGAGGAGGGATTAGGACCCTGCATAGAAGAGTCTTATGAAGAGTCTCTTCCCCAAATCCACCACCCTAAATCTTGGAGCCAGCAGTCTTTTTTTGCCTTTCATTCCCTCCCTAGAAATTATGTCCATCACTATTCACCTCTTGGGGTTAGAATACCACTATTATGAGGATGGTGTCGATAATGAAAAGAATTTATATCCCACCTTTCATGTCAAGAAAAGAACTTTTTGCTCCAAATGTGCCTGCCTGCACAAATAAGACCTTCAACAGAGGCCCTCCTCTGGGGGGCTGTCAGAGAAGGGCCTGTAGTTGGTGGCCCCTCAACTGCAAGATTTAGTTCCCAGGGAGACTCACCTGGTGCCTATTTTGATTTCACTGAATGTCAGATAAATCATGGGATTGTAGAGCTGGAAGGGACTCCAGTGGTCATCTAGTCCAACCCCCTGAAGTGCAGGAATCTCCACTCACAGCTGCTGTTTTATGCTGGTTTCTTAAACTGTGCTGCTTTCAAGTTGTTTTTGATTTAATTTGCCGGTTTTGTTTTGTCATTTTATTTTTGTGTGCCTGTCTCCCAGAAACTTACACAGAAAGCACACACTTTTGAGGAATGAAGAATTGGGGAGGGGGGGAGGTGATAAAAGGTGATCACCAATTGTAGTTTCTGAAAAACATCCTGCCAAGAGAGGAATGAAATGAATAAATAAAATGACCATCCTGGCCCCCTTTCACATGCCTTCCCACACCTTTGCCCCTGCAGTACAATAGGCATATTAAAGTATGAATCATCATCCAAAGCAGAAAGCAGCCCCCACCCCGGCCGCCCGCCAACTTTTAAATACATGTTTCCTAGAAAGTAGCCAGTTCCGCCCCCTCCCCATCACCCCCCCCCCGTGCTTCAATGCCTGTGCTTTAGGAATGCCACAAGGCAGATCTCAGATTACAGCAAAAAAGCACATGATATCACCCATTTGAGTCTCAGCTGGCGTTGGCTGCGTGTGAGGGGGTGGGCCGGGGAGGGGTTTGCCCTGAGAGGAAGACTCCTGTGAAATGTGCAAGAAGAGGCTCTTCTCAGCTGCTGCCAGGCTCAGTCCGGGAGAGGCGCTTTATGCAAGAGGATCCTTTCCCCGCAAGGTGTCCTGCCAGCAACTGCCAGGTAAGAGCAACCACTAGAGAATTAGTGCGTGTAATGATGTCCTGTACTTCAGCTGATGGCGCTACAGAGACAGCAGCAAACCAGGAAGAGTTACTCTCTCTGCGGGTGTTTGTGGGCACATGCATTTCTCTCCCGCTTTCTCCTTTTTTCAGGGGCAAAGGCACTGCCTTTGGTGCCATCTGCATTCAGAGACCTGGAGGAGTCAACATGCAGAGTGTGGGGCGCTGCTCCGTAGACCCCGTGCTTTGCAAGCAAAAGGTCCCAGATTCCGTCTTTGGGGTCTCCAGCTAAGACTGGGAAAGACGTCTCCTGTCTGAAACTCTGGAGAAGCGTAGTCTCTCGCTCGCCGGACTGGCTGCTTCCAGGTTCTGAGCCATAGCTGTCAACGTTTCCCCTTTTTTAAGGGAAATTCCCTTATTCCGAATAGGATTCCTCGCAAGAAAAGGGGAAAGTTGACAGCTATGTACCACTGCTGGCAGAATGCTTTTTCAGAGACGGGGGTGATCAACCTTTGAACAGCCGCTTTAGACAGAGCCGCTGGAGACCTGAGAGTCCATTTGCTCTTCCCTTCAAACTTTCTGTCAGCATCATGAACTGTCCCGGGCATAAGAGGATAAAATGTAGGAGAAGGGGAGGGGGGAACCCTTTCATACATCTCAGTTGGGTCAGATTGAATAATCTGTGGGGCCAGGGGGCTGGGAAAAGTGTTCATTGCAACTCAGTGCACTCCAGCCTAAAATGCAGCTAGGTCGTTTTCTCAATTCCCAAAGGAACGACAGGATGAAGGATAGATATGGATTGTGACTAACTTCATGTGCAAACCTCTTCCCAAACCAGCAGTGGGAGCACACAGGATGCAGAGTAAGGGGAGCCGCGAACACAGCCACTTTCCCATTCTTTGTTCTTGGACAAGGGGAGCCAATACTGCATATTAGGAGGAGATAAAAGTCTGGATTTGAGGAGACCCAAATTCAAACATGCCTGATCTGCTCCAAAGCTTGCTTATGGATACTGGGCCTGCCTACATATTTCACCCTAGCCTACCTCACAAGGCTGTTGTGAGGACAGAAAGAGCTTATGATTTTATTTTATTTTATTTTATTTTACAAAATAAATCTAAATAGATAGATAGCTACAAATCCTGCTCTGGGGTCCTTGGAGGATAGATGGGAAGCAGCATGTGTTAATGGGAAATGCTTTTTTATATATAAAAATACCAATATCAAAATGCTGTGACTTTGCAGATATGAGTCTATTGCCAGACTGACTCTTTCCACCATGCAGTCCCTGACCTAATGAGGCAGAAAGAGAGGACTGCTAATTGCCCACAAGTCGGGACAGTAAGCATTCAGCAATGTTGTTAGTAGTGTTTGTTTCACCTTAGGAAGCCACAGATCAGAATTGTGTGTCAATTCAGCTATTACAAAATGGTGAGCCAGCCCTGCTTAATAATAATAATAATAATAATAATAATAATAATAATAATAATTTTATTTATATCCTGCCCTCCCCAGCCGCAGCCAGGCTTTAGTGGGTTCCCCAACTTCTGCCTCACGACGCTGCTGATGGTGCCACTCTCAGGCTTCAGAGTGAATGTTCAGAAGGGTTTGGCTTAAGGAAATCAGATGTGCAGTGTTTGTGAATCTGATAGATAAAGACAAGGCGAATAGTGGGAATGAATAGTACTGATAACCTCACAGGCTAGTTATGACCTGAGGCTGAAAAAAGTGCATTGCAAACTAAAGGCAGTGGGGCACGGAGGGGGCACCAGCCATATAAAAGTGATAGAATCATAGAATGGTAGTTTGAAGGGACCTTGGGGGTCATCTAGTCCAACCCCCTGCAATCACAGCTAAATCCTAGAGTTACATCGTAAACTTTATGGCTGAGTGGGGATCCCTGATCCTAGTCCAACACCATAACCACTATACCACATTGTCTCTACAGAGAGGGGGGAGGGGGGAATTTCCTGGAAGTCAGAAGTTTGAAAACACCCACTATGGATAGTTGTATCCGTCGGTCCCGAGCCAGACTCAAAAAGGATTTGGAGTGGCCTTCCTATGGTGAATATCCTGAATCAGAGGTGTGTGTGGTTTTTCCAAAGTACTCCCAGATGTGGGAGCTCAGGGGACTGTAATATAAACGTCATTTGACGGATTCTTTCTGGACCCTTATGTAGTGCTTTGGTTCATGGCTCCAGGAGATCCCTGCCTCTTCTGAGGATCAAATAACAGGTGTCACCTACTGAAGTGTGTGTGTGGAATCTCTGGAAATGCACAAGGGAGGGCCAAAATTTAGATAAAGTGACTTTGTAAGCAAGATATACCTGTATACAAAGAGCATGGAGAAGTTGATGGTGATGACTGGGCTGAGGAGGAGGTAGGGTGGGTTATCTGTAGAGTCACAAAATGTGTGTGTGGGAGGCACTTCTATGTAGGAAACTATCTGTGTGTGTAGGAGCATTCATCCTGCTCATGTGTGAGAGACATGTGTGTCATTGGCCCATGTGATGGAATACATGTTTTTTCCAGGCCGGGTACCTATGTTTCTTTGTTGTGTGGGGAGCAGGGGAGATGCAAGGTGTATTGTGTTACCTTAAAGACTAAGAGTGAGACCTGATGTTAGCCATACTCAGAGTAGACCTACTGAAGTCATTTATTTCAGTGGGTATACTCAGAGTCTAACTATCATGGTGCTGGTAAATGAAATCAGCAAGGAAAGATACAGGGGTTAAAGATAAGCAAGATTGGATTTAGAAAATAGGTGCTTTCCAGTTCACACTTCAAGTTAAGCCCTCTTTTGTAAGAAATGTTTGGTGAGATCTTGCTGGAAACTGGTGCTGTTGGCATGGCAGTTTTCCACTGGAGGTGGGACATTTGTGGGGGCTCCACCTTGTGGGCTTCCACCACTCAAGGCGGTCACCCCAGCTTGCCTCATGGGCAGGCAAGGCCCTGAGTTTAAAGATCATAATTGTTGGGGAAAATAAATTTAAAAATTCACATTCCACTGTGTGTGTGTGCTTTGATGTTTTCTTAGGCTTGCTGTTCTATATTTTGGCACGTCAGCTTGTAATAGTCTGAATGCTGAAGGAAAAATTGCTGAGGGTCTTGTGAACTGGAACTGGGAACTGAACATGAATGACAGTAGTTCATTTTGTAAAGGAATTAGTTCCTTTTGGACATGCTGAACTAGAACTAGTTCTGTTTAAAAATGAACTTTCCAAACACTGTTGCAGACCCTCACCGTCTATGAATAGGAGGGCAACAGGAAACATGACTTTATGTGCACCTCACATAAGGGACAAGCCCTTAATCCACAGCCCTGATATGCCCCTGGTCTAGAAGTTAAAAGATAAGGCTAGAAGGAGGAAATCAACCCCCAAGAGCATTTGAACCTCTTGGCTTGTCTCTGGTTTGTGTCAGGGCAAAGGACAATGATCTGAAAGGAAACCTCATTATCTGAGATATGTAGAGTTTAGTGGACCACAAGCGCACTGACCAGGGAAACTGCTTCAAGCTGGCTCTGGCTATGTAAGTTTCACTCAACAGCAAAGAGTACACTCCATCCTACCCTTTGAAAGCAGTGTCCCATTCCTAGTCCACACTCATCTCCCCCTCCCTTACATACAAAAGGTCCCCAGTGCTATCCCTGGCAGCTCAAGCTAGGGCTGGGAAGACCCTGTGATCGGATGGGGAACTTAGGAGCCTCCAGACACGGTTGGACTGCAATTCCCATGATCCAAAACATCTGAAGGGCCACAGGTTTCCAATCCCTGGTGTAGAGAAAGCTCAGCTAGGTTGACCAGTTGTCTGACATGGCAGAATGCAGCTCCCTGGGCTCAGAGATTTAACACCGGCTCCTGGTGACAGGGCTTCCAGTTCAGCATGAAAACTTGCAAGCCCTATTATGTTGCATTCCGGATGAAGATTCCTTCATTGGAGGCTTTGGCCACTCAGCAAAAAAACATCATGTTGTGGAAGCTGAATTCTCTCCCAGTGGGCCCAGCCGAGCTCCATGAATCTGCTCTGCTTTTACCCTTTGTGATTTTCTTGTAAGAGTACAAACTGCAAAGGAATTCACAAAGCTTCTTGTAGTTAATGTAGGGGCTTTGAATGGCCGGCCCCTGTTCTCTGACGGCAGCAGCATTCATACATGACCTCATTTGGAAGCCGAGGTCTCAACTGGCACAAGAACTGATGTGTCTGTACAGTTTAGCATTGCGGAGGAACATCTTATAGCCTGATCTTGTAAACCCATGACCCTTCCTTAGATTATGATGGTGGTGGTGGTGGTGGTGATAGTATTCATATTCATAATCATAATCATAATTCTTAGCAAGGGAGGTCATAATTATTATCCTCATACTGCAGGTGCATGGGGGGGAAGGCTGAGACTAATACCCACTGGATTGCATAAGGCGACCAGGCTAGTTCATGTTTGAGGGGAAAGGTGAATCCAGGATATTCTGACTCACAGCGCAATCTCTTAATCATTAAAGTGCTGCTTTTTAGTATGCTGGTCTTCTTAGTTGTTGGGTCACCCTGGCTCATGGTGGATTGGATCAGTGGCGCCAGCATTGTTTTGTTTTTGTTTATTTGGGTTTGTTTTTTATGAGGAGAGCTGCTTCCAGTGAATTTCAGTGATGCTGAGGCACTGCTTTCTCGGCAGTTGACCGAAAGCCAAACCAAGTAGGAGGTTCCACACAGTCCATCTTATAGCGCTGTATTATCTAGCAATACCCAGACCCAACAGCCTTCAAGAGTATTTACTCACAAGTAGAAATACAAGTAGGAAATCTGTTCAATTTGGGTCCTCTCAGTTTCTCATTTTTCCAGTCTTAAATTCTGTTCTCCACATTTCCACAGCAATTTGTGGGTGTGTTTTTTTCATCCTCATGAAAATTCATCAGGATTGTAGTGCAAATTCTTCCCAATAAACACACTTTTGTATACAGTCTTGACTAATGTGCACATTTTCAAGCAATTTCCCCTAATATAATGCACTTTTGCATGCCATTTTCACTCGTCTGCATTTTAATACATTTCCCCCTAATACATTGGTTGGTGGAGAACTGCCTGACAACATTCAGAGAAGTGCAAATTTCAAAGGGTAGCTGTGCTTTGGTTCACATACTGGTTGAAGAAGTATGAATTAGGTGGTTTCTCATTAAAGTGCAAATGAAATAGAACTCCCCCATCCCCACGAGTCCTGTTCCACAAAGATGCTTTTTAACATTAATTAAATGTTTCCTGTTTGCAGATGCTTCCTGGTTTATGACTTCCTGTTGAGCATGATGGAGGATTAGTGCAGGGGGCCATGTGTGCTACTTTACAGGTGATAGTGCTCTGTAAAAGGACAGCTTTCTATCTGAAGGGCTGCCTGGCCTTCCAGGTTTAAATATAACCCTAGAAAGAGAAAGTAGGGGCCTTGAAGTTGCTCATCAACAGCATCTGACACGGGAGGCCCAGAGGCGACTTCCTCCCAGTCTTCCCAGCGAGGGCGGGATGTGTTAGCAAATGTATCTGTTGGATCATAAGCTCTTCCACCAGCACATGCCCACCAGTTGGATGCAGGGGTGGGTGGGAACGGAGATGTTTAGAATCCTTCCTCAGAGCAGGAAACGTGACTCCAACAATGTTTGATTCTGACCTTGCTAAGGTTCTGCAATGCTCTGTAACATGAAGAACTGCCATTTTTTCCAGGGTAAACCACATTGAAAAGCTATTAAACCCAATTAATCATCTCCGGCAGTAGAAGGAGGGGATCTGTTGTAATAGCTTTTCAGCATGTGACTGTTTTAAAGCTTCTGCTTTCAGGAGAGCAGGAAATAATAGCATACATCATGCAGATATGAAGGGGTTCCTGCATGGCCCTGTTAAGTGGGGCTCTCAAAACCGGAAACATTGTACCTTTCAGAGTACCAACAGGTGTACACCAACTGTCCCAACCTGGTGCCTTCCAGCTTTTTTGAACTACAGCTGCCATCACCCCCAGCCAACATAGTCAGTGATCAGGGATGATGGGGGTTGTAGCTATTTGGAAAACTAGGTAGAGGAATGGGGCCTACACATACAATTACACTCACCCCAAATGGCATGATCGGACCTGCTTTGGTAATGCTAACTCCATCTGCGTTTCAGCTGTTTGAATTAAGAGCGTCTCTATTTGAATTCTGAACAGAATGCTCTTGCAAGCAACTCATGTTTGCTCTATCAGCTCAGGCCTGCAAAGCTTATCTAACATTGCTCTTTAGGAAACATGGGTGAACCTCCAGGTTCAGATGCAGTATACCTCTAGATACCAGTTGCTGGGTAACAACAACAGGAGAGAGCTGTTGCATCCATGCCCTGCTTGTGCCCTTCCATGTTGGCCCCTGTGGGAAACAAGATCCTGGTTTAGACCTTTGGAGTGATCAGGCAGGTCAGCAAAACTGGCAGCACCATCCATTTATTATTATATGTATCCCATCTTTCATCTGTGAGGCAGGGTCGGCTGAGAGACAGTGACCAGCCCACTGAGCTTCTTGGCCAAGTGGAGTTTTGAACTTTGGTCTTCTGGGTCTGACACTCCAGCCACTGCACCACATTGGTTCTCCAAGAGTGCAACGCTTAGCAAAAGGCTGGTCTTCTCTTTCCCTTATCACGTTTTTGCACTTGGTGCTGAAAACAGCCTCGTTCCTAGATGTCTGTTTATGAGCTGATTCTTTCCTGTGTTTTGGCGGCTGCTAGGGAGAGTAATCCTACTCTGGGAAATCCAGTGGTGGGCTTCTCTCGCTGCTGCCTGGCCTCGCTTCACATGGAAGCTATTCCACACACATGGCCCTTCCGACCGCTTCACGTGCCGCTTGCAAGGATGACAAAAGAAATTGGCAGCGAGTGAACCAGCCGGCTCAGTTTGAGGCCAAGAAGCCAGGCTCACGTTTCTGCCTTGTCTTTTTAAGTCCCTCCCCAGCTGAATCAGAGGGTCTTGAGATGCTCTGAGCATGTCCCTGTGGTTTCAGCCCCTGCCCCCCACCCCCAGCATAAACTGTTGGCCGGGAAGGAAAATGATGCACAGGCAGGGGGTGGCAGGCCACTCTCCCTAAAAGTGGAGAGGGGAGAATCTCATCTGGGTCTTTTTGGTGGTCCTGTGGTTAAAACCAGACATTCAGTAATGGAAATACTCCGTACATGACATCATTTCAGGGGCCTTGTGGGAGGGGGATATTCTCTCTATTGTGAACAGTGGGCCACAGTATTTATTTATTTGAGGATCTGCCACTTCCTTCTTTTTTTATTAAACATGGTACAGAGGGAGACACAGAAAGAAGGAATGAAAGAGAGAGAATGACCCAACTCACAGTTTAAAGGAACTGTTTGCTTATATCATCATTGGTTTCTGTTGTTTATTACATCTCTACCCCACCCTTCCTCCCAGAGGAGCCCAGGACTACAAACAGAGAGTAATAGAATTTAAAATGAAATGAAAATACTTCAAGCATAGGAAAACTTTGAGAGCATTTTAAAACAGCAGCACAGCTAATAATCTCAAGGCTGCTGGGGTCTCTCTCAGCCAATAACAGGAGTGTTTTAAAATTCCTCCTGAATGTTAATAAATGGGAGCCGCTGCCACGAAGGCCCTGCCACACATCAGCACCAAGCAGGCAGTACAGGTTGTTAAACAGATCAAAATCCTCCACATCCGTTCTTTTTGGGATACAGGTTGGGAGGGCAGGAATGAAGACGAAGCAGATGTGCTCAGTGGATCCAGCATTTTATCATATATGCTAACAGCAAACTCAGTTCTCTAGGTGTTTTTCTTTTAGTCGCCAAAATGGCACCACCCACAAAAAGATGGAGGCTATTGGTAACCTCAGAAGAACCCCAACTTTTGCAGAAATACAAAAACAAAAAAACAAAAAACAAACCACACACAACTTCATTGGGGGGAAAAAACCTTCTGTTGGACTGAACAGCCCCAAAAACAGGCCAATGAAGGTTAAGCATGTTCAGTCGCTACAGAAAGTTAACTGACTATTGTGGGGGGAAACAACAACAACAAAAATCAGGAAAGGGAACAGAGTATCCTGAATGAAACTCATCCTTTTGATTCATTGATTAAACATCTTGTGCTTAATTCAAACCTTGAGCCCAATTAACAGTGTTATTTAATTAACAGAGTTAAGTGTTTAAGTTATTGAGGGTTTTGTGTTTATATTCCACTGTACTTTTGTTCCTCACATTTCTTAGATTTCTTACCTACCACTTCACCATAACATCCCAGGGTGGGTTACACAACCAAAATGCAATATTGCAATCAGTTAAGGCTATTTCTCCTTCAACGTTTAGCTGGCTGCTGGCTTTGGCTGGCTTGGAGAGTTCCCTTGCCCTTCTCCTGAAGCTCAGTGTGAGCCCTGGGAAATTCCCCTTGTTTGGAAGATTCAGGAGGAGGGCAGGGGAACTGACTGATCTTGTGGTGAGTCTCTCTAGTGGCTGCGAAAGCAGTGGGATGACTTTCTTTCCCAGGCATCTGAGGTTCAGCACAAGCCACAGAATCATAGAACTGTAGAGTTGGAAGGGAACCCAAGGGTGATCTAGTCCAACCCCTTGCAATCCAGGAATCTCAACAATGCAGGCCATCCAACCTCTGCTTCAAAACCTCCAAGGAAGGAGAGTCCACCACCTCCTGAGGCAGTCCATTCTGCTGGAACAGCTCTTACTGTCAGAAAGTTCTTCCTGATGTTTAGTCAGAATCTCCTTTCTTTTCACTTGAAGCCATTAGTTCGAGTCCTGGCCTCCAGAGCAGGAGAAAACAAGTTGCTCCGTCTTCCACGTGACAATCTTTCAGATATTTGAAGATGGCTATATATCTCCTCTCAGTCTCTTCTTTTCCAGGCTAAACATCCACAGCTCCCTGAACTGTTCCACATAAGCTTAGGTTTCCAGAGCCTTGGTTGCCTTCCTCTGCACATGTTCCAGCATGCTGCTAATATGCTGCTAAAATTGTGGTACTCAGAACTGGACAAAGTACTCCCAAGTGCAGAATAGAGTGGCAGTATTCCTTTGAACACTAGACTTCTGTTGATGCAGCCTAGAATGGGTTTTTTTGCTGTTGCATCACACTGTTGACTCATGTTAAACTTATGGTCTATTAAGACCCCTTGATCCTTTTCACATGTACTACTGGTAGTCTAGGTGTCCCCCATCTTATGCTTGTGCAGCTGGTTCTTCCTGCCTAAGTATAGAACCTTTCATTTCTCCCAATTGAAATTCATTTTGTTAGTTTGTTAGTCAATTCTCCAATCTGTTAAGGTCATCTTGAATCCTGATTCTGTCTTCTGCAACATTAGCTACTCCTCCCACTTTGGTGTAATCTGCTACTTTGATAAACATCCCCTCAATACCTTCATCCAAGTCATTTATAAAGGTGTTGAACAACAATGGGCCCAGGACAGAACCCTGTGGCACCCCATTTGCCACATTTTTCCAGGATGATGAGGAGTCCTTAGTGAGCACTCATTGGGTTCAATCAGTCAGTCAGCTACAAATCCACCTAAGTTACCTTGTCCAGCCCACATTTTACGAGCTTATCCGCAAGATGATCATGGGGGACTTTGTCAAAAGCCTTACTGAAATCAAGATACACTATGTCCATAGCATTCCCCGATCCACCAATCTCTCCCCACCAAGAGAAACTGAGCACATAAAAATGCAAAATGTATGATGAATTATTAGATTTGTATAAATTGCAGATCAGATTTTTCAAAAAATAAATAATTCCAGAGATATCATTTATTTCAGTGTTGTTGATCTACCAGTACAGGACATAAGCAAATATCCCATCATCTATACAGGGGTTTGGTCCCCCAAGAGGGGAAATGTTATACAGTATGGGTGACAGAGAGTGTCTTCCTTTCCATCTTAGCATATCTGGAACCAAGGGAGCCAAGGAATCTGGGCTAACGAGTGTTTCAGATTAGAAATTCTTTTAAAAAAGAAAAAGTGTTGTGGGTTGGATCTACCAAAGTCATACCTTTTCCCAAAGACTTATTTCTATTCAGTGGAACTTCTCTCTCTCCTCTTCCTTTGTCCTCTTTACGACCACCACCCCAAATAGTTTCTGGAGGGGTGGGGGGAAACCAGAGCAGATTTGCAGCATGTGGAGTGTGGGGTGAGGAGGAGAGGGAGTCCTTTTGCCCAGGCAGACGTCCTTTTGCTGAGGAGGCGACACTGTTGGATATAACTCTGTGTTTTTATTGCCCTTTTGCATGTGTGTAGTGTTATACCTGCAATGACGCATTCACAGAAGTCCCCATCCAATGCTGCAGTCAGGGAGGGAGGGAGATGCATGTGTGAACTAGCCCTCAGGGGGAGGTCAGGAAGCCACTTACACATTACCAAAAATAAGACAACATGGGCCATGGCTCTTGCAGAGTTTAAAGGAATCCAATGCAACAGCTGCACTAGTGGAGGCTTGTTTCGCAACAGCTGAATCCATTGCTTAACAGTCTTTAGCAGCTGGCATCCTTCTCACAGCCCATTTCTTTCCTTCCAGCAAACCAGCCCAGCTGCCTCCTGATCCTCTCTCTACTAAACTCAGCTGATAAAGGACTTGGCTTCTGGGGGGACCACAGTTTCCCAAAATGGAGAGGTTCCTAGATTTCAGCCCAAACCACTCTTTGCTCACATTGCTCCTCCTTGCATGCCTGAGCCACCTGACCGTGGCCCAATATGAACATTGGCCGCACTACCCTGAGCAACAGCCTCCGCAGCAGCTGCCTCCCCTGCCAGCTGACGTCCCTCATATCCAGCTGCGGTTGTCAGGGCAGAAGAGGAAGCACAACGAAGGGCGGGTGGAAGTCTTCTACAACGGAGAGTGGGGCACCGTGTGTGACGACGACTTCACCATCCACGCTGCGCACGTGGTCTGTCGGCAGCTGGGCTACGTGGAGGCCGTGTCCTGGAGCCCTGCTTCTAAGTATGGCAAGGGAGAAGGTAAGGCTTTTCCTTGTTCCTGTGCATGAAGAGCATTTGCTTTCTCCTGCCTTCTGCTAGCAAACATTAGCCCAGAGGCAAGGAACCTTTTTCATACACATTTTCTTAGGGGTCTACATAGCAGTGGTGGGCAGAGCAATGGATGTGACTCTTAGCCTTTGTAGAGCAGGTTACACTGCAGGCACACAAAAGCCAGAGGTTTCTACCCACACATCCCCACCAGCACCACACCTCCATCTGCACAAGCAAGAGGCTTTATCTACAGTTCAAGGTTGCATTCCATCCAGACAAAAGTACTTGTGGGGGTGGAGCAGGGTGCATCCTGGACAGGGGGGTGTCCTATGGAGAACCCCAAGAACTGGATAGAGAGCAACTCCTGCAGCCAAGCAGGTGCTAAACATCCCGCTCTGCTTTCCTTTGGGCCACATCAGCGGGACTCAGAGGGGGGTCATGTTGTCTGGCCAGCCCAGGACCTCCATATGCACTGCCCAAGCGTGTGTCCTGACTTGGGTGCTGCTGAAGCAGTGGTTTGACTTCACCCCTGGAGGCACACTCCATTGTCTCTCAAGACAGATGGGTGCCAACAACAACAATTTATGAAGAAGAAACAGAAACTTCAGCAAACCTATCCCTTTTTGAGATATAGCCCTCCTCCTCTGTGTAAGGCAATCTGAGAGAGCTATGTCTCAGACATAATCCAGGTCTCCGTTAGTGGCTCTGATTTGGCTTTCCAATGACGAGCAACAACTGGTTGCACTGCTGTCAACAACAACAAACCAACCACTAGGCCATTGTGTTTAATCACTGGGTTTGCACCACTTTCCAGTGAAAATAGAGCTAAGGATGGGTCAGACTTCAATTCCTGGACCATGATGGAAAAGATGGTGTCAAAGACATTTCCCCAGAAATTTTGCACTGTACTGTGGGCTCAACATTCATGAAAAAAGGAATAATTCCTAACCCTTTCCAACACAGTGTGGATAAAATCTTGTTTATTCGTTTGGATGGCACAAGATTAGATTGGGATGAGCATTCCCTTCCAGATCAGCAGATTATATAAGCAAACCATTCACCCTTTTTGTTATGGCTAGGGGCCTCAAGAGATGGGCGTGTCTGGGGCCTCTCTGGGCCTCTGAGAGAGCTTGCATTTGCATCATTATCATACCCATCAACCCCCCATCATCTCTGACCATTGGCCATGCTGGCTGGCACAGATGGGAATTAGAGTCCCAGCAATGATCCTGTAATGCACACTGCACCTCCTGAAAATCCCATTTTGCATTTGCCCATCCTAGTCCTTATGCATTCCTTCAGTAACTTTACTTCCTTTTGTACCATTAATGGAGAGAGGGGGTGGTAAAAATCTGCACCCATTTATTCAGAATTTTAGAGGCTGTAGCTTTCTCATAACTACTAGCTGGAATTTAACCTCTCAATGGGCCTCTACCTGTCTCAACCATAGTCCTGCTTTGCCTTTCTGGCAGCTCTCCCAGGTAGAGTAAAGCTTGCAGCATTTATTCCATTTTCCAAAAGGTGAGATTCCCATTTCAGAATGCTGCCATTAAATAAGCTAGAGGTATTATGATGCCTGGTTACATTTTGATCCCACCCTCCCTCCAAGTAACTTGAGGTGGTCTACACAGCCCCACCTGCCAGGGACTAGGAGTCAGATCCCTCTCCATCAGGTGATGGAGGCAAGAACTCTGAACCTGAAAGGGAAAGGCATGCAGGGCCACCCCAGAGGCACTGCTCCCAATTGACTTGTGCCCGACTACCACCCCATTGCTATCCTCTGACCCGACTGTAGAAGGCCTGTACTTCCTATGCTCTGTTGAAGTAGGAGATTACTAGAGAGGGATGGAACCTTTTAATTAGAGCAGCATTTTGCAACAGAGGTGATATCAACAATTAGGTTGCTAGCAGCCTGGTGGGCTTGCTATAAAAGGGCTGGGTTTCAGCTTGCTCATTGCTGGAGCAACTTCGGAGCTAAGTGCAGGTCTGCATCTAGCCTGAATCCTACCAGAGCCTTGTCCTCCACTTCAGGACACTACCACCTTTTTAGTTTCACAAGCACTCTACAACGTAGGTTAGACCCTTTCGTTGCCCAAGTGGCATCCCACTACCACTCCAGCTAGGGCTAGTACTTTAAAAATCCTTGCTGCCCCATTCAGAAACTGCCTGAAGACATACCTCACTTCACCCTGAGGTATGATAGGGCCACTGCCAGCTTAGGTTGAGAGGGACAGACCAACTGGCTTAAAGTCACCTTGTACTGTAAGCCTTATGCTGAGTGGTGGTTTTAACCCAAGTCTCTCTGCTTTAAGTCCCAAACTATAGCCGCTATACCACACATCCTGATACCCCCCTCTCCATTTAGATGACTCAGTCAGTGGTTAAACTGAACCCCCCTCTACAGCTGTTTATTGAGTAGTTGGTGCCTTTGGATAGATTTGAAAGCTGCTAAATATAGAAGGATGATTTTTCAGCCTGGATAATTGGAGGCTGTGGACTAATCAGCAAAACTAGTGGAATTTAGTGACACTGCTGCATTGTGAAGTGATACTCTTGCAGGTTTCAATGGGAGGAACCTGTGATAAAGGTCACTTTATCCTGACCCTTGTAAACTGATAAAGCACCATCAGATGATTGACACAGAAAGGAGGGGGGAGTGAGGGTTTTGTGCAGTCATGTGCCTCTGGAAAGCCCATGAGCAGGACATGAGAACTATCGCACTCTCCTGTTCATGTTCCCCAGCCACTGGTATTCAGAGACATGCTAATACTGGAGGTATTATATAGCAATCTTGTCTAGCAGCAATGTATGGCCTTATCCTCCTTTGAAAGCTGTCCAGGTTGGTGGCCTTCAATATATATTGCATGGGGTCCTCAGGCCTTTTTTTTTGGCAGCCCTCGGCAACATTTGATGCCCCCTGCCCTGACAGCCCTTGCACTGCCCTCCCAAAGCCAGGTAAGCAAGGTACTGGGCTTTGGGAAGAAGGTATGAGGTCTCCGACAGGGTCCTAGAGTCCTCCAGGCTCCTTTTCAAAGCCTAGTTAATGCTTTGACAGCTTTGGGAAGAAGGTGGTAGGGCTCTAGGACCCTGCCAGAGCCTTGCACCTTCTTCCGGGAGGGGCCATCAAATTTTGGCCTTGCTCCTCCCCACCCCCCAGGAGTTCCATCTCAAAGTACTTGTTATGAAAAGTTGGACCACCCTGATATCTTGGAAGGAGAATATATGACCACTCAGCCACAGTAATTGAAATGTGTGGCACGGTTTCGGGATCTTTATTTCTTGTCTTTCCTCTGTAGGCAGAATCTGGTTGGACAATGTCCACTGCAATGGCAGAGAAGCTTCATTGGCTGTCTGCACCTCGAATGGCTGGGGCGTATCAGACTGCAAGCACACCGAGGATGTGGGTGTGGTCTGCAGTGAAAAGAGAATCCCTGGCTTCAGGTTTGATGACTCCCTGCTCAACCAAATAGAGGTAAGCACAGCTCGGTATTAAGCAGGGCTTAGCCCCTGAAGCATCAGCTGCTTAGACCTGTGAGAACAAGTTGCCTCCAATTCATTTGGCAAACCATTGTTGTAGTCAGGGTACACAGTTCTCAAATTCCATTTAGAAGAATGTTGATAAATGAACAATAAAATATGGATTAATGTAGGATGCACCTTTAGGCCGTGTTTGCAAACTTGGGTTCTGCAGATCTAGGCTGATGCTAAAAGCAAGTCAGAGGCAGGGGAGGGGTGTATCTGTAGGCAGATTTAGGGCAGGTGTTTTCCACAGCAGGATCCCAGAATCATTGTTCAGGGCTAAACCCCAGAGTAGGCAGGCGGGAGCAGCTCTATTGATTGATAAGGATAGAAGGCAAGGCTCCTTCTATTTATATTACACTATACAAAATGTACAAAATACATTGTAAGTAGGGTAAATATAGATGCCTCTTCACCTGACAATGTATGTATGAAGACAGATGCCCCTCATGCCACAACCAGGTTTGGGCTTTTCTGTTCTAAGGTAAGCTCTCCTCCTCAACGGACTCTTTTCTAACACATGTACCTGACTCTGATTCCAGTGAGGGTTTTCCCCTTCACCAGTTGGCTTTTATTTAAAGATACCTACAATGCTTTTACATTTAAATCAGGTTGACCAGGTGCAAAATAAGAGAGAAGGTGCAGATCACTCTGCACAGCTGGCAGGAGGGAGGTGTTCCATGATTCTCACAAGGGCTGGCCAATCAACAGCTGGATTCTCATGGAAGGAGGAACAGCCTATTGCTCCCGAGTTCAACTTAGTTTGGTGGTTTGGCCATCTTTCCCAAGGGAGTAAGTATAGGTCCACTTACTGCAAGTGAGATACGTACTACTGTACTTCACCCTAGATTTCTCCATATGCCTCTTTGGGGGTGTTGTATTAGAGAAGCACCAAGCATGATTAGAATGCCTTTTGCTCTCTTCCTTGAATGTGTGGGCTTTTTGCATTCCACCCTGGTTCTCTTGGAGATGACTCAACTTGGGGAGGTCACAGAATGCCCAAGATGGCTTGGGTAGTCACTGGCTTCCCCAGGGCCACATCTGCATTCTCAGAGCGGAGACTGGAGGAAAAGATGGATGTCTAGACAGAGGTCAGCTCTCTCTGGAATGCTTCATATATTTAATCATGCAAGTCAGCTTCTCTGCCTACTGCTTTTCCATTTGCTAAGGATTGAAGTATATGAGGTTAATTCAAGGCCATTCCGATCTACCCTGATGAATCAGTTTGCACTGACCTAACTCTTCCTAGGAACTTGAAAAATCATACTTTGGGGGTGGGAGGAAATGGGAAATAAATTATCTGCGTAGGAGGTAGAGGAGCAGAGGCCTTGGCTTGTGTATATATCAGAACATTCACAGGCTTCTGGTTGATCTGGTGCCTGTTGCATCCATACCATTTTGTGTCTTGCATTCATGAATTGACCTGGAAACTGGTAGGAAAACTCCCTGCAGTTCACACTGTCCTATGCTTAGCTTCATCCTTGATCAAAGGCTCAAATCCTGGTATATCCTGTGCTTTTTCCTGGGGGTATTCAAGGGTATGCAGTACCGGCAATACAATATCGGGTATCTCCACTTTGGGGAAAAGAGTTCAGGGGGCAGGTCTGGGGTTTTTTTTGCCTGAGGCCCTGGAGACTCAGTTAGCCTGAGGAATGGAATTGCCTGACACCAACTTGGACTCTAAACAGGTGGTGACCACTCTCACAAGCCAAGGAAAAATCACCTTGGAGTGATTTCTGCTTCAGCCAGGGTTGGGGAACATTTTTCAGCTGAAAGGCCACATTTCCCTCTGGCATATTTCTTTGGGGCCACATGTCAGTGGTGGGCAGAAGCAGGAAGCAAAAGTGAGCAGAGCAAACAAAGGAAAATTTGCGCATTGGACAGTAGTTTGGTCTTTACAAAACTCAGTCGCTCATCTCTGTCCTCCATCCAGATAAGCAAGACACATTACAGTGGAACATTGGTTCCCAAATGCCTCCGTTGTCATATGTTTTGGTTCTTGAACACCAAAAACCCAGAAGTAAATGCTTCCATTTTCAAACATTTTTGGAACGTGCAACTTGGCGTCCACTGAGTGCAAGAAGCTATTGCAACCAATGGGAAGCCGCACCTCGGTTTTTGAACGTTTCAGAAGTCTAATGGGCTTCAAGTACAGATTTCGTTTGAGAACCGAGGTACCACTGTATCAAAGTTCAAGGACACATTCCAACCAGGCAAAAACATTTGGGGGGTGAAGCAGGGCCAGTGAGGGGTATGACTGGGGAAGAATCCAAAGGGCCAGACAGAGAGGAATGCTGGACCAAATTTGGCCCCTGCTCTGAAGTTCCCCATCCCTGCATCAGACCATAAGCACAGCAGGAGGACTGCAAGAGGCCTCCTGTCTCATAATGAGTATGGAAACCAGTCACTGATGGCTCTTAAAACAGGGATGGTCAGTCTGTTTTATCCCGTGCCCTAGTGGTCTTTGGCCTAGTTTCATGTGGGTGACAAGAAGGCACAAAATGGGATATGAGAGAGAAAATGGGCAGAGAGGAAAGGAAAAGGTGCTGTTGCATCCACAACTGGTTGTGGCATTATGTACCACCAGCATGTGGCCTACTACAGGTTACCCCCAAGGAAATATGGCTCGCAACCGCAACAGCAAAAGAGTTCCCCGCTCCTGTCTTAAAGGTATGGTTAATACAGGAGTCGGGAGAGAATCAAGTTGTGGAGTCATCATGATAGACATTGGATGGTAAGGTTGGGTGAAGGTTAGTCTGACTTCTTTGGATTCAGGGGTTGCCCTGGTTCTTCTGCAGGCTGTGGAGGCTGCTCCATTAGAGCAAGTGGGGCACAGCCCCACTAATCTCCACCTTTGCTTAACCAGCCCTCACTTGCCTGCCTTCCTACTTACAACCAGCCTAAGAGGTGGAATTGCCTGACACCTTCCCCCTCCTCCTTAGTCTTAGGGCTTGTCCATGCCTCCATTTGCCCCACCGTTTTCCCCTGGGGAAACCCGCAACTTACCACTGAATCAGACCAAATGGCAATTGCATTTCCCATGGATTGCTGTTCGTTCTGATTCATCAGTAAAGAGCATCTTTTCCAGGGTAAAGCTGTGGAGTAAATGCAAAACTGCTCTGAGCCATGGGACAAGCATAGCAAGGAGGGGGATAGCAACCAAACCTAAAGCAGGTGGCTGTGCCTGCCATTGGCTCAGTTTCCTTGCCTTCCAGTTCCTGTGGACTCGCACTGCCTGCATCACCTGCTTCCTACTCCTGTTTTCTCAACCCGAGTATGTTTTGACCAAACAGTCCATAGGTCTCTCAGGCTCTCTTCTCCAGTGGATCCTTAACTTTTAAAAACCTGCCTTGGATTTTTCAATGCTTGGGGAAGGGGGGAGCAAAAGGAAACTTTTACAGCAGTGTTTCAGCTGCAGAAAGTTTAGCCTGTCTCTGTGAGCCAACAGACTACTCCCCTTTGGTCTTTTTTTAAACTAGTCTGAGAGTGGCATCACATCTTCTGTGGCCACTTGCTCCCTTCAAGCAGCCGTGCTTTCGGCACGTGGCGCTGTGCTGTCCCAGATCCGGCAGTCAATGTCTGTGCACGTGGATGCAAAGCCTCAGACTTTTCTTCCCTTAACACCACAGGGATTCTTCTGTAATGGAAAAGCTGAAAACCTGGCCACACAGCTGCTTAAGTTATTACCACTCATTGTACTGTAAAGATTAAAAAAACACCTTATCAGCTCATCAGAAAGCATTGTGCTGTGCAATTCTATTTGACTGTTGTAAGAAACCACCACCATTTATTACCCCTTAAGTTTCTGGAATATGTAACAACAGAAATGCAGGATCAGTTTTTTAAAAATATATATAATTGTTGCAGTCCAGCCTAAAGACCCCACTGCTCTCCCTCTGCAGGAAAAAAAATATGTTTGCCTGAATTAGATATTGCGTCGCTTTCCAAAGATGCTTAGGACATTAGGTACATGGGAAGCTGCCTTACAGAAAGTCAGGCTCATTTGTCTATCTAACTCAGTATTGTCAACACTGACTGGCAGCAGCTCTCCAGGATTTCAGGCAGGAGTCTTGCCTAACTGGAGATGCACTTCATACCTAAGAATTATAGTTGGTGGTACGAAGGGCGGCAGCAGAGCAGTAGAACATCTGCTTTGCATGCCACATGATCAGTTGCCTGGTAATCATGGCTTGCCACTTTGCCATGCTATCCAGCAATTTAATGGGCATAGGAAATAGGACCCTGCTATTTATAGTTTTTTTAATTGTCACACACACACGTGCGCATTCCTTTTAAAAATTTCTTTTAAAAATTTAGTTCCTTTTAAAAATTTAGTTGTTGACTTTGCCCTTTTCTGCTTGATATAGGTCTTGTTACTGAATATATCAAGCCACTGTGTAGACAGAATGGCTCTGAATTCCAGCAGCATTCCAGCTGTGGGCAGATTCAGGTACAGGTGTAATAGGACCTAGATCTCAGGTCCAACATTTATATCTGTGGGGTTAATAAGCAATAGGGGTATGTGTACACATATATGGGAGAGTTAAGATGCCCCAGTCATTAGGAGTCATTAGCAATCAAGAATTCAAAGGTCCACTAATGATCTAAGGTTGAAAATAAGAATAAATCATGGCATTCAGTCTTAGATAATTAGCAGAGCATCAACATATTGATTCCATACCCCTGGGCAGCTTAATCTTCTCATTTATAGAAGAATGTCAAAACAGCTACCAAGATTACCATCTACAAGAATGAGGGTGTTTTAAAAATGAGCTTATTTTAAACTTATGTTGCTTATTTTCAGTTCTTACTCTTCAGTTAGGTGTTACAGGTTTCTAGACTAGATGGCAAATGTTCAGCTTATTTCCAGTTTGGTTACTTCAGTTCCTCAACTTGGTTGTTTCATAGGTGCTACACTGGGCTTTTCCCCCCAGCTAAAACTCACTGGAACTCAGTTCCAGCACCTCCAAGGTGGGTAACACTGCCATTCTAAAAGAACAAGGGGGAAGTTCATGGTGAGCTCCAACACCTCTTTTTCTAGAAAAAATAGCACTAGTGCTACAGCTTAATATTTTGGTTCTTAAAGAAGGTGGAACCTCCAGTCTGTTCCCCAAACTCTTCTCACTCCCGCTCCTGAGGTACCTCTAGAGGTATAACAGGATCTCCCCCACCCCTTGTGACTGGATTTGGATTCTTCTCTTCCTAGAAGATCTCTCTCCTCCTGACTGACATGAGACCCAAGGAGACGGTGTCCTCACAGCTTCTCCTTCCCCAACTCAGCCCCCCAGTTCACTCCTCTCTGAATACTCTCCCAAGACACCACACAATGTCTTCCTATCTAAGCTACGAGGCTCCTTCTCTAGCTGGAGATATTTCCCTCAGAGTGGCTGTCGCACACAGACCAGAACTGACTATCCCTGACTCTCTTGCTCTCCCTCAATCCACCTCCCCATCTGAATCCTCTCTCACAAACGGCTCCTTTTCTTCTCCCTCCCAAAGCGCTGGCTCCACCCCCCCTCTTGGTAGCCAATCAGAGAGAGGCTTCAGCCCTCTGGTGGAATTCTCAGGCACTGCATCACCAGACTCTGGTCTGGCTCAGCTGTCCGTCACAAAGGTATTCCTGTTAATTTGTTCACCCCACACTTTTCAGTGCAGTTCTGTTATAGTTGTTTAGTGGATTTATTGCATCACGACGGAGCACTTTAATCCACTTCAATTGCACAAACCAAAATTTCTGATATGCACTTGAATTCTTTCCACAAAATATAACCACACACACACACACACACACACACACACACACACGTGTTCGCTCTCCCCTTACTGCCTATTCACCCATTCCTCTCTCACAAACAGAGATACCCATTTGCACTCTTAAGTCTTACAGTTTTCTGCTGTTAGTGCTGTTCCCTCCCTCCTCTTCACTGCTTCTACCAACACCCCGTGTATCCTGAGGCCTTGTATGCTTAGCATTCTTTTTCTTTTTAAACTTCTGAGCAGTTGGAATGCTCCTAATACATTCCATAGCACCTCACCAAATGAACCGATGGCTAGAGAGGGAGGACCCCTTTCCATCAGCTGGAGGTGGAACCTTTGCAATCAAAGAGCTAAAGGATTTCCCAAGGATGCAGCCGGTGTCACATTCTTTCAACTTTATTTGAATGAGGCAGTGTGCATGTGTACACACAAAACTGACAAAACACAATTCGGGGAGGGGAGAAACAGAATGCCCTGTGTGCTTTCATATGATATTTCAGCTTGTCTTGGTGTGATCGTAGCCTTACCCTTGCCAGTTATCCATACTTGCAGGTGGAGACTTGCAACACACCTTGAAGCATATCCCTCCCCATTCCTGTCCAGGGCTCTAAGTGGCTTGCAGCAGGAGCCAAATGGGAATAGGCAGGGAGGAATGAAAAGTCAACTATTTTATTCCCTACTCCACCCAAAGTTTTATCTGCTGTGCTACATAGCACTAAAGCATGGGAGACTCACCTGCGCCCTCCAAATGTTGCTGGACTCCAAATCACATCAGCCCCAGCCAGCGTGGCCAATGGTCAGGGATGGTGGGAGCTGGTGTCCAACAACATCTGGAGGGTCCCAGATAGGGAAAGAAGGACCTGTCAGTTTGGTTATCTAGGGGCTCATCCACCCTTAACCTTTTGCCCCATGCTTTCTAGGCACAGGTCCATGCTTTAAAGCACCATGTTTGAGGGGGCCTCCCTTGGAAGCGCTTTCCCCACGAAAACCCACTCTTTAATGCTGAATCAGAGCAATCGACAATGGCTGCTTACCTGTTTTGGTGGTGAGTGGCGGTTGTGGCCCCCTGCGTCACCTCCAAAGCCCACAGAGCCTTGCCACGTGTCTGCGATTATTGCTGCACATCCCCCGCTGCCACAGAGCGTTGTGGGCACCGCCAGGCCTGCAGTTCAAATTCAGCCCATCCGTGGCGACTCGGGAGGCAGGGCTTGGGGAGCGGACCTGAGAATCCTAGACTTCACTCAGGTCCTCTCCCCGGGCATAAAAGCAGGCCGACGCTGCTTGTGGCATCCCAGTCGGCCTTGGAGCTCACCCCCCCCCTTCATCCGTGCTGCTGCTCATGTGTGTTTCCTTTCCTTTCAATCTTTTCCTTTCTACCTCTGCAGGTTTTGCTATGGTCTTTTGACGGTTGACGTATTCGGAGCCGGGAAGGAATTTCCCCTGCCCAGCAGGTTTTGCCTTCCCCATAGCACTAGGTTTAGGCCTTGGGCCGAATCCTTTCGTCCATCCTTGACCGGGGCAGGGGTGGAGTGGGGACCACCCCCTCTCTGCGGCGGCAATTACAGGGTACCCCATTAAAGGGGTCTTGAGGGGAAGCCAGAGGTTGTTGGCTAACGGGCCATACAGCTTCCCCCAGCCTTTGGGTGGCCCATCTGCATAAACCCAGCCAGACCCTGTCATGCCTCAGTCCCCTGCAAGGGGGGCTAAGAGGTCTACACACCCAATGCCTATGCCAAGGTTCACCAACATCTGAAATCAGTAAAGCATAGCTGTCAACTTTTCCCTTTTCTTGTGAGGAATCCTATTCAGAATAAGGGAATTTCCCTTTAAAAAGGGGGGAAGTTGACAGCTATGCAGTAAAATCGTGACCTTTTAAATCCCAGTTGTCGTGTCCATTATTTTATCCCTCTAGTCAGCATGCAATCTGGGTTTTCCCATAGATTGTTTGCTTTGATTCAGCAGTCAAGAATGGGGTTTTGTTAGGAAAGCACCAGGACAAAAAAAGCACTTGAACGTGCCCCCCCAAGACACCCTCAGTATTTCCTAGGACAGAAGTTCTTGACCTGTCTTTGGGTGGTGCCACTTTGTCGCCCAGCTATCTGGACCATCAACCGGAATGGTTGTTGTAATTTAGAGATACTTTCTTACAGTATACATAAGGATGGTGTTATAGTGATAATCCCTGGGGGATGGGTGGGGAGCCAAGAGCAGAAAGAGAGAGGAGCCCCAGCAGAAACTGTTTTTGGTAACTATATTTGTTTGGCAATAATACATTATATTAATTTCCCTTTGGTGTTACCTTCAAGTGACTTAACCCCTAATTTATGACTCCAGCTTCACTATTAGAAGTGTTGCCGGGCGCAGTGCTGCTCTTAAGAGTTCCTGCCCGCAAATTCGTCAAGATACTCCATTAAATCCCCCTCCCCCAGTCTTCCCTTCCTCCCCTGCAACAGTCAGACAGTGTTTCATGAGCATTCAGTATATTCAGTCCTCCTTAGGCTGTTTTTGGGTTTCTTTCCTAGGGTTTTCCTATACTTCTGCAAACTTGCTAACGCTTCCGTCATCTCCATGTATGGTGCAGTTCTACCAACTCACAGTTGGAGAACTGAGTTTGCTATTAGTTTATAATAATATGATGAAGATGATAGGTGCTTGCTGTAGAACAATAATGTATTTCAATGCATTTCCCTGCTTCTCATGTTTAGTTTCTATCATGTTATGGGAATATCTTACATTTTCTGAATTTTTTATCCATTCCGTGTTTTGTTGTAAGTTCCTATGACCACTAGCTGAGACAACAGGCTGACAAATCCAGTGCTTCTAATCACAAGTACAATTCCCAATGGTACATATGCCCATAACACTTGTATAACTACTGCCAGAAAAAATGTTGTGAATGTGGTGTATGAGTACAGGGATGGAAGATAATTCTGTGATCAAAGGCTGAAATGTGTATGCAGCCTGATGATGACAGCAGCTGCCACTGACGTGGCCCCTTATGTCACGTCTGAGACGGTGTAGTTAGGCGAGACACTCTTGAGTACATACGTAAATGTACTTGGTGTGAAATTCCTTGGATTCTTCAGCTTCTTGAAGGAACACTAGATTGCTGTGTCTGTCCAGACCCATGGGAAAATTCAGACAGAGGAATGGGATACCCCAGGCAAAAGTTTGTGCCAGGCAAAATGATCACAATGTTCAGAGGAGGTTCCCTTTTTCCAATAAGATTTTATTAATACCTTTCATAATACACTGCAATAAAAAGCAAACTAATAAAAACAGAGAAAGAGAAAGGCAGAATAATGCAAAGTCCTTTCTCACAGGTAGATCTTAACTCTTACCTTACACAGAGAGAGGTGAACCCTTCCAGCTCTCACCCGGGAGCTTCCCTTTCTTCTCCCAGCCTCCCCCCCCCCCAACTCTCTTGGTCCTTCACCCCCATCTACATGCAAACCCCTCATTAACCCTGAGTGTATGACAACAAGAAACACGAAAGAACAGAGCAAAGCAGAAGCAAGAACAAAGCAAAAAGGGAAAAGAAAAGATAACCAAGGGATAAAAATATTAAAGGAATATTAAAAGGAAAAATATTAAAGGAATAAGAAAATAATAAAAGAACAGAAAAGAAAGGAAAAGAAACAAGTAAAAAGGACTTCCAACTATCCGTCTGTCAGTTGTATATACAAGAGTTCTTCAAAATATTCAGATGTTCACCCCAGTGTAGTATCCAGCTGTTCCTCCCATAGCCAGTTGATTTCCCCCCAGTCTTCTAGTCTGGGCATCTCAGCTTCATTCATTGGGAATGTTCAGAGCAGGTTCAATGGTAGAGCACCTGCTTTGCTTCCAATGGGTTTCAGGTTTACTCCTGGGGCCACCTGCAATTAAAAGGATCAGGTAGCAGGTGATGGGCAGAGCTGTACCTGAGACCCTAGAAAGGTGCTGCCAGTCGAAGAAGAAATTGTTTGCATTTGACATCATGCTAAATCATACCAGCTTGGCATGAATGAGGAGAAACAAGACCCAGTGGGTCCTGGGTTTATGTGCTTCCCCCTCTCCTCCTTCCATGCAGATGGGAGGAGGGGGAGACCAGAAGCTTTTGCTTCATGGTACTTTGTATCACCTGAACTCACAAACCTTATGGCTGGGGTAGCCAACATGGTACTCAATGGATGCTGTTAGATATTAACTCCCTTCAGCCCCAGCCATCATGGCTAATACTCGGGGATGATTTATTTTTATTTATTCGTGCCATTTATATAAGTGCTGTACATGGTTCTCCCCCTCCACGCAACAACTTGTTAGGGTGAGAGACAGTGACTGGCCCAAGGTCACCCAGTGAACTAGGGTTTCAAACAAGCTCCTTGAAGCTGCCTTGTCTAAACTAACAATAGTTAACTACAGTTCTGGGTTTGGACAATATGGTAAGTTGTGATTAAATGAAAATGAAAGCTGCTTAACTCCTGTTCCTGACTGTGAAAGAAAAGGAGAGATGGGGTGGGGAGTGTGCACACCAAAAAGGCATTCTGTGGCTCATTTCTGCCACACTAAGCTGTGGTTTAGCATGACATAACAGTGTGGTCAGTAGTTAGCTAGATGGACAAATAGACTGAACTAATATAATGCAGCTGCCTGTGGATGCTTCCACTCATGTCAAAACCACCAGAAATCTCTATTAAAATGGAAAGTTACTCTGTGAAGATTAGCTGTGGACTTCCTGCCACTCCATTGTCAGAGACAGTATGTGAGTATCAGTTGCTAGGAACTGCAGGCAGAGAGAACATTGCTATGCTCAGGCCCCAGGCCCCAGAATTTATAATTCTATATTTTGAGGCTGGCTCCCTAGTTTACTGGGGCATCAGTGCATCCCCTGACAGAATGTTATTAGTACTTGGCTGTTTGGTTCCATCTGGTAGATAGCATGTAATGGTACCAGATTTCTTATTTGATGCTTGTCAAAGCAATCAGAGACGCCATCAAATCTAAAGCACTCAAATTCAAATCCTGCAAAAAAACTTCACTTTCAAAACCCAGAATCACACATTTCTAGGTTTGCATTGACATTGTCAGGGGCAAAATTGGCAATTTCAGCAATTTAAGAATATTTGCTCCAGCACTACTCTGGGAGCAGTGTGGTAACCAACTTTCTAAACTTAATATTAGTGGGAGTTATTCACAAAAATCCTTTGCACTGTTGGTAATATATTGTGATTTTCTGCTGAGGATGTTCCACATATCAGGTGAAGGCTTGCCAGGAGCGTGGCCAACAAACAGCTGTAACCAGCCTTGCTCTAGAGGCTGACTGCCAAGTTGTGTAAATGGCAGGAGACTATAACATGAGTCACTTCAAGGACAGATGTTGTTCCAGTGTTGGTGCAGGCAAATTCCACAATGGTAGTTCATGTCAGGGCAAAGCAAGGAAGACAGGATGGGAACTGAGGGCTTCGGAAGAATAATCAAGTATGAGGCAAAAAAGCATTGGGTTGCCGGCATTCAGATGGAAGGGCTTGAAGTAAGTCAGGGACTGGGAGAGCCTGCAGGAACAGATGAAAGTAGGAAAGTTCCAGAACATACCAAGGCTTCTGTTGCTGAATTGTTGAGAGCTGCGGATTCAAAGATGCTGTGCTCTGATTCTCTGGGCTATCAGTCAGTGCAGGTGAAATACTGGTATCTAGACTTCAAGTTCAGGTCTACTGCCAAGGGTGAGGGAGCCCCCAGTAAAGTGTGGACAGTGGGATTCCTGAAACAATGGTTGGCCCGCTAGTTAGGACTTGTAGTGGCCTGGGGGCCTTGCCTTTGTGGCACCAGCATGTTTTTCCTTCGTCAACTTCCCCCAGGTTGAGTTGGCTACCAAGACATTGTAGTGAAAAAATCATGGCTGCCACCACAAAAACATGGTAGCCAACTTGAAAAGCTAGCTGGCCTCTGCTTGGAACTGATATGGATGTTCCTTTTAAGGAGAGACCAGAGCAGACGTTAATTGGTGGACTGTGCTGAGGAGGGTGTACTGGGAGACCAGCAACTGATCAACGATGCGTGCTGCTAACACTGGACCTGATAACGTTAATCTAGCTGAAGAAACTGATGTCTGAATCAATTATATGACTGCCATCATTTGCTTTCTGGGAAGGCTAGCATCTTTAACAGTTATGGGACATGAGGAATTCAGTTGCATTTCCATGAAAAATACCTCTCTGCCTTTTGAGTTTCTGCCTGTTCTGCAGTTGGCAAAGGCACAAAAGCACGGCTGTAAATCAGGAAGCAAACCTAACCAGTTGCTCCATCTTTGGCACAAGCACATAAAATACCATGGATGAAGCTCGAACAGATATTGTTCCAGCTTTCAGGTTAAGTTCGTCTTTTATTTTCTTTGGCTTCATGGAGAGAATAGCTCAGATCTACTGCAATATAACACTTGCTTCAGCTTATACCTAAACGTTATCACAATGGGCTTTCAATTTAAATGCCATTAAAGAACTTTAAAAACGGAAGGAAATTATCCAAACTCACCCAGGGAAACTGGCAATTCTTTGACATATTTTTGTTAGTTTGTTAAAAAGATTTAATGCTTATTTTAACCCATTGCTGTTGACAAGCTAACTGATGCACAACATAAACACATGACAGAATATAATAATAAAGAGGACTTATACCCAATGTAAAGAAATGGAAATTGATTAATTATAAGAGTTTGAGGCTGCTATCCTGTGCCAACAGGGAGTAAGCTTCATTGAACCCAATAGGACTTATGTCTGAGTAGACATGCATGGGATTGCATTATTAGTTAATTGCTTGATTATATCAGTTATATCTACATAAAAATAAATATTAGAAAGCTATACTTCTAAAGCACACATATCACAGCAGGGAATTAGAAAATACATTAGGCTTTCACACACAGAAAGGAATGCCTTTTTAAAGATTTGCAGTTTAGGACCTTAGTAGAGTATAGGAAACTGTCTGTCAGGGGCTAAAGCCAGGGAGAGGTCAGCAATAAAATAATAAAGCCCCCAACATCAGTGAAATTACTGCTTTATTTAAAGAAATGAAACAGTGCCGTCCTAGTGATGAGAGCAACTCTTCCCTGTAGGTCTTGCCCCAATGCGACAGTTGTGAGGACTGAAGGTCTCTGCCTTCCCACCGCTCTCTAAGACCCCTCTTCCCCCATTTCCTTCCCCAGCAGCCTAAGGCTCCACCGTCTTCTCTCCCACTGCTCCACCCTCTTCATTTCTCTGCATGTTTGGGGGGACCAGGGGGGAGGGAACCCTGTCGCAGCAGGTGGGGGAGACTCCCTGGATTCTCCAGCAGCTTGACTCAACTCTGTCTCTTGGCCCTCAATCCTCTCCAGCCTCTAAATCGGGGCTGCTCTGTGCCCCAGCTTCTTCCTGCTCACGAAACCCTGTTACCTCTTCAACTTCTGACACCTCATCCTCCCAGTCTTCTCCCTCTGACCACTCGTCGTTGTCCCACCACCAATCCTTGGGCTCTGAGCCTTCTTCCCCTGGGGGTGTCCTTGGGGTTTCCCTGTGGTGCCTGCCAACACTCCTCTTCATCCAACCAGTCCATGGCACTGCCCCATCGAGCTCAGTATTGTCCACACTGGCTGGCAGTAGCCCTCCAGGTTTCAGGCAGGGGCATTTTCCATCTTCCTGTAGATGCCAGTGGGACATTTTGTACCTGGGAGATTTTGCACATGAAGCATGTGCTGTCCACTGAACCACATAGCCGTTCATGGAATCACAGTCCTTCCCCTTTTTAAAAGAGTTTGATTTGAAAAACAAAATCTGCTGAAACCTTTTAGTCAATCTTATTGTTTTAAATTAAATTGATTATAATTGATGAATCAGCTAAACAATGTAGCTCTGACAAAAAAGTTAAAATGGGGCCCACCATTTCCCTTAGCGGCAGAAATTCATTTTCCAGGATGAAAAATAGTATTTAGTCTGGCAAAACACTCAACTGATATCTTTTACACCATTGTTTTAGTCAATGTAACTACACAAGCAGATCTAGTGGGACTATTTTGTTTTATAGGTGTGCAAACTGTGTGCCTGTATGAAGTTGAACTGGGAAGCAGGAAAGAAAATGGGGCAAAGGCTTAAGTTAGCTTTTCTGGCAGACCTTAAATGTTGTGCTGACCTGGTAAAACCATTAGCAGACTCAAATATCCTCTGAGGATAAAAGCTATGAAATATTGCTGATGAAATTGTTCATATGTGTTCTTAGCCAACACAGGATGAAAATCAGAACAAAAGAGGGATGGATTATTATTATTTTAATTTCTTTTTGCAGTACATGAATCTTCTTTTTTATACTAGAAACTTTAAGGAAGAGAAGCAAGGACTGGCGTGCGATAGAAGCAGGGGAAATTTCCCAGAGTGGCATTTTTTCCTTTTACACCAATACCCAATGTGTTGGGAACTCATTTCTCAAGGCCAATTTAAAAGTGATTTCACTAGCTACAATTGTTAGTATTTAAGCCTGACATGTTTGCCTATAAAGCAGAAAGATCAGGGTGGCTTTCACACTAAACTTTTCTCTGGCAGTGTAATCATCTATTTACTCAATTTTTATGAAGCATTCACTGTGTTGTAGCTAGATTTTTGCATTGCAGTGGTTTTTCTGTTGTCTTCATGTATTTTTTCAGATGTAATCCATGGTTTGCTAGTGGTTTTTTGCAGTAAAATGTTACATTTGCAGCAGCATCCTGTCTAGTGTGGAAAGGCAAAGCATAATTAAGGCTTTTGGGGGCTACTGTGTTTGTAATTTAAAGCTTCCTCCTTGCATGTTGTGCCATTTCTTTTCCTTTTTGTGCTTTCTGTTCAGCTACTTTTTGTCCTCCCTTAAAAGAAATAAAAGAAAAAATGAGAAGATTCCAGAAATTGAAGCCTTCACTGCCACAGCAGATAACAAAGATTGGCTAATTAAAGGATAGTTAATCACTATAATCTCCCAGCTGCACTGAGCCGGGAAGTAATCTTGCAAAAAGAAAACTTTTAATTAATGTTGCAAGGGATCTTAATTGTGACTAAACACTTTAGAAGGACTTTGGCTATGCAGAAAGTTATCACTCTAAGTGTACAACTTCTCTTTTAATTCTGCTTTCAGCTACTTGCCTGAAGGCAATGCCTGGCCAACTAATATAAAGTAAGGTCACCCTGCATTTGCCTCTTCTAGTAATGAGGCTTTGCAGTTGGGGAGGGATGAAGGACCTGTGACCCTCCAGATGTTGCTGAAGTACAACTCTCATCATCCCTGAGGATGCCTTGCTGCTTGGGGGCTGATAGCAGCTGGAATACAACAACATTTGGCGAATCACTAGTTTTCCACTTGAGCTATAGGGACTTTTCCAGCAGAATATGGATATAGTTGGCTCGTTTCCTCTCGGAAGAGATCAGGTTTATGCTGTAGCTTCAGGGAGTCTAGACAACTGTTTACAACTCTGCAGCTAAAGTGGATTGATAGGATTGTCCCGTCCAACTCGTTCTGCTTGGGGATGGGACTCATCATTTTCTGTCTTTGACATTCTGCTGAACCAGAGCTTTGCCTGATTTCGAAGAACACCAAATCTGGAAATCTATTGCGAAGAAGAGGAGGAAAGTAGTTATATTAATCTGGAAAATTTAGCTGAATCCTTGGAACAAATGTTTGAATTCAGTGACTTTAATGTTCAGCGGGGTCAATATTTATTTGCATGACTGCTTGTAGGGAAAACAGGCAATTTTTTACTAAATCAACATATGGAACAAAAATTCAGACAACTTATGACCTGTTTGCATGATGGTGAACTGACTTTAGGCAAAAGTGTGCCCCGCCCCCCGCTCAATTGCATGTGTTGCCTGCCTATCATGGGCAGACGGTGGAAACTTCAAACAGCCAAACTACGGCATGATTCTTGGAAACGCCCCATGAGAAAATAAGGGCTGGGTAAAACCACCATTAGATGCTGGAAAAGGGGGAGAAAGTAGGTGCCACATTGAGCCCATCTTTCCATATTCAGTTTATATACAAACTGTCCAAAAATGTATATGTTATAGAGCACTTCATAGAGAGAGTCAGCATGGAGTAGTGGTTAGAACATTGGACTTGGGAGACTATTATTATTATTATTATTATTATTATTATTATTATTATTATTTCACTATTATTAATTTATACCCCACCCATTTGGCTGGGCTTCCCCAGCCACTCTGGGCAGCTTCCAACAAAATCCCCCATTCACCCATGAAACTCTCTGGGTGGCCTTGAGCCAAATTCTGTTTTTGTGAGGATAAAATAGCAGAGGAGAAAGAACCTCATTTAGCTGTGGTTCCTGTATTGCAGACCCTTGGGGTCCCCTCCAGCTCTACGTTTCTGTGATTCTGTTATTTTTATTTATTAAATAAACAAGCTCCTTGAATCAAAAGCAAGATATAAATGTAATAAAAAGACATTCAATAAGTGTCTGATCTTGCTCTTCATTTTACGGTGCACAGTGTAGTAGTAAAAAGAAACAGCAACAGCGTTCTCCCCTTCCGCTCTTGTATAGCCCCATGCTGCTCATGTTAAAAGGACAGAGCTATAAGGCAGCCATAAGCAGCAACAGAAACACAAACGCCATATGGGAAGGCATAAGAGATTGTAAGAGGCTTCACCTTACACTTAAGGAAGAGCAGGGGCTGCTGGAGAAGAGTGTTCCCAGGTCAGGAGGCCATAGCTGGAAGGGCTCCATCTCCAGCCCTGCCGGGGGGCTTTAAGGGTCTATTGCTACATTTGTGGAGCACTGCAAAATGTGGGGTTTTCACTGCAAAATTCAGGGGGTTTGCTGCAAAAAGGCTGCAAAACTTTGGCACCAGTTTTGAGGGGATCCCAGATTTTGGGGTTCAAAGTTAATGAAGCTGAGGCCATATGCAACTTACTTTGAACAACTTTTCTTTTCATTTGATTACAGTAGATTTAAAAAATAGTAACTATTTTTCACAATGCTACCCAATTCACTTTCAGAGGTACCGTATTATATTTATAAATAGGAAGGGGGAAATTCCACAGTTATGACATAATGACAAATAAACCATGTATATAAAGGAAAACAAGCTCTTTAGGGTACTTTATATAAAGTCCCAGTCCCCCCCCCCCCCGTGATTCCCTTTCTTCCTTTTAGTTGCCTGTCTCTGCTCCCCCTCCCTGCCTGGCCTGCTCTAGCTTTTGGGGGTCAGAGTTCCTGTGAGGTTTGCAGGCTGCTGCTGTCACGTAGGCCCTGGATGTGAAAATCAGTCTCTCTTCATGACTCATAACCCATCAATTCAGTGGAAGGGAAATCCAGACGTGCTCCAGAGGAGAATTAATTTCACAAAGGCAAGCACAGAAATCCTAGGAAATTGCTAGTTAAACCTATCTACCCTTTCCACTCTTGCAAGGCATAGCTATTGGAAGCAGAAACAGCATAATTTTAGCCTGCAAATTTTATTTATCTGCTTGTTTGTATCTTGTCCTTCTGGGGCGCATGAACAAGGTTTCCAGGCAGCCCTCTCAGCTGGGCTAGAATCGGTGGGAATAGCCAGTAGTCAGGACTGAAGAGTAAGTCAGAATCGTAGTGTAAATCAGGTTGCAGGATTGCTTCACATGTTAGATTCCTGCAAAAGAAATAATGGTGTATTTTAAAATAATAGTTCCCATCTGAAACACATTTTCTCTGAAGTAAATTGTATTAGTTTTGATGGAGTTGAAAGTCAACTCATGCTTAGAATTGCAGCGTTATTTTAATTTCCAGTTTATGATTCAGTTATAATTAGTTCATTAAAAGTCTCTTTCTTTCACTTAGCCACAGGGCTGCAACAATAGTTAGTGGCTGGGTGTGTGTGTTCACACACTAACTGGTTGCATGTCTAGGAAACTCCTTACCAACCCCACCCCTGACCAGGTCACCCACATGTAGATTGTGTCTAGATTGTGTCTGCCAAAGGCAGCCCCACAGATGTCACAGACTGGTTGGACACAGAGGAATGGTGGGAGGCACCCATAGCTGTCAATGTTTCCCTTTTTTAAAGGGAAATTCCCTTATTCCGAATAGGATTCCTCGCAAGAAAAAAGTTGACAGCTAGGGAGGCACCAGCAGGGGAACCCCCAAGGGAAGAAGGCTCAGATTGGTGGTGGGACAACAATGAGTGGTCGGAGGAAGAAGAGAGAGAAGAAGGGGAAGGGGAGGTGTTGGAAGCTGAAAAGGAAACAGGGCTTACTGAGCACAGGGTGAGGTAGTCTGTGATGGAGAGAAGTCCACACTCAGAGGTAGAAGTGGAAGCAGGAGAGGAGGGAGGCCAAGAGGCAGAAATGAGTCAGGCTGGTGAAGAGGCACAGGTGTCTTCCTCTGCTGCTGCGAGAAGCTCCTGCTGCCTCTGCCCCCCAGTTTCCAAGAACCAGGAGAGGCATGAAGAGGGCGGAGCAGAAGGTAGCTTCACACAGGCGCAGTCTCAGATTGCTTGGAGTAAACCTCGGAGAGGAGGGGACTTAGGCAGCTGTGGGGAGGCAGGGACCTGCCTGCAGCTGCTTCATGGGGGCAAGACCTTTCGGAGATGAGTTGCTATGCTCATTAGGCCAGACACTCCTGTGCAAATCCTGTTTTTGCTAATAAAGAGTTAACTCCAACTCGCTCGGTTTAATTTACTGCTGGCTCACTCCTGTCACCAGGCCTCTCTTATCTGGCCTTCAGGACTCTCATTAGCTCCTCTCTTTCCCAGGCCACACACCCCACTGGTCCTGCTCCATGTTTTCCTCAAGTGCTTTTGCTTGGCTGGAAGGTGTCCTTGGACATTGAAACATCCCTCTAGCTTGTCTCAGTGGAGGATTGAGAAATGTGTGTGTGCACAGGGTATGTAGGTGTAGAAACCTCTGACTTATGTGGGGCTGGAACGTAGCCTACTATGCAAAAGTAAGAGTCACATTAATTGACCTGCCAAGTTTTGTTTGCTGCCCAAGGATGGTCCCATAGGAAGGAATGCAGCCCTCCAGCTGAAAAAGATTGCCCACCCCTAATCTAGAGCCAAGACCAGATCTCCAGTCCAGGCCTTGGATGTAAAGAGTCCACTGGGTGCACCATCACTTCCAGGCACATGCCAAGGTTTTTATGATTTTCCATCCTGGTCTCATCTCACCAGGCTTCTACAATTCCTCAGGGCTTTAGAACAGCCTTGCTGAGCAGTTCTGGGAGCAGAGAGGCATGATTGGAAAAAGACCTCAAATGCCCCACTATCAGCACAGAGGCTCTCAAGGCAGCAATTTGAATCCTGGTTGAAGACTTAGTGTTGTTAGTTTAGTTAATGCACAGGTATATACAGTGCTTTTTTCTTTAAAAAAATGTTTAGGGGTACTCTTATTTTGACTCAAGAAAACCACCATTTTATAGTTCAAATCGGGGGAAATAAATGCAGTAAATGGACAAAATTACAAAGATTCACAAAATGTTTAGGGGTATGCGTACGCCTGCATACCCTCATAAAAAAGCACTGTGTGTGTGTGTGTGTGTGTGTGTGTGTGTGTGTACACCCACCCATACCACCCTAGGATCTTTTGATAAAGGGCAGTATATAAATTGAATAAATAATAATAATAAAATAGTAATAATATTTGTTTTATCAGCGCAACAAATCTGTTGTTTGTGATGTATTTCTTGCTTGCTTTGTATCTGCGTTGTGGCCAATGGATTAGCAACAAACCTTTGACTGTCTCCAACTCCTTTTCCTAGAACATGAACATCCAGGTGGAAGATGCCCGGATCCGACCCATCCTCTCTGCCTTTCGCAATCGCATTCCCGTCACAGAGGGTTACGTGGAAGTGAAAGAAGGAGGCATCTGGAAACGAATCTGTGACAGGAACTGGACCACAAAAAACTCACGTGTTGTCTGTGGCATGTTTGGATTTCCATCAGAGAAGAAATACAATGTCAGAGTCTACAAGTAAGAGAGGGTTTTAAAAGGGGGTGGTTGTGTTCTTGGGCCCTGCTTAGAGCTAGAGGTTTCCAAATGAGGTGGCAAAAACCTAGGCAAATTGCTTTGGTGTCCCCCACCCCCTTGTCAATGTATTAAGCAGCTTCTTTTCTCCCTTTAACTTCCTTCATAACAAGGGAGGCCCCCAGGCAGCTGCAGAACAGCTTGTGTTAGGAAACTGTTTGTATTGTTTTTCCAGCCTGAAGACCATGATTTGTGGGGCAACCGTGGAGGGAGGTCCAAAGGCTCAACATTTGCGGTTTTTTTGCTTGTTCTTCTGGCTTGTCAAAAGGCTGTTTCCCACTGAGGTTCCTGCTTACAGGATTCCACTGCCTATGTTTCTTGTTGTTCTTCATTAGCGAGAAAAGTCAAAACAGAAAGGCTCCTGGATTAAAATCATGTAAAGCAGCATGGAAAGGCTCTTTCTTTTTCAAAGTCCAGATGCTTTTGTTTTTTTCCACAGGCATCAGTAAATAAGTGCTTCCAGGTGACCTGGTGTTGTGTCCAGTGCATGGGAACAAAATATCACATGTTTATGCCAGTTCTCTCCTCCCCTCTTGGAATCTTTAAAACTCACCGTTTATATTTAAGCCTGATGCATTGTGAAAGAATTCACCACAAGAAGGGCAGAGAGAGAGAGAGAGAGAGAGAGAGAGAGAGAGAGAGATGCATGTGAAAGAATTCACCACAAGAAGGGCAGAGAGAGAGAGAGAGAGAGAGAGGGAGATGCATGTGAACTCGCTTCTTTTTGACATGGTGCTGACATGATGTGGTGCCTTGTCAATCTATATCTGGTCATCTGCTCCCTACCATGAATTGTATCTTGTCAGTCTGCACTCTGCATGCACTGCTGCCCTACAAGCAGAGGTTTGCAAAAGTTGAGGTTTAGTGACAGTGCCAAAGTACTACATCCCACCTGAACATCTCCAGATTAAATGGGGGCAGATTATGGGCTGGCATTTGATGGCAATGGCTTGTATCCCATGCAGCACTTAGTAACTTACTCATCCATGCAAAGTTTCTGTGTTTCCTGAATTTTGCAATGCAGTTCTAGCAATGTGTATAAAAATGCACATACTGAAATGTGCACATAAATGCACATATTAGTGGGGGGGAATCATAAAATGCATTATATTGGAGAAAATTGCATGCAAGATATGCATAGTAGAAGAAATTAGCTCTAACATGCTGATGAATTTTAAAGGAGGACTTTATTTGCAAACTAATATGGAAATGTGCTGAACTGAACTTAATATTGGAAAAATTAGAAACTGAAATTTACATCTTCAGCAATCCTAAATATGCCTGACATGAAACTCAGTGTGCACATTTAAACAGGACACAGAACCTTCTGTAATAGTGGAGGTCATTTTTGTGGGAGATGTGGAATAGAGATCTCTGAAGGCAGAAAAGCTGGAGAATCATTTTGCTAGGGATGTGATGTATGAGTTTCTTTAAATGCTGAGCCCAGCCCCAGACTACCCATGTTGGGATGTTGGTTGGTATCTAGCAGCTCTCTCTTTTCCCAGTGTGTTCCTTAATACTGCCTTTGTATTTTCACATACTGCCTTAAAGGGAAAGCAAAGTCTCCAGTCACTTGGATCCAGTCTTTTTTGCACGTGACTCTGAAGCCTGTTAACATGCCTCTCATTTCTCTGGTTTCACTCTGCATAATATTGTAAATAGCCTTTTCCACAAGGGTGGGGCCTTCCATTGACACTGTGGTTACCACAGCTGGGAAACCAGTTTCCAATTTGGGTTTCTACTCCAATAAGCTGACTCTGTACTTCTGGGGGCTGTGGGTTAAAAGGAACCCTCCCCCCCCTTGCCCACAGAACTAAGAATTTTCATTCCCAAAGCGTAACCTCAGCTTTTACGTGCTGAGGCATTCCACGTGAGACTGCTGAACTTCATGATGGTGGGAAGCCAAAAGATTCCCAGATGCCTCATTTCGCTAAAGAAAACAACTTAGTTCATCATCGTCCTTGCTGCCAAACTCTCACCCTGGAATGTAATTTGGGTTCTGCATTTGACAGTGCAGTTTTATAATTAAAGGAAAAACAAACTTTAAAGCTCTGGGAGTTTCCTATCCTACTGTTCGTTTCACTGAACTCTTTGAGGCCATTTTCCTAATCATTCTTGTACCATAAGAGCGTAAGAAGAGGCCCCTGGGTCAGACGAAAGCACCATCTAGGTCAGCATCCTGTTCTCACTTTGGGCAACCAGATGTGAGGAGGACCTGAGCTCAACGGCACTCACCCTATTTGTGCAACTGCTATTCAAGATGTACTGCCAGTCACAATGGTTATATTCTACCCCCGAGAGCATGGAGGCACTGTTTACCTTCGCGCTGCAGCAGTACTTCTTTATCACTTGACACAGTCCTCCGTGCGCCAGAAGCAGTTTAGTCCTGTTGGCCACGTGACCCAGAAAGCTGTCTGTGGACAAACACCGGCTCCCTTGGCCTGAAAAGCAAGATGGGTTCCACACCCCATAGACTTAACCATCCAGGGGTCCTTTACCTTTTTTATTATTCTACTCCCACTGTCAGAGGCAGTACATATATCCCTGAATAGTGGTTTTGGGGAATCCCAAGTTGGTACGGTGTTGTTGTACTCAGGTCCTGTTTTGCAGTTTCCCACTTTGGTTAGCCACTTTGAGAACAAGATGCTCTATTAGAGGAGCTAGTGGCCTGATCCAGCAGGGTTTTTCTGTTTTTATGCTACCTTGATGGTGGAGGCAGTGTATAGCCATCATGGCTAGTAGCCACTGAATAGTGGCACCCTCCATGAATTTGTCTGATCCTCTTTTAAAGCCATCCAAGTTGAGAAGAGCTCTTCTGGACGGTGTATTTAGTCCAGCATCATGTTTCATGCACTAGTCAGCCAGAAGATTCTGGGAAGCCCACAAGAAGGACATGAAGACCATTGTCCATGGGAAACATAGGAAGATGCCTTATACCAAGTCAGACTTCTGGTCCTACTGTCTTAGTATTTTTGACACTGACTGGCAGCAGCTCTCCAGGTTTTCAGTCAGGGCTGTTTCCCAGACCCATGCAAGTCAGGGATTGAACCTGGGCTGTTGACATCCTTCCCTACCTTGGCCCCGCGGTATCTGAGCTTCAGAGGCATACATGGAAGTCTCTTTTAGCTATCATGGCAAATAGCCACTGATAGAACTACTTTCATGGATTTGTAGTGAAATGTCTGTCTAGCACTAGTCAAATCCTTACTACCAGATCAATCCTCAAAGCAAAATCCTGGCTACCACAAGCAGCTGCCTCCATCAAGCAACTCTCAGGCATTTGTCAATTAACAATCTAAATTGCTGACACAAGTAGATAATTCCTTTTAAAAAAACTATTGTGGGTTTAGGCAGAGTGGAAGGTTTCCTCAAAGCATTGCACAACACAGCATTCTGAGATTTTCACTGCCATGCGTAGCAGGGATGGTGAACCCAGGTCCCTTCAGATTCAGTTGGACTTGCTCTCCCATCGTCCCTGGCCATTGGCCAAGCTTGTTGGGGCTCATGGGAGTTGGAGTCCATTAGCAACTGGAGGACCACAGGTTCCCCTGTCCTGCTATACAAGACGTTGAATCCTTAAAGCCATATTGAAGTAGCTCAAACCTTGGTCCTGAATTAAGAGCTCTTCTTTTATGTATAAGAGATGTGTTCTTAACAAGTTTCTTCCCTGTTTCTTTGATGTATCTCAGCTCAAGACAGTCCTGTATATGCATTTGGATGAATATGCTTATTTGATTGTGTGAATTTACCTGGCTTGCATGTGAGCAGTGTCACAAGACTTGGCCCATAAGGACAAACCTATTGCTTCAACTAATCTGGCTAAACACAACTTTTTGTTATCTCAGCATGTGGCTCTCAGTGATTCCGGTTTCTTCCTTCCTTCAAGGATGACGGCAGCCAGAAGAAAGCACACTTATTGGGCTTATTCCATGGACTGCACGGGCAATGAGGCACACATTTCCAGCTGCAAACTGGGCAATCGTATCAGCACAGCTAGTGGGAACGCAACATGTGAGAATGGGATGCCTGCCGTGGTGAGCTGCTACCCTGGTCGTGCTTTTGCCCCTGGCAGCCACAGCGGTTTCCGAAAAGCTTTCCAACCCGAGGTAAGAGAGACAGAAATATGTTCATCTATTGCTGAGGAGCATAAATTTGTGGAGCTTGAAATAAGCTGTGGGTATTCAACCAACCATGTGGCTCATGTGGAAGGCTTAAGCTAACACTCCGCACCATACGTTTGAATCACTCTTATACCACTTTAACAACATGGCTTCCCACAAAGAATCCTGGGAACTGTAGTTTGTTAAGGGTGTTGAGGGCTGTAGCTCATGACAAACTACAGTTAGCCATGACTGTTAAAGTGGAGTGGTGTGGATATGACTGAGACAAATGTTTTCTTAGCTGAATCTACATATGAAGGCAACAGGAAAGTCCTGACTCCACACAGATACTATGTCTGCTTGCCATCACCTGATCCAAGGACAGCCAACTTGTGGCTGAAGAGCCACACCTAACTTTGGTCCTGATTGTCTCCAGCTCACACAACCTTTCCGATTGCATCTTTTTAAAAATAAGAATCATATTTATTAAGTTTTCCAATTTAACAATCCAATAAAAACCACATTAAAAACATTTCAAATTATAAAATAATCAAACAGTCCAAATGTTATGCCAAATTATAAATCTTTGTTTGACTTCCCATGCTCTGAGGTCGGGCGGTGGCGTTCATCTCACATTTATTCTGCTCCTAAGTTATTCTCTGATTGCATCAAGTTGGATGCAGTGACTCAAATGTCTCTCATTAATTTATTACATTTATATCCCACCTTTCCCCCAAGGTGCTCAGGGTTGTATACATTGTTCTCTCCCCTCCCCTTTTTATGTTCATATGGTGAGAGCTAATGACTCTCCAAGGTGATTCTGTGACTTTCATAGCTGAGTAGGGATTTGAACCAGTGTCTCCCTAATCCCAGGCCAAGCATGTGTCTAATCCATTACACCACACTGGCTAATTTCCCAGTGGGAGAATGCCTGCCCACATTCTTAAGCTATGGAGAGGGCATACACTCCCTGGCCAAGTTTCTAGTGGGAGATGCACAGTGATATCATGACCTGGTGAGTTTGGGGCCTGAGTAAGTGGACTATTGCTGTCCTGTTCGCTGAATTACTTGCATTCAAGCATGTCTTCACTGTAAATCAGCCTTTGTCCGCCTAGAGCCCTCTAGACGCTTTGGACTCTGCAAACTTCTGTCAGCTCTAGCCAGCCACAGCATCTTGGGAGCTGAGGGGCACCAGGTTGACATCCTTTACTCTCAGTGAACCATGTGAGAGGTTTATGGATCTCTAAAAGAAAACTCTTGGTATCCTCATCACAAAACGGCAGCCTTCAGATGTCCTTGGGGGAAGCTGTTGCCATTAAACTGGGTACATCAGTGCCCACAGCACTGTAGCTTAAGCCTATTTCTTTCACAGTTAATGTGGCTGAAAGTTTGCACAACCATGAGCAATGGGATAAGATATTCCAGTGTGACTCATAGCACCTTTCCATGAATTCCTTGTGCATATTTGGGCATTATTTACAGAGCTGTAGGAATACACATACTCTCTGGGATGCAGTGACGGGATAACAGTGTTCTCAACAGTTGCCTTAGTAGATTCTCCAACCACAGTACAGTGGTACCTCGGGTTACAGATGCTTCAGGTTACAGACGCTTCAGGTTACAGACTCTGCTAACCCAGAAATAGTACCTTGGGTTAAGAACTTTGCTTCAGGATGGGAACAGAAATTGTGCGGTGGTGGCGTGGCAGCAGCAGGAGGCCCCATTAGCTAAAGTGGTGCTTCAGGTTAAGAACAGTTTCAGGTTAAGAATGGACTCTGGAACGAATTAAGTTCTTAACCCGAGGTACCACTGTATGAACCCATCTTTGAAACTGCTATCTATCTATCTATCTATCTATCTATCATCTATCTATCCAGTTGCAAAAGTGGTCCAGGAATTAAGGGATGGTTTCGTTGCTAATATCATGGGTATTAACCAATGATTACTCATAACAACTAGCCCCTCACCCCAATTCAGAGTGAATGGTGCAAGAAAGCAGTGGCGTAGCGTGGGGGGTGCAGGGGGGCTGGCCGCACCGGGCGCAACATCTGGAGGGGGCGCGCTCGCACTCGCAGCTCTCTAAAATCCACGGGTTAGGGGGCGCAAATTACTTGCCTTGCCCCGGGTGCTGACAACCCACGCTACGCCACTGCAAGAAAGTAACAACCACGCTGAACCTCTTGTTTTCCAAAGAGGTTTCCACTCTAGAACAGAAATGCATGTTTGTTTGTCAGCAGGGAAGATGTACTCAACTCAAGCTACATTTACTACTCTTAAAAAGTTGCATCTGTCTTCAGTCCATCAGAGCAACATTTGTACTGTAACGATGCTAGTGTTCCTATTGTGCAAGGCCTCGTTTATAGCCTCCCTCCTGTTTTGACCTAGGATGCTTTTTGACTGAGGACAGCGTATGTTCCATTTAGTGCTGGAAATGGCAAGGCTCTTGGCAAAACACTTGCCACATTCTTGTTCAAAATTCTTCTGTTCAAGCCAACTGACTGCTGAGCTGGCTGGCTTGGCTGAACTTGCAGCTCCTTGTTTCTCTCGTGCTGTCTGCTATTCTTGCTTTGTAGATGTTAAATGTGGACAATTCCTTTCCGTTATATAACTGTGACTTGTAACAGATAAACTACCCAAAGGAACATACAGTACAAGCATTGGTTTTGGGTTTTTTTATATATAGATAAATGTTTGATGCTGGTGAAACTGGTTAGCAGCACTCCTGGAGATTATGGATCCATGATCCCATCTTGTATAAAAAAGCTGCCACACTTTAGTGCATGGGTAGGCAAACTAAGGCCCTGGGGCTGAATCTGGCCCAATTGCCTTCTCAATCCAGCCCACAGACGGTCCAGGAATCAGCATGTTTTTACATGAGTAGAATGTCTGCTTTTATTTAAAATGCACCTCTGGGTTACTTGTGGGGCATAGGAATTTGTTCATATTTTTTTCCAAAATATAGTCCCGCCCCCCACAAGGTCTGAGGGACAGTGGACCGGCCCCCTGCTGAAAAAGTTTGCTGACCCCTGCTTTAGTGTCACGCCTTGTTTCCTACATTCATAGAAGAGATAGAAATTGCCACACAGGAAGCATGATGCCATTTAGGTTGCAGACAGATCTATGGAGCTGGATTGATTAGCCTCAGCCAGGCACTTCCAACTTCCAAAAGGTTTCAGTCTATTCACAGTATAAAAAACTGGCAGTGATCTACCCATTGTCATTGGAGGGACCAGGAGCGTGCGCGGGGTCATAGCTGTCAACTTACAGATTTGAAAATAAGGGACCAGCAGCCTTGAAAATAAGGGACCAGCAGACCATGCTGGTAGCTCCGAGAACACTGTCCAACCAACTTTGTAACCAGAGGTTCAACTGAATAGAATCTGAATCATATGCACCACAAGGCCTATGCAGCCTCAACTTAAGATGGCTCCCCGGCCTGGCTTTGCACTGCAAAGTTTGCAGCAGCACGTGCAACAAAATGGCGTCCAGCATTCAAAAACCTCTTCAGCTTGCATTAACTAGCCACACACAAGGCTTGCAAGCTCCATCCCCCAGTCGTTCTTAGACTTCTTATTGGGTGAGCAACACAGCCAAGCAACACAGTTGGAGCCTCCCTCCTCCCTGGGCAGCAGGGAGGGAGGGAGAGGAGCTGCTTCCTTTGAAATTTAAGGGACATCATTTAAGGGACATTTAAGGGACATCCATCAATAAGGGACAGCAGCAGGACATGGCCCTGGAATAAGGGACTGTCCCTTCAAATAAGGGACACTTGACAGCTATGCGCGGGGTGCTGTGTGGAAGGCGGTGGCTAATTGGATGCGGGAGGGGGGGGAGTTTAAGTGGGGGGGATGGAAAGGGAAGCGAAAGTTCTCTCCCTCCCCCAAGCTGCTCTCCCCCCCCAAGCCAGCCCTTTCTCTCCCCCCGCTGTCAAAGGGAGCTGCGCAGTTGATGCAGATCAGGCTGTCACACACAGACCAGAACTGACTATCGCTCCAGCTCTTTCCCTCTAACTATCTGCTCAACTATCTTAGAAACTATCCTTTTATTCTCCCTCCCAAAACACTGGCTCCACTCCCCTTTCGGTAACCAATCAGACAGAGGCTCCAGCCCTCTGGTGGAATTCTGAGGCACTGCATCACCAGACTCTGGTCTGGCTCAGCTGTCCGTCACACCATCATTTGATTCCAAAATGCATCCACAAAACACCTGAGTTCTGTGGGAGAAGGAGGTTTTTTCCCCTAATGGAACCTCAGACTAACCTGGCTGAGGTGGAGTTCCTGGAACATCCTGTAAGTCATCAGAGAGTGCATTTATTTCAGCACCAATAATTGCTCTATTTGTTTTTTATATAGAAGCATGGATTTTCAGTCCTCTAGCCTTATGGGGAAGTATGTACATCGTGTCCTTGGATGAGGAACCTGTTTTCAGTTTATTTAAAATATTTCCTATGGCTCATAGCTGTTGATGTTCTTGTTGGATTTGGGGGCCTGAAGGAACATGAGCTTTAGATACTCCTGAGTGGGCATAGCTGTGTCTCTTTTTAATTCCAACTTTTCAGGAGCTGGAATTCAACAATCATTATCATTATCAGTAAAGGCTGAAAAGATGAGATCTTTATACCTGATACAGAATTCTGTCAAGCAAATCAAATGAACCATGCAAGTTCATCTCTTCTCCCTCCTCCATCCAAATTTAGAAAATGTGCACAAATGTGTTAGGATTACACAATCTAGTCTGCTTCAGCTAATCATAGGGAGGGGGCACAGAAGCTCCTCTTGACCTGTCGACTACTGAGAAGCCTAATCTGTCCCAGAGTTAAAAAAGAAAGTAGGCAGGATCTACCTCATATTCCTTGAAGTGCCCATAAGTTGGGGGAGGGAAAAATTTAATTTTATTTGCATTTTAATGAGAAATTACCTAATTCACATTTCTGAAACCAGTATATAAACTGAAAACACATCTATTCTTCAAGATTCAGCGTTCCCCAAATTTTGTGATGCAGTTCTCTGACCAAATAATTTGTATCAAACTGTGTATATTAGGTGAAAGTGTACATCAAAAAGATCATATTTGGGATTCTTTACAGAAACTGCATAAACAAATGTACATTTTAAAAAATCACTAAAATGATGCGGAATTTCATTATTTGTTTCCAAAAATCAAATTGCTGTGAAAATGTGAAGAATTGAATTAAAGGTTGAAAATGTGAGAAAATGACTCTTCTATCCCCACAATGAATCGTGCCCTAGGTTGCGGCATCACTTAACTATCCCTCCTTCAAAACAATGTGTGTGTTTAACAACAATTTGCCACCTCCAGTTGTGTATTCAGGAAAATTGCATCTATAAACTGAGTTAATTTCCTCTCCAGTTCCTAGTAGGAAGCAAATTGCTGTGCGTTATAGACAGTTGCCTGTGACGGTTACATTCCTGTGAACTTAAGGGTTTTTCCCCTTGGTCTTTATCTTTCAGTTTCCACTGGTGAGGTTAAAGGGAGGAGCCAAGATTGGCGAAGGTCGCATTGAAGTGCTGATGAATGGGGAATGGGGAACTGTTTGCGATGACCAGTGGAACCTCGTTTCTGCAAGTGTGGTCTGCCGAGAGCTAGGCTTCGGATCTGCCAAAGAGGCTATTATGGGTGCAAGGCTTGGGCAAGGTAAGCGTGCTTCCTGTTCAGGAACCTTTAGAGTGGGCTGTCAGGACAGCAAGATGAAGAACTCAGTGGCTGAGCGCCTGCTTTGCGTGAAGAAGATCCCAGGTTCAATCCCCAGCACCTCTGGTTTAAAATAAAGGGACCAAGCGTCAAGGGCTGGGCAACAACTCAGCAGCCCTTGGAGAGCTGCTGCCATTGAGAGTATTGACTCAGGGTGGCTTACAGATGAAAACAAAAAACAGCTAAAAACATTAAAAACCATCATTGAAAAAATTAAACACACACACATGAGAGAGAGAGAGAGAGAGAGAGAGAGAGAGAGAGAGAGAGAACCATACAAATAATTACAGTAAAATAGCACAGTATCAGCCTTTCATTAAAAGCAGTTGGTTCCCAAAAGCCTCTTGGAACAAGAAAGTCTTCACCTGCTAGTGGAAGGACAACAAGGAGGGAGCCTGTCGAACTTCTCTAGAGAGAGAGGTCCATAGTCTGGAGCATCCACTGAGAAGGCCCTCTCCCCCACCCCTACCAAGTGCGCCTGTGAGGGTGGTGGGACCGAGAGAAGGGTCTCCCCCAAAGATTTCAGGCAGGCTCATATGAGGGAATATGGTCTTTCAGGTAGCTTGGACTTAAGCCATGTAGGGCTTAGGTATAGGTATGTAGAGTAGATAATGTCAGGTTAGAGGGCAAGTCGTCTGACCTGGAACAAGGCATCTTCCTATGTCCCTATGCAGTAGCAAGACCATGGTCCATACTCACAGATATTCTGAATACCCACAGAGGGACTCGTATTAGGGTGCAAAGTGTGTCTGTACAGAGACACATTGATCTCACCTGTGGGGAATCTTATCAGTGGAGGCTGGGACATTCAGCCTTGGGGAAGTTGCAGCTCTTGCTGTCACCGCAACATTGTCCTGCATTGCAGCTTTTGTTTTTCCTTCTAGATGTGAATGACAACCACTTGTTTACTTGAGGGGTGCACTTGATCCTACCCCAGGCCTGGGTTCAATGTCTTTATCATGCTAGAAAAGAGGGGGGAATCTTTTTTGGCCCAGATCTGCATTCCTTTATGGGCCACGTCCAGGGGGGCATATACCAGCAGAGGATGAGCCCAGAGGCAAAAGAGGGCAGCAGCAGCAGAGGCAGCAAAACGGGTGGGGCGATGAATGTGGCTCCTACCTTTAGCCAACGGGAAACAAAAAACAGATTTTTGACACACAAGCTCCATCCAGGCAAACAAGAGGCATGATCAGCCCCAGGGATATGTTCTTGGGGTGCTTTGGCCTGGCTGGAGCAGGTCCTTAAACTGAACAGAGCAGGGTTGGTGCAGGTGGGGCTTGGGCAGAGACCTGAGAGCCAGATAGAGAGGCCTGGAGGGTGACATTTGGCCTCTGGACTGGCGGGGGAGGGGTGGGGATTCCCCATCCCTGTACGGGAATGTGACACAAGGGAGAGGAGCAGAGGAGCATTTTGCAATATTTGGAGCTGGTTTGCATCTTCATTGCTTAAAAGTATATCCTCCTTTCCCTCTATAATGGGATTATTATGTTAAAAGCAATCAAACACGATATGAACAAATAATTAGAAAACTCCCAGCAGCCAAAATATCTAGGAGACTTCCAAAGCCTGATTAAAAAGAGAAGTTATAAACTACTTTCCTGAACGCATACAAATCTTTAGGTTTTAAGAAGCGGGAAACAAGCCCAGGGTCCTTATGCGGCCTCGCTGCCCAGACCCCCCCCCCCCCCCGCTCCCCATGGGTGTTTTTGGCTTCTTGGATTGTATCCTTGAACTCTGATAATGCCTGCATGGAGAAGTGTGTTTGTGTTGAACAGGGATGGGGAGCTCTATGACTTTCCAGGTGTTGGTGGACTACAGCTCCCATCTTTCCTGGCCATTGGCCATGCGGCCCTGGGCTGATGGGAGTTGGAGCCCAACAGCATCTGGAAGACCACAGGGATAGAAAGTAGCCTGCTGTGCACAGGGTAAAGGTTTCCAGGGCTGCTCTACCCACTTTTGCCTATGGCCCCATCCATTGTGGGCATGTGGCCCCCAGCAGGGAGCGTGGTCCTCAAGCTGGGAAAGAAGGTTCCTTGCAGCTTTGTGAGGCAATCATTTCCATGGACTCTTCCTCAAGCCTCCAAATCATCCCCCAGGCCTGTGTTACTATCCACTACCTAACCAAAAACCACACCATAAAACATAATGGAAGGGTGAAATGCCTCCAAACTGTGTGGTTTGGGGTGAAGGAAAAGGAAAAGGAATAAAAACGTATGAGACACACTGCAGCTCTCTGGAATCTTAAAAATGCAAGCTTGCCAGCCAGCAGCACACAAGAGTTCTCTGATGTGAATTTAATTGCAGTTATGGCTGCAGAAGTGCCAGCCATCACACGAAAAGGTTTGGCTGCCACGTGAAGGGCTCAAACGTGCTGCCTGCTGCCACATTACACAGTCAGACCCTGGAAACTCTCTCTTTTTTTTTTACCGTCTTGGGTGGCTGAGCTGAAAAAGACCTCTCTCATAAAGAGAGGTCTTTTTGACCGTTTATGTGTAATCTTCGGTTTAATTTTCTTAATTTTTTAAACTTATGTTTATTGTAAAATCCTAATAAATATTTTATAAAAAGAAAAAGAAAAAGACCTCTCTCTACCTGAGGCCTTGGCAAGTTATTGCTGCCAGCCAGAACAAGCAATATTTGGTTTGATGGATTGATGCTGTAACCAATAAGGTGGCTTCATATGTTGGGGGCAAAATGCAAGCGTAAATGAATTTGGGGCCTTTCTTTAGTCATTAAAACCCATCTAGGCTGGATATGCTTAGATTGGAGAAGAGAAGATTAAGGGAAGACATGATTGTGGTCTTCTAATATCTGAAGGGCTGTCATAACAGAATATGGATCAGACTTGTTGTCTGTGTCTCAAGGCAGCAGGACTAGGAACTGATGGGTAGAAATTGCAAAGAGGCATATTTCGGCTGGACAGTGGGTGATGCTTTCTAATAGTGAGGGGTGTTTGACAGTGCAGCAGGCTGCCTCAGGTATTTATGGGTTCTCCTTCATTAGAGGTTTTAAAACAGATGCCAGACAGCCCTCTGTCAAGGATGCTATAACTGCATCCTGTGTGGCAGATCCGGCAGATCCATCTCTAGGATTCTTTGATCTGGTAAACTGGGGATTTTCACATCAGTTAGTTGGCTCCAAACCCTCACATTATGGATTGTATACAACTAACCTCTTCTCAGAGTAGACCCATTGAAGTTAATAGACCTAGGTTAATCATGTCTATTAATTCAGTGGGTCTACAGAGTATGCCATTAGTGAAAGACTATAACTACAGAAATACACCTGCACATGCAAACACTCGTATAGTGGAGAAAGTGCTGGACTTGAGAAAACAAGGACTCCAAGCCCTGCACAGCAATGAAACGCACTAGGAGATCCTGGGCCAGTTACTGTGAGGATAAATGGGGAACAACCCCAGACATGCTGCTTTGAGCTTTTGTGATGAAGAATGGAGTGCACATGTGATCTATTGCATCTACTGTATGTGAGTGTAGGTTAGTTGCACCCTCCCAGCCTATGATACATTTCTTTGACTCCTGGAAAAGCTGCTTCTCCTTCTCCACAGTCTCCCAAACAAAGCCTCTCTCCATCAGAAGGTGGCATCTTCTGATTCATGGGTTCTTGGGACAGGTGTTGGCTCAGGCACTTTGCCCTTGGTTGGAAATGTTTTGCTTGGTCCTTAAAAAGTCAAGAAAATCACACACTTTTTTTTAAAGCCAGAGGTGCCAGGGATTGAACCGAGAACCTTCTTCATGCAAAGCAGGTGAATGCGTTAGAGGCTAAGGCCTCTATTGTATTGTAGGGACCTACTTCAATGCCACAAGACTTCTCAGTAAACACACACAGGTCCAGGCTGCAACAGATTTATTGGAGAAAGGGCTTCAGGCTTAACAAGCAATCAGCTTTGGCTAACTAGGTCCCAGTTTTATCCATGTTAAAGTGGGAAGTGTGAGTCATTCTACACCCAAAAAATCAAATAATTTTTTTATTATGATAAAATACTTATTCAAGCCTTATTCGAGCTCAAAACATCCTGTGGAATCCTTTTGTATCCTCAGAAGGCCAAACAATCTTGGACTCCTCAAGTAGCCCACCTGTATTTGAAGTTACTTGTTTTTCTGTTCTTTTATATTGCCCTGGAAAAAGTATCCTAGTTCCCACTGAAATGTCAGAGCTTGATCAAGTGCAGCTTCCTGGCGGGGAGGAAATTGCCAAAAGTGCTGGGTAATATATATTTTGCTTCCAGTTCCCCAGCTGAAGTTTATAAATGATGGAGAAGTGGAAAGTTGGCCTTTCTTTTCCTTCTGGCCTCTTTATTGTAGCAAAATAAACTACTGGAAATAATTTCTCAAGCTGTTTTTTAAAAGTGGCAAGAAGCATTAGCAGAAATCCATATTGTGGTCTTCTTGGGTTAGTATCTGAAGTTTCTAGATCTTGGGATTTGATAAGTCTAGAGTTCTGAAGTATGATATCTGAAATCCAACGTTTCTTCATCTTACTTGCTGTAGAAAATTGAGAATGTCTGTTTCTTCTTCAAGGTATGGGCCCCATTCATGTCACTGAAGCAAATTGCAAAGGATTTGAAAAGTCTTTCACAGACTGCAAATTCAGCACCCAGTTAGGAAGTTGCACTCATGAAGAAGATGCTTCCGTTAGATGCAATGTTCCAGCTATGGGATTCCAAAACCAGGTAAGGAACAGAGCTGTCTTGTCTATAATGGGAGAACCATTTTTCTGCTTTTTTTGGTATTTATGATATTTTCCACAAGCAACAGTTCCCCTGCACAAGCAAGTGTGAAAATAAACTCTGAGCTAACTCACAGAAGCTAATTCACAGGAATATTTCAGAAAGCCAGCACCCTTTTCCACAGCTACTGCAAAAGTTGGAAAGTTCAAACCATGCTGGCAATTTTGAAATGTCACACTAAACCATAGTTGAACATGCCAAGAATGAACCTAGATGAGTTCGAGGGAAGGGCTTGCATGCGGGCAGCATGCCTGCCTCTCCTCTAGCATGGCTTTGGCTTCCAATTTCCCTTAACCACAGTTTAGCTTGCCGTAGGTATCCTAAGCTGTAGCTAATGTTTACTGTGGTTTTTTAAAAATAAAACAAACAAACTAGCTTCATAACCCATGATTCACAGGTTGTCAGTTTATGAAACAACTAGCTGCATTTAAGCACCAAAGGAAAAGAAAAGAGGTGGGAATGAGCAAACCTAAGGCTATCTGAAGTAGGTCTTTGTTATGCTAAACTAGGGTTTAGTATGACATCAGAATTTTCCCACTGTGGGTGAAATCCAAAATCCACAGTGCCACAACAGCTTTATTAGGATCAACCAAAATGTCAGAAAGTTTTGAGCAAACATTTTGAATTCTCCTGCACTTTTCATCACACAAGATGTTGAACAAAGTGGTAGCAGGAGGGAAGGAAAAACATGGCGTAGTCTTTTTATCCTCAAGGCTGCAGTACTTAAGCTGGAGTATAGAAGGAGTCATGTAACATTAACCTGAATGCAGAGCTCTCCATCCCTTGCCTGGTCATATCAAGATCCAGAGCTCAATAGTAGACAACAGTTGTGCATTCTGAAGATCTCAGGGTTGAAGTCTTTGTATCTCTAGTCAAAAGGAGGTCTCCAGGATGGTGCAGGAGAACTTCCAAGCAGATTGTGCCCATGGCTTTCTGATCAATGTTACTTCCTTCATCAGGTATGCCCAGTTCTATTTTTCTAGAAAAGGAAGTGCTCACTATGGGAACCTTCCTCATTGTTTTAGAACGGCAATGGTGCCCACCTGAGAGGTGCCAGAACTGAGTTCGTGAGTTCCAGCTGAAAAAACCCCTGGGTATGCCACATGTCATGCATTGATCATTAACTCCAAGAAAATAGGCTTCTTTCAATTTTAGAAGCACAAAATAGTATAGCCACAATCAAAATGTCCAGAAGAGTGCTGGAGGTTTTTACTCTGAGCTATTCTGGACCTAATGGTCAGGGGTCCCTTTACCTTTATTCCCCTTCAATCTAGAATAATATTATTGGGATACAACTTGCTTGTTCACTAGTATTGCTAAGGAAACACAAGGGATGTGCTTTGGGCCAGAAGAACACTTGGGAATGTCTTTGTGGATTTGTTGTTCACCTGTATTGGAGGGATCATAGCAGCAGAGTCGTATGGGTCAAGGAGCTAAGGGGAACTCCAGTCTAGGCTGAAGCAAAGGACAAAATCTATTACAGTCCTATGGTTCATGGTGCTAACATATTTGCAAATGGGCAGCCATTTGTATTTGTATGAGACTCGTTGTCACCCTCATAACATGTGTTTGTGTATTGCTAATGCTGTTCTGCAGAACAGATCAGACCTGGGGTTGGTTCAGAGCAGGAGTTGCCAACCTGTTGCCCAAGGTGGCTAAGATAGCTTCCAATGGCATCCCTGGGCAGATGCCCAAGACTGTGGGTTTTCTGTTCTTTTTTAAAAGTTGGTCTGTAACCCTCCTAGAGGTCTAGAAATAAATAAAGCTACGGGGCAACATGTGCAGGTCCCTTCCAAGCAAATTTTGTGAAATGAAGAGTGGTGTGGCCACTCACATTCTGCTTGCAGGCTCCCCAATGACATCTGGCTTCCAACTATGAGAACAGGATGCTTGACTAGATGGCACTTGAGTCTGATGCAGCTGGGCACTTGATGTGTGCATTGCAGTACTATATTGGCAAAATGGCAGCCACTTGAAGAAACCATCATGTGAGATTCAACCACACTGCAGATGTTCAAATAATGCATTTGTCAATGCACAGTAAAAGCTGGATCCAGTGCTTGGCAGCATGGGCCCACAGATGGCTAGAGACCAATAATGTGCATAGGCTCTTCAGGTAGCTACTGTGTCCCCACCTCACCCCAAGGTGATGCTTTAGACTACTTCTTAAAAGTGTTACTAAATATGTATTTAGTTTTAATGAGAATGAGAAGAGGTTTTGCTCAGCCCTTCACATTGAGGTCACCTTCAAATGTTGGCTCAAGATCTTGGCTGGCAGGCAGGCCACTGAACTTGTGGGATTTGTATCCTGATCATTTGGCCAGACTCTACTTGTTCCATTCACTTTAACATCTGTGTTCTTTTAGACCCAGAGAGCAGAACATAGAGCAGCATGCTAGTCATTCTTCAAGATCTGTGCTTCATAAACACTCCTGTGCTTCTCACTGCTGATAGCATTAAAACTTTCTGAAATATGCAACTTTAAATGACACTAAGGAAGCTTCCTTATACCAGACAATTGGAGCTGATCTGAAGCCCTTCTCTAACTTAAACATTTGGGCCCATCTCTGTAATACTCGGCACTAGAGATTCCTTTAGGCATAGATCACATCAACATCTGCTTCAGACCCTCAGCCAAAGAGGCACTGCAACTTCTGTAATGTACTGTACAAGGCTTTTCTTAAACCCAGGTCCCATGTCCTGGGGGAAGGGGGCAGACTCTGAGACCTGATCCTGAGGGGTGGCCAATCCACAAGTCTGCTAAAATCAAAAGTAACAGCAAAGTTCCCAGGCTAATGGTACACAGCTAATGGTAAATTAACCACCAATCAATATGCAATTGCATTTGCATTAAGGGGGTGGGGGACAGATGGGCAAGGAAGGTATTTAAAATCTGTTCCTATAATGAGTGATGTGGAGAAGTGGAAAGTTCAGGAAGCAAAAAGTCAAGCAACTCCCAATCATCTCAGCCCATAAACCCACTGATGAAGCATTAGAGCCAATTGTAAAAGGTTCAATTCATAGTTGTAGGTCCCAGAGGAGGCCTGAAGGTCGCTAAATCCAGCTAATCTCTAAGTGAATGGAGTGCCACTCTGGACACTTAAAGCTCTGATCACTATTGAACTTGAGAATGTTGTCACACATCCCAGCATAGTGACCTTGCCCATAGTTCTGCATAAACTATATCAACATTGGGCTTATCCACACCTCCGTTTGCCCTGCTGCTTAACCACTGAATTGGAACAAACGGCAACTGGGCTTTCCCACAGGTTGCATTTTGTTCCAATTTAGTTCTAGAGAGCTGGCTTTCCAGGGTAAAGCAGTGGCGCAAAGCCAAAACTGCTCAGCCCTGTGCCTAGAAAGCACCAAACATGCGAAAAACCACTCAGCCTTGTGCTTTCTAGGAACAGGAAAAACAGGCGTGTGGATGAGCCCGTTGTGCAATTCAGCCATTAAAAACCAGGGGTCTTTGGATGATTATCTGGATGCTTGCAAGTCAAGTAGAGACAGAACTGTGTTAGCTGTTAGAAATCACACAGGCCAGCCAGGGAGATGCTACTGACTTTTAATAAGTTAATTTGCCTGGGACTGTTCTTGTTGCATTTCTCCTTTCCCCGTTTTAGTGCTCTGTGTAGAATTGCCCTGTGCACACTTCCTTGGGAGCAAGCTGCATTGAACTCAATGGGATTTACTTAGGAACATAAGAAGAGCCCTGATAGATCAGACCAAAGGACAATCTAGCCCAGCATCGTGTTCTCACAAGGGCCAGCCAGATGCTGCTGGGAAGCCTGCAGGCCCTGAGCAGAATGCTTTCCATTGCTAACAAAGTATTCAGAGGCCACCACCTCCGACACGGCAGGCGGTACAGAGCTGCTATGACTAAGGCTTGTCCACACTCTGGTTTGTCTTGTGCTTTCTTAGAGCTGGCATCAGATCAGCAGCTCTGGACCGAAAGGTTTTCATATCTATCCCAGCGCAGCAACACAAAAAACCACTTTCTACCTCTGTCTTGGCACAAACAATTTGATTTGAGTTTCTAAGTAACATGAAAAATTCAACAGGAAATGAATTTTGCTCCCTTTGCTGTTTGCACAGGACCAGGTTTTTTTTTGGTGACAGGAGCTATCACTTTTTATTTTTCTTCTTTTATAATTTACAGATACGTTTGAGCGGTGGCCGCACGCCCTACGAAGGCCGGGTGGAAGTTCTCCGGGAGCTCAACGGCACACTCAAGTGGGGCACAGTCTGCAGTGACAAATGGGGCACGATAGAAGCCATGGTGGTCTGCCGCCAGCTGGGGCTTGGCTATGCTGCCCACGCCTTCCAGGTATGTTGATAACTCTTGGCTGGTTTCCTAGTGGGCCAATTTTACCTAGGATCCAATCTGAACACCAACCTGCTACATGGGAACCACTTATCATTTTTCATTATACTCGTTTGCCTTCTTTATCTGGCTGTCTCCATCTCTCTTTCCATGCCCCCATACTTCTGCATTATTCTCTCCTTCCTATCTTCCTTTCCTTTCTTTTAAAAAGTTAGAAAGAAAGACAAAATGGTGGCTGCGTCCCTATTGTAGGGATGGGAAACTGTGGCCTCCCAAATATTGTTGGGCTCCAGTTCCTACCAACCTCAGTCCATTTGGCCAATGGTTAGGGGTGATGGGACCCCTAGTTCAGTGACCTGGAGGGCCTCAGGTTCCCCTTCCTTTGCTAGGGGCACACTCACCTTTTGGTCCACAGTGCACTGAGGTTTTCATATGCATGACGGGAACCACCTGGAGCTTCACATGGCTGCAATGTGTACAAGCAGCACAGCTGTCTGTAGACCTTAACCTCAAAGACTCTCTTAATTCCAATAGCATGAGCTACAAGCAGCCTTAACTTCTGCTTTTAAGGAATGTTCCAGTCATACATCAGAGAATCGTAACCTCATTTGTATTAAAAGCTGGCCAAACTAGGGAGGCCTAAAATTATTGGACCATGTGAGATTTGAAATGGGTCATGGAAACTGAACATTCATCTATACCCAAATAATCCAGTTCTTCTTTAAGAGCAACTTGTACCCATGGGGAGAAAGTAGTAATGTTGGTTTTAGGTCACTGCAGGAGAGTTACAATGTCTTTGTGAAATAAGCTATATGGTCTTACAGTATTCATTGAAAATTCTTGAAGTATTAAGACAAGCAACTGTGGTAGAAAGTGGACAGTATAATAGCTTTGCAGCAACAAGTAAAATGTAATACAGAAATGAAAGAACCTCAGGAGAATGTTTAAGATGAAATCATGTCCAACCACACGAGAGAAGATGACCACCCATATTTTGGTGAGTGTTTTTGGTTGGGATGAGGAAGGTACCAAATCCACAGGTGGCTGCGCAGAGCTAGTCCCATGCTTGTTAAGAGGACACACCTGCCCTAATATCCACATTACCTGAAGTCCTTTCCCTCCGGGGCCTCTGGCTTCAGTTTGCCTGTCATCAGCTGTCATGGAGCTTATTGATTAATCACATTGGTATCCCACCCTTCCTCCAAGGAGCTCAGGGAGTTACATAAATGGGGATTGTTCTATTTTACGGAGAAGTGTCAGCAGCTCTTCCCAGACTCAGGCCCCTCTTTTTTGCAGCCACCCACTTATTTTCTGATATATTTTTGAATGCTGTGATTTCATGCTGTGAATGCCCTAATTTCCTGGGTCATTTAAGACTTAAATTCACAGTTATTGCTCATTACTTGATGCCGTACTCGAGCATTTTCTGCTCAAGGAAACATTGCTATTCTTCATCCACGCTTTGGGTTTCCTGCCAAGGGGGCAACTTGTGCTTCTTTCTCCTCTGCAGAGAGTTGCGCAAGCTGCAACTGCATTGGCCCCCTGACCTCAGTGGAACCTTCCACTTTAGCTGACCCAGAAAGTTCACAACACCTGGTTCCTTTCTAGCTCAAAGCTACTGTACTTTGAGGGGAAATGCATCAAAATGCAGCATTTCCTAAGAAAGGACAGGTTAGAGGTTAGATTAGCAGTGAGAGTGCACTGGGGGCAGAATGAGCAGGGCTGCATCCACAGCCTTTGACATTGTTCAGATATTATGCAGAACGCTGCTGGGAAGTGAGGTCTTCTTAGATGAGGAATTCTCTTTTGCAACAGTACCCAAAAGTGGAGCTCCCTTTGGTGACCCCACCCCACCCCCAATGTGTTGCAAAAAAGCACCAACTGTTTCTGGGACATTTCCCCAGGAAATAAGCTGGTGCCAAAACACACCTTAATTGTCAAGGCTAGAGGAGGTGGCAGCAAGGGGAGCTAGCGCTACAGTCTACTGTGTGTTCCTCTTAAAACGAGCTGGAAGGCCTCACTTTAGAGATTTGGTTTATTTTCTTGTGTGGCTGCCAACTCCTAGTTCAAGAGTTGAGGGCAACTACATCCATGGAACACCATGCTTTCTGATCTCTCAGCTGTGTTGACATAAGCAGGGCCAGTGCTGTTTGATGTGGGGCATTTCCTGTGGCCGGGGCTACTGATACTTGCAAGAGAAAAGGCCCTTGTGTTCCTCCAGGCTGCACCCTTGACTGGAATATACGGCGACCCTTGTGTGTGGAACAGGGCGCACCCTATGTACCTATATGTGTGTGCAGCCGGTCAAGGGGGCCGTTGGCAATGCAGTTAACTAGACCGTGTGTTGCTGCAGAAGCGATGGTACGTACAGTTCATTCACCCTTTTATGATGTCCTCCCTGCCTTGGATTTTGCACAAAGAGGACAATAGTGCTAATCTGAAGCCCTTCTTGCATTTATACCACATATTGCTGAAGCTAAGGAGCTTTTTACATTTTGCAGGTAAAAGGTCGCAGTTTCAGTCTCCATCAACTACAAGAAGCAGGTAGCGCTGGGAGAGAATGCTGTTTGAAATTCCAGAGAGCTTCTGCCAGCCAGTGTAGACAATACTGAGCTTTATGGACTGATGGTCCAACTTGGTATAAGGCAGCTTCCTATGTAGTAAATACAGGAATGCGGGCTGCCAATCAGATATAGAGAAAGCCAATTTCAGTCTCCTGTAAAAAGACCTTTAATTCTCATGGCTGAAAGTGTGAGGACATGCATAATGTCTTAACAGCAGTCGCGAGGGGTCCTTTACCAGAGACTTCACAATGTGTCTTTTGCTTGCCAGCGAGTTCAGTGCTGACTTAGCTGTCAGACTTCACAAACACATACACACACAGGCCTCTCCTGCATGTTCAGCAGGGGTGCCATTTAGGGGGAGCCGAGGGGCCAAGGACCCCCAAAGAAATTTCAAGGAGGGGGCTGAGCCCCCTCAGTATTCCATGGTGATGTACATGCACCACGCAACACGCTTACATCACTCATGCACACACTTCCCTACATGCTCATGTCACACGTCAAGTCGTGGGGGGGGCTCATCAGCACGTCCCACAATGTGCGTGCGACACATCAGCATGCCGTGTGGTGTGCATGTGCCGGCTCCCTCAATCGCAAGGGCAAGCCAGTGTGCCTGATGCTCAATAAGATGGTTGCATACGTGATTTCTCAAGCATTAGAAACCATTAAGTTAAAAGTAAATCTGAGCCACTCAGAAACATTTCAGTTCAAAAATACCTTAAACCAAACAGGAGGGTTTTTTAAAAAAAAAAATAAACAAAATAATGTTAAGAACTAAATGAGGTGTTTGTGTGGAACTAAATAAAAAGGAAGGTATGCTAGCAAATTTTTTTTAAATAATAATAATGTTTTAAAAACTGCTCTAGGAATTGGAGTGTTAGCGACCTCACAGGTGCTAGACAATAGGCTCCATTCACAATTGGCTTCTCATAGAATCTTAGAGTTGGAAGAGACCCCGAGGGTCATCTAGTCCAGCCCCCTGAAATGCAGGATTCTCGGCTAAAGCATCAATGACATCCCTTCTTCCAAAACCAAACTACACTGAAAACTTCACTCCCAGTCCAAAAAAAGTATGTTAGCATTGCTTTCAAAACAGTCCCATTGCTATTGATGTGGTGTTCATCTTTTCAGGGTCTTATCGTAACTTTCAATAATTTCCAATACTTTACAAACTATCTCCATGGTATTAGTTATAAAAGTGCATCTTGGCTACAGAGTGAGCTTTCTGTTGTCCTTCCAAACACACAGATGTTGCAAGGGAGGCCTCGTTTATATAACAGGCAACAATATTATTGTGGCAGCACTTCTGACTCAAAACAGATCATGCCGATAAATTAATAGATGATTTGTGGTGTTCAGGGTGGAGTTGGGAATTCAAAGCTTGGCTGCCCAATTGCTATAGCAAGTCCAGAATCATTGCATTCACAATGAATTGCATCATCAGACCACCAGATGAGGAGGAGGAGAGGCTAGGATGGTTGGAGTAACCTTCAAGAACAGTCTGCTGCATTTCCCAACCTTCCAGCTCATTTGATAGACCAGGTGTTGTAGGACCAAGCCAGTCCCCAGCAAAGGATGCTTGCTATTTATTTATTACAATTGCCTTTCAGGGTATAGGGTTATAGCCTGTGTTACTTACACTCAGAGAAGATCCATTGCAATTAATGGGCATTGCTTACTTAGTCCTATTAATTGTAATGCGTTTACTCTGAGTAGAACATAGTTTGAGATAACCCTTGGATCTTACCAAAGTGGCTTACAAGTCACATTCAGTCATATATTTTAAAAACACAATAAACAATATTAACAAGTCATCAGCATCCTTCCTATGTGGCAGTTGATGATAGATTACCCTTTGTAGGGGGAGGAAAGTCCAGCTGGGGGGGGGGGGTCTGCTTGAGGAATCCATTCTTTGAGAATTCTAGAACTAATTTAATGGGCTAATCTGCAGCACTTAGAGTGACATGCAGTTGGAATGCAGTTATTCTTCGGAATGTTGTGATACAGTACTTCACTTAACAAAAATGTAACAAAATGCATATGAAAAAATAAATAGGAATGCATATTTTGTGAGGAAATAGTAGGCAACAGTCAACTATCATTTCCCACTGACACAAGGGTTTCATTTTACACAATGGAACTTCTCACCTCCTGCCCCTGTGCACCCCCTCTGGAGCAGATTTGGGAAAGGTGTGTGGCATACATGGGGAGAAGCGAGGGGGAACATTCCATTGCACAACAGAAAATCCCTGCACCAATGGGATGTATGACTTGGCTCTTGTTCTTTAAATACGACTTCGTGTGCAGAATTTTTATTATTTTAATCATGGATTACTGTGGAAACACAATATAGTGGACTTTGGAATGAACACATGCAAAACTGACATGGACCAGTAGCAGACATCCATCCATCCCTACCAAGACCATTTTGCTTCTTCAGCTCTGAAGCAACCCTTTCACTCATACTGATACAGTTCCAGCATTAGCATGTTCACACTGGGTCTCTCATGCAGATGTACTGACATATTAATAATGGTGCTACATTGCTGGCTGGCCAATCCTTGATTGGACTGCTTGCTGGTTCATAGCCAGATGAACTACACACTACTACACATACTACACAGATGGGAGCTCATTGGGCCTTGCTTAGAGGAGACCTGCTGAAATCTATGGCCATGAGTAATTTTTAAGTCCATTAATTTCAATGGGACCTGCCTTGGATACAATCTATGATTAGAAAATAGTTGATGATATCTCTGTTCGAATGAGACACTCATCAGAGTTTAGGGAAGGTTGCACATGCAGAGCTAAGGGGAGACTGCAAATGGAAGTTGGTAGTTTGGGAGAAAAGGCAGAGAAAGTTGAAAGTTAGCTGAAAAAGGCCTCTGCGGTCTGATATCAGGTAGCAGATCTGCTGCCTCCTGTTTACCTCTGCTTTTACTCTTATATTCAGTGAATTTTTTCTGGAGGACGCAGGAGTATGCATACCCCTAAACATCTTGTGAATCTAAGTTTGGCCTCATTGAGGGGCAGTATTTCAATATGAGTAGGAAAATGAGAATACCCCTAAACATTTTTTTTAGGAAAAAAGCACTGCTTAGATTTGTAAATCTGAATTGTGCATTGCTTTGTAACGATTTGTTGGGTCTCTGGACCGCACTAAAGATTGATGATGATTTGTAAATAAGGTAAGGTTACACCTGATTTGGTGCATCAAATGTTAACAGGAGCTTGGTATATTATCACTTTGTACACAGATTTGGCTGGCTGTCAGCTGCATACCCTTGCCTTCCCTTGCCTAAGCTGCTGTAATGCCACTGATCCCATTCTGACTGCCATGGAGGAAGGGCCAGTCATGGAATGGTGACTAGATGTGCAGTTACTGAGTGGGAAGTGAAAGATTGGGCTTGCTTGGCAGAAGTAAAAATTCATCTGAATGGCAGGAGTGTCTCTGTGAATGGTAAAACACAAAGGTTTGGTGTGGGGGCTGAGGGCCAGGGAACCAGAGGGTTTGGCAGAGTTGAATTTCACACAGTGATTCGAAATAACTAGCAGAAAAAGAGAGCAAGGAATATTCTCGCCTCTATTAGGTGGGCATAGATATTTTCTAAAAGCTTTCCATACCATGGCTTTGTTCCTCCTTTTTTTGCAGCAGTGGTCAGTCCTGTACTTTTGGGCAGGACAGCTACTTGAGGAAAAAGCCACTCGCACATCAGCCCATCTGCTGTGCTTGGCTCCTGGTTAGCTCAATGGGAGAAAAAGGCACGACAAGCCGCTTGACTTGCTGTTTACTGAGTTGTTGCCTGTTTTCCAGGACATGTGCCAGGTCTCCATTACTCAGTGAGTTCAAGGAGGTGGCATTTTAATTTGTTCATAATTCAGTTAATTCTTCTTGGGCAAATGTCAGCTGTCTGGGATCCAGCTGCTAAATAGATGCTTCCTGGATCCAAGTATCAGATAGTAGCAAAAAACCTTGAGAGCTTAATTAGGTGTTGCAAGAGACAATAAATGGTAGCAGATTCCCCCCCCCCCCAATAATGTTTGGGTAAAGAATGTGTGATGACTGACACAGCATTTCGCTGTGTTGTTCCCCTAATATGCCAGGACAATGACAGCATGCACTGAGTTTACAGTGGTACCTCAGGTTACATACACTTCAGGTTACATACGCTTCAGGTTACAGACTCCGCTAACCCAGAAATAGTGCTTCAGGTTAAGAACTTTGCTTCAGGATGAGAACAGAAATCATGCTCCAGAGGCACGGCGGCAGCAGGAGGCCCCATTAGCTAAAGTGGTGCTTCAGGTTAAGAACAGTTTCAGGTTAAGTACAGACCTCTGGAACGAATTAAGTACTTAACCCGAGGTACCACTGTACTTAGAAATTGTAAGAGGAAAGAGTACAGCTCTGTAACTTTCACAGCTGTGAGCTGCGGAGCCTTAATTTCAAAACTTTATGGGACTGCATATACACTATGACTTCCCCCAAAGAATCCTGGGAAGTGTAGTTTGTTAACAGTGCTAGCAATTGTAGCTCTGTGAAGAGTAAGCTACAGTTCCTGGAATGCACTAGGGAAAGTCATGTGCTTTATCTCGGCCTCAGCTGAGACGTGGTGGTGATCATAGTGGCCTCTTATAAGAGTGTTGTAGATGCGGCAGGTGTAGCACTTTGCATTCAAGAAATGCAGTAAATAATAGCAATAATCAATAGGAACAAACCAATAGCTACAAAAACCACAAATATATTCAGACTGAGGGTGGATCTACACACAGGAGAAAAGTAATAAATTACCGTATTTTTTGCCCTATAGGACGCACTTTTTCCCCTCCAAAAATGAAGGGGAAATGTGTGTGCGTCCTATGGGGCGAATGCAGGCTTTCGCTGAAGCCTGGAGAGCGAGGGGGGTTGGTGCGCACCGACCCCTCTCGCTCTCCAGGCTTCAGGAAGCTATACGCTAGCCGTGGGAGACGCAGCTCTCCCACGGCTAGCGGAGAGCTTGCCGGCACCCAGAAGCTTGGGGCGCGCTGAGCTCAGCACGCCCCAAGCTTCAGGCTTCGGGCAGCTCTACGCTAGCCGTGGGAGAGCTGCGCAACTTCGCGCAGCTCTCCCACGGCTTGCGGATAGCAGCCTGTTCTGGGGGCTGGGGTCGGGGGAAGCTTGGGCTTCCCCCGCCCCAGCCCCGCACCTGGGGGGGAAATAATTTTTTTCTTCTTTCCCCCCAAAAAAACTAGGTGCGTCCTATGGGCCGGTGCGTCCTATGGGGCGAAAAATACGGTAAATTGTTAGAACAAAAGAATAAAAACACTATGTAAAATCACATAGAAAGGTTTTGTGCTCTACTGCGCCATCTGGTGCTGCATGTTTATAATGCATTCAAAATGCTATGGTTTTTTTTTACTAATGTAGCTGAGTCCTGACACTGCCTGTGTGAAGTTATAAGGCAGATTAATGCAACAGGCGATTCACAGACTTTTTAGAAAAAACAAACTTGATTTAGATTAGTAGGGAGGGACTCATACACTGATTAGCAAGGGGTAGTTACAAGATAGTTTTTAAAATTTTCTTAATACAACAGCCCATCTAGCCCATCTTCCTGCTTACACAGTAGCTGACCAGATGCCTGTGAGAAGCCGGCAGCAGCACTCTGTCTCCCTGCGATGCGCAGCACCTTCTGCCTCTGACAGCGACAGTAGCTGTCATAGCTAGTGGCCATTGGTAGCTCATCCTCCGTGCGTTTGCTTGATCCTCTGCTGGCCATCGCTGCCTCCTGCGGAAGAAAGTTCTTGAAGGGCTCCTCAGGACACCTGAGGGTGCTTCCACTCTGCTATTGACTGTGTATTCGGTGCTAATCGTGTCTGCAAGTTTTGTGCAGCATCAAAATGTCATCACTTTTTGTTTTCCCATTTAATTCAGATTTGCCAGTCCCGGTGAAATCTGATAAGTAAAACAGAAGTAAAACCCAACAGAAACAGTAAATGTGGATGAAGTGGGCATGGGTGTGTGGGGTGACATTTTGTTGAGAACAGCATCATGTGGAGGTGTTGTGGCCTGAGGAGTCGGGCCAGGCGGCCCCAGTTTCATTTGCACTGATAAGGTTGGATATTGAAGCCACTCTTCCTATGGGGAGTAGGGACCAGTACCTTATTTTCTCTCTCTTTTAGTTAGTAAAAGCATAGGAGTAATGCTGTACATTAGCCTCAGGAGAACACACAGTTTAATGATTTTGTTGCTGCAAGCTCCAGGACTTTCAGAATCCTTGATGGGGAGCCTCTTAATCTTCAAAAAGAAAAATGAGAAATTGTCTGAAGCTGCCTTCAGCATTTTCAAGTGTTCCACGCGAAGTAGGCTGCTGGGTCTTGGGAGCCTCAGAAATGACAAATCTCGTGTTTCCCTGAACTTGCAATTATTATTTTTTATTGTAAAGCATACATAGTTCTTTTTTTTTTTTTAAGCATTAAATTCTGCTTCCATTGCTATGTTTTCTGCTAGGAAACCTGGTACTGGTATGGAGAAACGAGCACCAGTGATGTTCTCATGAGTGGGACAAAATGTTCTGGGACAGAGATGGCCCTGTCACACTGCCGCCACGATACCCACGTATTCTGCCCCAGAGGAGGTGGGCGCTTTGCAGCTGGCGTTTCCTGCACAGAAAGTGAGTTGTGAAACTTCCTTTTCTAGGTACCAGAAAGACAAACCTCCCATTTCTATTTTTTGCCCTGGATCTTTGTTTTCTTTTCTTTTGTTGTTTTGTTTTGTGACAGCTGCCATTATAAATGAGATTTGCCTTGTATTGGTGAATTTTTAAAACTCTGTTTTAAAGATCTGTTTCTGAGTCACTCAGGGCTCTCTCTGCTTCAAATCATTATTTTGAGTTCCAAACATCTCTGCATAAAGGGAAGGTGTCTGTTCCTCCATTCACTACTACAAGGGATCTAAAAATCCACAACTTTTTCCTCTTGGCCAAAATGGAAGGAATTTCTAGGCACAGGAGCTCCTCCAGAGTAAATTGTGTCTGCCAAACTGAAGACAAATAGGTCCAGCAAATGGGGGGGGGGGCATAAAAGGGATTCACTTTCCTCCATAATCCCTGGTGGTTTTGTCTCTTTCTCACTGTGATATAATTAAAAGGTGTCTGAGTGGTATGTAGTTTTGCTTGTCTTTCTGGTGATTGATTGTGTTCTCTAATAGGCCTTTCACTTTAAAGTTTACAAGGTAGTCCCATAAAGGCCTCCCCTTAGGGCTTTGCAGATCTCAAGTAGACCATACGATGGTAAGCTGCCCAAGAACTCTGTGTATGGAGTTATAAAGAGATCTTGGGGTTTTTGTTGTTAGAGCAACATGGGATTTTTAAAATGAAGCTTTTAACTTTTTTTAAAAAAGAAATAATCTAATGTTGTGCTTTAACACAAAAAAATCCAGAACTCTTCAATGCTCTGCACGCAACATTTTTTAACACCTCACTAAGCCCATGGATGTAAGAAGCATAGTGATATATAGGAAAACACAGCTAATGCAACATGGAGGGTGCTGGCCTGAAAAGTCTGCATGTTGGGGCTAAGACTCCCTTTTCTTTTCTGGCCTCCAGCTGCAGCTGACCTTGTCCTCAATGCCAAAGAAGTGGAATACACATCATACCTGGAAGACCGTCCCATGTTCATGCTGCAGTGTGCCCTGGAAGAGAACTGCCTGGCCTCCTCCGCTGTCAACACCTCCATTTCCACTGGCTATAGGAGGCTCCTGCGTTTCTCATCCCAGATCCACAACAACGGACAGGCTGACTTCCGCCCCAAAAGTGGACGCCATTCCTGGATTTGGCATGACTGTCACAGGCAAGACTTTGCTGTTCACCAGCACCGTTGCGGATTTACCCAGTAGAAAAAAACTTGGGGTGGTCAGAGTTCTGGCCTCAGCAAATCTGATAAAAGGCAGATTAAGATCCATGCGAAATGTAGGGCAGCCCTGTGGATAAAACGCTGGTTGTGAACTCAGTGTTCAGGCTCAATGTCCATACCTGCCAGCAGCAAGCGAGCTAGGTTCAGTATCTCTTCTGTATATATTTTTAGGCCCCACTAGGCCTAATTGGGTAATTGAGGCATCCTCTACATCCCCTGAAATGACATAGGCCAGGAGTGGCATGGAGGAAGCAGTCACTCTGGTCACAGGGATTTCCAAGGCTGCTCTAGGGAAGCGCCTTCCAGTGAACTTCCACCCACGGAGCAGCACCCTCACTGCAAAATCGGTTTTGGGGGCCATTTTGATGTTCCCACAATGCCCTGGCATAGCATTGTTCTAGTGCATCCTAGGAACGTCAAAATGGTGGCTTCCAAAACAAAATGCTCACTGATGGTGCTTGATAAACCTGAGCCTGTGGACATGGGCAAGTGGGAGGGCCCATTGCAGGACAGGTGTTGGCAAAATGGGCCTTGTTGGGACCCCTGGTGGGTGCCTGAGGTGTCATGTGCCGCTGCTGGCTCTGGATAGACCAGACACCACCCAGGTGATCCTTACAAGAACTCTGTGACGTAGGTTAGGCTGAGAGACAACAGCTGGCCCAAGGCTAGAGTTAGGTTAGCACAATGTGCTGTGTGGTTTAGTGGGTATTTGAACCTAGTGCTCTGGGATCCAGTTCTGTGATCCTTGTCCCCACTGGCTCATTATCCCCACTCTAAATATGCCTAAAAAGCAAACCAGGGATAAAAAGCAACTCTTCTTCACAGATATTCATTCATTCCTTTCAAAGCATGATGTACAGTCTAAAAAAAACAAATAATATATGTTTTGAATCCCAGTCTTTCATCCATTAAGTTCAGAGCAGGCCCAGCACTTGCATGAGTGTATACGGAGCTAATACTCGCCTCTTGCTTCAATGGGAAGCTTTGCCTTCGGCAGGGAGGCTTCCACAGGGAAAGTTCATTGTGGACTCACTGCTGCTCAGGCATGTAGGTTTGCTGCAGCTTCCACACAACATCATCCTTATCAAAAGGCCACCCCATATTTTTTGCCCATTTAATCCAAAATCAACACTTTTGTTTGTTTTTATGTACAGGATTTTCTGCAGAAACAGTAAATCTGAATAAAGTGGGAAAGTAATGCAGGGCAGCATTTTGATGAAAGTGGCTTTCTCTGGATACTGTGGGAAATTTGTATGTGTGAGCAGCCTTGACTGAGCTTCAAACCCCACGCGGAAGCAGCCCCTATCTCTGGAGCACCAAATCAGCCACTGCACTTGTGCCTTAAAACAATACAATAACCCTTTAGCAATCTGTTGAGGTGACTCTCACGAAGTTAATATTCCCAGTTTATACTCCCTTACCTAGTATATTACATTACTCCATATTCATCAGCAAAGATATGTAAGGTTGTAGCCAGTGCTAGTCCTACTCAGAGTAGATCCATTAAAGTTAATAGACATGACTAACTTAGGTTCATAGATTTTAGTTGGATACAACTGGTAATGTTGTATCTAATGTAGCACTAAATTGGGGTCCCATAAACACAAAGATTACTGTTAATACAATTGGACTCCCCCCCCTTTTCCCTGTGCAACCCCTAAGTAGGGGTTCCTCAACCCCTCTGAAGCCGTTCTGGGGAGTGCTGGGCATGCGTGGAAGGGGGGAGGGAGCCCTGTTGTGCTAGCAGTAATCTTTGGGCTGACGGGGTGAGTTTCTTGAATTATGCAGGCGTTCATCATTTCAGGAGGGGCCCCATTTCCCATCTAGCGCAGGTCTGAATAACTTGTGATTCACCAGACCAAATTCAGCAAGCATTATGGGGCCCACCACCTCCTTGAGAGACCTCATCCGCCCCATTTTTGCAGCACTCAGTCAGCGGCAAACATATAACAGTTATCGGCCTCTGGTGGCTGTTGGGCCACGTCTACCTGGGTGGGTCAAGAGTTCTACAGGCCTCTTTCTGCTTAATCCCAGAGCCCAACAGAAAAAGAAAAAGAAAGAGGAGTCCCACCTCAGCACGCTGACTCTCTGGCATTTCCCAACAAGCTCGAGTTAAGTGAGGCAGCTGTAGCCCATCCATGTGTTTAAGCCAGTCTCTGTTTGCACTAAGGAATACAGACTCAATTCCTCTTCAGTATTTCCAGTCTGTAAACACCATAATATAAACAACTATCTGAATGAGCAGACATATTTTAGCAACGGAGTCAGACCTGAGGTTTAAAGCTTTTTATTTCTTTTTCTTTTTTGCACTGGAAATACTTTGAGCATCCAACCTCAGTGTAAATAGTTTGGACATCTCAAATTTTTCTTCCTCTCCCTGACCATCTCAGCCTGTTCCTAAGCATTTTTGTCCAGGATACAAAACCAGGGAGGCAGGGAGGGCTACTTAACAGGCAGGTAAAAGGAAACCAAAGAACATCTGGCAGTGATTCCAGGGCAATTAAAATCTCCCTTTATGCCCCCTCTCCCCTTATGTCAACATATTTAAATAGAATAAACACGATGGGTGTACTAGGTGCTGCTACCTGATACTGAATATCAGCTGTTTAATATTAAGCCATGGTTTATTTTTACAAGTGAAAAAGAGCAAGCGAGCTCCACTTTTCAGTTGCTTGGCTTCCCTTCCCTTAAACTGTGATGTGTCCATTAGAGGAGCTTGGTTTCCAAATGGGGAAAATCTCAATGTTCATCTAGACTCAAGCATTGCCTGAGTGTAGGGCTTAACTCGCGGATATTGGTGCTAGGTGCTTTGAAGGCAAAAAACAGGGAACAGTGGCTCTTTGAGAGACGCTATGGCTCTCCCTTGGCATCCTCTCCACAGGTTTCTAACTAGCTAGCTCCGTAGGTGCTAATAGTCTCAAGCCCAAGTCCATGATAGCCGCTAAGTCAAGTGTTTCACATTTGTGCTTTTTGGAGAGGGCTCATAGCTCCAGTGGTGTCTGGTGCTCATTGCCACTCCTGGGGTGGGAGGCAGAGGCAGTGATGGAGACAGAGCCAACTTGCTCCTGCTGCTCAGTTCTACAGGGGCAGCCGTGAGACTCAAGAGAAGGAAGCTGAGAGGCAGAGCCGCACCCTGAACTGGTTGTCAGTAAGAAGGCAGGCAGGTGAGGGTTGGCTGGTGGGGCACTGCCCCTTTCCCCCTCTTCACTCAAAGACCACATGGTTCGTATGCAAATGTTAGATGATGTTGCGTCAAGCTAGTGCTGTTTCAAGCCCAGTGCATTTTTCCTGTCACTTTCCTTTTTGCAGAAAGTTGGGGGGGGGAGGTTTGTTGCACAAGAGTGCCAAATCAACTTTAATCGTGTAATTTTAATTTGTCAGTATGTTATTGAAACCCAGCCCAAAATAGAAATATTCTGAAAGCACCCAGCAGAAATATAACTGATATCCTGAGTGCTTCTAGTGAGGTTCTGTGGACCTCGGACAATACAATCTGCCCCATAGCAGAGTGCAGATTATTATTTGGCAATTTGTTATTTGGAATAACAATCCTTGAGGACAAAATGAGTGGAAATTTCCCCTATGAGGAAAGCTTTCAGCAGTTGGGGCATTTTGGTTTAGAAACAAGGCGAGTCTCAACTTATGCTTGGCATGGAGAAAGTGGGTTGAGGAGTTTTCCTCCCTCTCTCTGAATACTAGAATTCAGGGACATCAGATGAAACTGAATGTTGGAAGATTCAGGGTGGACTAAAGAAAGTACTTCTTTATAAAGGGCAGAATTAAATGATGAGATTTGTTGCCCCAGCAGGTAGAGATGACCACCCATTGGATTAGACAAATTCATGGTGATTACTAGCCATCACGGCTATGTTTTTGTCTCCATGGTCAGAGACTGTATCCGTCTGAATAACAGTTGCAGGAGAGACGGCTCTGGCGCTTGCATCCTGCTTTTGGGCTTCCCAGAGGCAGCTGCTTGGCCCCTGTGAGGACAGGCGGACCTCTGCCCTGATCCAGCAGGCTCTTCTTAAAGCATGTGCTTGGCTTGATACGATACAATAATCTTTATTGTCATTGTCCCATACAGAACAACAAAATTGAAAAAATCTACATCAGACATTCAAAAACCCACAAGCCCGCTATCCATAGAATCATAGAATCATAGAGTTGGAAGAGACCACAAGGGCCATCGAGTCCAACCCCCTGCCAAGCAGGAAACACCATCAGAGCACTCCTGACATATGGTTGTCAAGCCTCTGCTTAAAGACCTCCAAAGAAGGAGACTCCACCATACTCCTTGGCAGCAAATTCCACTGTCGAACAGCTCTTACTGTCAGGAAGTTCTTCCTAATGTTTAGGTGGAATCTTCTTTCTTGTAGTTTGGATCCATTGCTCCATGTCCGCTTCTCTGGAGCAGCAGAAAACAACCTTTCTCCCTCCTCTATGTGACATCCTTTTATATATTTGAACATGGCTATCATATCACCCCTTAACCTCCTCTTCTCCAGGCTAAACATGCCCAGCTCCCTTAGCCGTTCCTCATAAGGCATCGTTTCCAGGCCTTTGACCATTTTGGTTGCCCTCCTCTGGACACGTTCCAGTTTGTCAGTGTCCTTCTTGAACTGTGGTGCCCAGAACTGGACACAGTACTCCAGGTGAGGTCTGACCAGAGCAGAATACAGTGGCACTATTACTTCCCTTGATCTAGGTGCTATACTCCTATTGATGAGGCCCAGAATTACACTGGCTTTTTTAACTGCCGCATCACACTGTTGGCTCATGTCAAGTCAACCAAGACTCCTAGATCCTTTTCACATGTACTGCTCTCAAGCCAGGTGTCACCCATCTTGTATTTGTGCCTCTCATTTTTTTTTGCCCAAGTGCAATACTTTACATTTCTCCCTGTTAAAATTCATCTTGTTTGTTTTGGCCCAGTTCTCTAATCTGTCAAGGTCATTTTGAAGTGTGATCCTGTCCTCTTGGGTGTTAGCCACCCCTCCCAGTTTGGTGTCATCTGCAAATTTGATCAGGATGCCCTTGAGTCCATCATCCAAGTCGTTGATAAAGATGTTGAATAAGACCGGGCCCAGCTATCCCAGCCTGGTCAGCCCCTAAAAACTCTGATACCCCATAATTGAATACAATATACTCACATAAAGACTACCTTACACTGTGTTTAAAACCAAAATCGCATTTGGATAGAAACTGTTTCTCAGGCGGCTAGTCCTAGTCTTTATAACCCTGTACCTTATTCCAGAAGGCAGAAGCTGAAAGAGATCATTTCTGGGGTCCGCACTATCCTGCACTATCTCTGCAGCTTTCTTATGGCACTTAGAAGCATAGATTTGATCCAAGGTGGAAAGAGTGCACCCAATTATTCTCTCCGCAGTCTTTACAACCCTGGACAGCATTGTTTTTTCCCTGACTGTGCAGCTCCCAAACCACACACACAGACCATAAGTTAATACACTCTTGTGCAATGCGCTATGGCACATGGACTCAAATGTGCTGTTGTCTGGGTCAGAGTAACATGAGTTCCCAGATTAAAGGGCTGCATATGGTGTTAATTTCCTGCTTCTATACTAATGTTATAAGGCTAATTTTTTGTTACAAAATTCCCACATTTAGGGTACATTCTGATCTGGCCAGGGAGCATTGTCTGAAAAATGCCTGCTAATAACTTGGTTAAGGAAAGGATCCTACTGGAAAACAGCATTTCCTCCTCCCAGTGAATAAAGGTGTTGACTTGCTTTGGCTGTAGCATTGCATATGCTATATGATGTTTTGATATGTGTTAGTCTACAGCCCACGAGGCAGGAAGATCAAGGGGTGAAGTTGCTTCCCAAAATAAGAAGAATTACACCCCAGGCGGCGCTTTCAATAAATCTGGGCAGCATTGCTGTAGAAGTATGGAATCTGTCCTTAATCAGAATGTTTGCTTTCTTCTGACTCATCCAGGCATTACCACAGCATGGAAGTGTTCACACATTACGATCTGCTGGACCTCAATGGGACAAAGGTAGCGGAAGGTCACAAGGCCAGCTTCTGCTTGGAAGACAGTGAATGCCTAGACGGTATATACATTCCTAATATACTCATGAAATACACTCCAATGTAAAATAACCCATCCTGCTCTCATTTCTACTGGGGGTCTGCTAAAGATGGGTGGAGAAATGTGTGCTATTCACATTTAAGAATTCATGATTCTCAAAACAGAATACGTACAAAATGAAATGTAACAATCATTCAAAATTTGCACTTCTTCAAATGATACAGTGCAGGAGCAACAAAAAGTTTATTATTTATTTCATAAAATTTGCTTGATGGGGGGGGGACCACCTCAAAGCTGTTTACAAGAGTCATACAAAACAGTGTATATTGATAAAAGGTTTGGCCCCCAAAGCAAACATTCCTGAACATAACGTGTGAAAATGTATATAGTTAGGGTGAAATTGCTTGTGAAAAATTGTATATCATGAGAACACATATGCAAAGGTGTGAGGATTTTTGTGTCAGCTTGTGAACTGATGTGAATTCTTGGCTGTCTTGACTTGGCTGTGTTGTGATCCTCAGTCTGTTGCAAATTGATGGCAGTATTCATTCACAATTGTGACAAGTGTGGTAAGGCAGAGACTCAGTGGAAAGGGAAGTTCTGCTCCAGAGACCCCTAAAGCTCTGCTTTAAGCATGGTTGGTGCCCCAGTGATCTCTATGCTGCTCAGGGACAGATGCGTGAGATGCGCACGTGGATTGTACATCCCCTCTTGGAACCACTTGCTTGACACTTTCATCAGAGCACTAGAGCTGGAGGGGAGGCATAACAGCCCCTGGCAAGACTGGGGAAAGGAGAAAAAATAGCCGTTGCCAACTAATCTGGGAGGTGGGGCTGTAATTAAGCATCCGGGGCATCACAACAAGGTTGGGCTTTCAAGTTCTACAGCCCAAACACTCACCTGAAGCCAGGACTTCCTAAAGGGCCTCTTGGCACCACGCTGCTGCTGACGTTTTTTTCCCCATGTGCTTCCTTCCCCCCTTTAGGTTTCCAGAAGCAATATGAATGCGCCAATTTTGGGGAGCAAGGGATCACAGTTGGCTGCTGGGATGTGTACCGGCATGACATTGACTGCCAGTGGATTGACATTACAGATCTTGTGCCAGGAGAATACTTCTTCCGGGTAGGCTGGGATTCTTCAGATTCTGGAGTGCTATCAGGGTAGCTAAGAGCCACTTCATGCCATCACCAAAAGCAAGTGGCAGTAAGCCTTGTAGGTGGAGAGTAGCATTCAGGTTGCAGGTGGAGGCGAGGAATAAAGGTAAAGGGACCCCTGACCATTAGGTCCAGTCGTGACCGATTCTGGGGTTGCGGCGCTCATCTCGCTTTATTGGCTGAGGAAACCGGCATACAGCTTCCGGGCGAGGAGTACTGCATGTTTAAATGCCATATGAAAGGGGCCAGTTAAGAACGGTGTTTCAGCTCTAGGACAGGGTGGCTGACTTAGGACCAGCAGATGTTGTTGGACTACAGTGCTTGCCATTCTTGGCTACTAGCCATGCTGGTTGGGGTCAAGGAGCTGGAGTCCAGCAGTGGCTTGAGGGCCACACCAGTTCCCTGTCCCTGATTTAGGAATCCTATAGATATTTTGCAACTTGTGAACTGACCATTAGGCAACCTACAAAACCATAATAGGCATTTCTCAAGATACTTCTTCAGAGTTAATTGCAAATAGGAAGCAAAGGACAACTTGAAAAAGTTTTTTAAATCCTGCCTGTGGTCACATTAAATATCAAGGTCTATTCATAAATACTTGATATGTTTGGTATAAGTATCAGCCTTGCATTGCAGCATGGAATACATTTTATGCTATTCATTTTGTTTTAAGCTTTTATTATTTTATTGTTTTTGTACTCTTGCCTTCATGACTGTTCTTATGATTTTTATTTTTATAAGTAACAAGGTCTTTGAGAAATGATAATGAAACCACAATAAAATAATCTGGTTTTTTAAAAATTCTGTGGGGTATAAATAAGTAATATTTACTTGGGTTTAACCCACCCAATTGGTGAACAATTGTGTCTGAAGTTGTGTAGAATGAGTAGCGAATAATTTCAGGGAAATAGATTGTTTTTATTCATTTATGCTGTTAATATGTGATGTTAAGTTCTCAAAAAGGATGAAAAAGTTCAGACACAAAGAAACAGGATGTGAGAGTGTGCAGAGAACTGTGGTCTCCAAAATTAGTCATACTTTGAGTAGACCTATTGAATTGCATATTCCACACCTCCGCAAACAGGATAGTTTGACTACATGCAGCCCCTGTTCCTGAATCAGAAACACAATTGAAGCACCTTGATTGCACAAAGAAATCCCCCCACTTCTGGATCAGGATCTATGTCTGAGATAAGATGGCCCTAAGATCCCTATGTCTGTCCTTTCCAGATCATTGTCAACCCAAACAAAGAAGTGGCAGAGTCCGATTATTCCAATAACATCATGAAGTGCAAGTGCAAGTACGAACTTCACCGGGTCTGGATGTACAACTGCCATATAGGTAAGTTCATTATAGAAGAAAAAGAGAAAAGTCTAGCGGCAGAGATGAGCTTTGCATAAAGGTGGTGATTCAGCGGTGTGTGTAAAGCAAAGGGGATCTGTGGCCTTGCAGGTGTTGCTGTTCTGTCACCCCTGACCAGGCAGGCTGGCGGCAGCTGGAGTCTAGCAACAACTGGAGGGGCACAGGTTGCCCACACTGGAGTGCACGCGTCAGAGTGTACAAGGATTCCTTCCTTTCTGTCCTCCCCCCGCCCCCCCATTTCATTACTCATTTGTTAGAATGACATTTGTTTAGTTAATGGGCACTAGTTTATTCACTTCTGTAACTCCCATTCATTTTTCTCTTGGGATAGATGTCAATGTGAGACTTGGCCTGTAACACTGTCTGTTGCCTGGGACTTTTCCACCCAGTTGGCGTGACATTTCTAGGCATCCTACCACTCTTTCAATACATTGGACCAACCAAATTTCAGATAAAATCTACATTTCATAGGCAGTTTTAAAATACAGACAACTCCCCATTTAGATTGCTTTCTATGAGGAGACACGGCTGTTCTTCATATGCTTGTCGCTTCTGTGTTTTCCATCCAGAACTGGCACAAAATATTTAGTTATTTTACTGTCCAGACACGCACAGTGGAGTCTCCAGTTTACAAGGCATGGAGACTCAGCCTAACTCCTTCCTGTAATATTTCCCTGTAACATTTCTGTGACCTGTACAGGCTGCAAGTGAAATTAATTGGTTTTTGTTTGCAACTTATTTATCTGAATTCTCATTTATTTGTTTTATTTAACTTATGTACACTTTGTTACAAAAAAAATGCTAGAGTAATTTACACAATTAAACAAATGAAATGTGTTTTTTAAAAGAAAGTGCAACCCTAGTAAGGGACAATTTAGACACATGGCTTTCTGCTTTCAGACATGGGTAGCAAAACTGCCTCTGACACTGTCTTTTCCCCTTTTTTCTCCCCCTCACCCCGACTGCAGCTGATGCCTTCAGTGAAGAAATAGAAGAACAGTTTGATTTCAATGGACTCCTAAACAACCAAGTGTCTTAATTGGCCTCTTTTTAAGGAGGGAAGAATACCTTTTCCCAAGATTTCCCTAACCACTGCACAGAAAACTAAAGTAATCAAGCAAACAACTATGAACTTTTAAAATTAGCTTTGTAAGTTATTTTCAAGTGTGTGCTCCATGCCTACTTTATGGTGTTCAGCAGAAGAAAACGGGTTGACATTTATTTCACATCCATTCCAGCTGAATTATGATTTTGCACTACCTGCAAGACCTCCTTACCCTTCGTGGGGACCCTAACTTATTCACAAGGAATTATTTGCAAGCTCTCATCACACCTTTGTTCACTGCGGTGTACAGAGGCAGCAGCGCCACCTGCCCACAACCTGCGTAAAGGATGCCTGGTGCTGCCAAAATAGCTTCATTTTTAAGGGAATTCCTTTCTCGGCCTTCGTGTTCTGCCTTGATAAAGATTTGAAAAATCTGACTCTACACCACTGGCGCAGAACAGAAGAATCATGACGCACGGAGGTCTTGAGACACTCTGTCGTATTAATTTCCTGTACTGTCACACTCCTTGGCACCTCCTCTCTGAGAGCACCTCTGACACTCAGTTTTGACAGAAGGTTTGAGATACCACAGTGAGGAAAAATCTGCCAAGTCATTTCATATATCTTGGTTTTTGATGCCACTAGACTGTGAATTTTTTTTAAGACAGTAAGCTATTCCCTTGCCTACATTTTTCCTTTGACCCGTACCTTCCTGCCACCCCCCTTCACTTCCCACCCCCACCATGACTACTGCAAATAAGAAACCCACTACCAAAGATAACTAATGGCTTTATGCCCTCGAGGTCACACATCCCTTCTTACTAAGTCAGGCTATCCTGTGATGGCGCAGGGAGGGAGAGCTTAAAAACACACACATTAGTAAATGCATAATGGTGCTGAGCACATGTGCCTCTGTTTGTTTGAGGCCATGCACTTGCAATGCAACAGGTGCCGACAGATCTACACCCTACTTGAATCTTTTAAAGTGCTTTTGTCCAGGAAAAGAAAGAGCTGGTGTGATTTGTGTTATTTCCAGTGACTAGAACCAGCTGCTGTCCTTTTATTGCATTTTGTTTTGTTTACTCTTCTGCTGCATGGTTAAAGAATGGGGCTGCAAGACAGAATTAGTTCAACCTTGCCTCTCTGGAGCAGACCACAGTTCATCTAGTCTAGCCTTCCGCTTCCAGAAGCAGACAGCCAGGTGCTGCAGGATTTTCAGAAAGCAGGACAACAAAGATAACTGTCCTCTATTTGTCCTAAGCACCTGGTAATCAGAGGTAAAAAGGTAAAAATCAGAGGTGGACTGTATCTGTCCCTAGAGGCTCTGCCATAGCTACTAGTCATTGGTAGACCACGCTCTATGCCCCGCTTGTTTTGGTACAATGGGTGAAGGAATTAAAAGGATACCTAAAGCTCAGGCAGAGAACACAAGAGTGATTTGGGAGCTTTCCCTTCTTAGAACCTCTCCATCACCTCCCTTGTGTGATGTGTGAAAATAAAAAAAAACTTCTATAACTGGAGAAATGAATTATAGACCCACACACGGTGCTATCAGAATTGTATTGTCTGCTAGTGGAGAGACTAAAAAGCAAGCTAGGTTCATCCCTCTTCTTAATCAAGGACTGAATTTTCCACAGCAAACCCATTCTCTCATCCTCCAGTTCAGGCTGCAAAATGAGAGTCGCTAGACCTTTTTTGCATGGTAAATGAGGATTACGGAAAGACATTTTAGCTATGCAAAGTACTATATGAATAACTTGGTGGTGATGCTTACTGCTTGTAGATGTTTTGCAGTAATGCACAAGAAGGATTTCATTGTCTGTTATTCTTTCCCCCATGTATAACCTACCTCACAGGGGTGTTGTGAGGCTAACGGCCAGTTCACATAACCAGGCTAGGGCTGGCCACTTTGTTCCTTCAGCAGGTGATGAGTGTAATCATTTGACCAGGAACCAAAGCCAGCAGTATGTCAAGGCACCCAAAGTCCACACTGCAAGGATGCAAAGCAAGCGATGTGGGTGGTCAAGCAGGCCTGGCGCATGAGGGGCAGGAGGAGCCACGCAGCGGCTACCAAGTTGAGAAGGGGGGCTTGCTTCCCATGGGTAGGAGCTGGATGAGACATCCAGAGGCCTTATTTGTGAATGATTGACAGCAGCAGTTTAGAATAGCCTGAGGACCACAACACAGGCCACCTCCATCCCTCCACCGTTGCTCCCCTTATGCTATAACCAAAACAGAAAAAATGTTGTCCGGAGCTGGGCTGTATGGAAATGCCAGGCAAGGTCTCCGACTACTACTGCAAGGGAGTGGGGGGCAGGAATCCGCATTATACCTCTTCCACCACAGTGGAGTTTGTCAGAAACTTTGCCTCATTTTGAAAGAGTGAGGTTTGTTCCAGACCTACCTGAGCCTGGCAGCTGTGCTACGTCAGCCATGTGGAGGCTGCAGCAGCAGCAGCAGCAGCATAGTACCTGCCAGAGCAGCTCCTCCAATGTAGGACTATGCAATACTGGGATCAGGAACACAGCTCCATCCCATGCTGCCCAGGATGTGGCCATTCTGAGTGGCAATCAATAGAAGGGATTAGAGGGACATCAAAAGTTGCCTTCCAGCGAGTCAGACCATTTATCCATCCAGCTGAGCACCATCTACTCTGACTGGCAGGGGCACTCCAGGACCTCCAAGGGAGAGCCTTCCATCACCGGCTACTTAATTTTAAGATTAACAAGCCATCGTCTGCAGGTGCCAGGGATAGGATTTTCTGCATCAAGCCATGTGCTCTGTCACTGAGCTGCGGTCCTTTCCCAGCCCAGAAGCCTGCAAGCAGGAGATGCCTCTCACCTGCCACACCTTCCGGCAGCTGCTCAATTCAGTACAGTGACTGAAGGCTAGGCTTAAGTGCTAAAGTTCTCCTCCTTCCCTGGCTGATATGGCCAGCAGTTAAACTCTTTCCCTGTGACCTCAAGCTGCTTCTGGTGCCCATACGCTCTGGGTAGAAGTGAAGTGCTGAAGTGAAACCCATGGGTATGCAGAGGTCAGTCCATAACTGAGTTAAGCAGGCTTGCTCCTTGATCACAGCAATTGAGCCAGTGCTTCCAAAATTTAGGCCCTGAGCCTCATTCCAATGCAAGGGTTTCCAGCGCTTCTCAAACTTGGGCCCCCCAGCTGTTGTTGGACTACAGCTCCCATCATCCCTGACCCCTGGTCCTGCTAGCTAGGGGTGATGGGAGTTGTAGTCCAACAACAGCTGGGAGCACTGGCTTAATCAAGCGGCCTGCTCAAGTGGAGCCGCAATGGGCTGACCTGGATTCCCAATGTTGTGCATCGCTGCTGGTTACCAGGGCAGAGCGACATGGGAGCAGGGAGCTTGACACAGCCATGGAGCCAACCCATGACACTCCATGGTCCTGATGCTGCAGCCAAGCCAAGCTCGCCACTGGCTTTCCCCTTCTTCCATTGGTAACTGGCAGCGACATGCAGCTTGGGGAAGTCAGGTGCTGGCTGTGGCCTTGCAACTAAAGGAGCGAGCGAGAGAAGGATGAATCTCTACCTGACCCACTGAAGAATCACAGCCACCTCCCACAATCTGCTGCCAGGCAGGATTGATCTCCTCTACTTGTTTGTTCCCGGTTGGTTTTTTACAAACACAACTTATGGCAAATGGGCAGTTTTCTCTCTCTCATCACTAATGGAGAAGAAAATTACGATCCAGAAGGGGCCACTTCCCCAAAAAGGAACCAGTTAGAGAACAGGAAGTAGTTGTTACAAGATAGTGGGCAACAGAGGATTCAGAAAACCACCGTGCATGTTGATTTGTGTATTAACAGCTTTAATTTTAAAGAAGAAAACCCAGAAAAAAATATTTACAAACTTCAGTAAATAAGATATTGACTCCTGCAAACTTGTCTCTCTCCTGTCTGCTTGTAAACTAAAACAGCCCCCCCCCCTTCCCGGGCGGGGGCAGGGATGTGTGTCTCACTGGTTCTTCCTACATAACTGAACTGAAGTTTTCCTTCCAGTGAGTTTGCAGCTAAGTGCTCACCTACAGGGGGGGCTCAATGTGGGGCAGAAGCAGACTAGAGCTGGGGCATCTCTGGCCCTCCTGATGCTGTTAAGACCCTGTTTCCCGTCCGGTCCAGCAAGCATTTGCACTGGGGTCAGGGATGGTTGGAACTGCCAGGGTCCCCCACCCCTTAAGTATACATTCTGCCTCCATCTCATCTCTTCAATGCACAGCGGCTCCTCTGGGAGAATTTCTAGGCAAGGAGGGGAGAAGCACTTGGTCCTCCAGCTGCTGCGTTTCCCCCACAAGGAGATCCAAACCTGATTTTCACACACACACACTTGGAACCTGAAACGGGTGACTGGAGGGGGCAGGGGGCGCACCTTCTGCACTCCCCCCCCCCCGGAAATTGCACTCTCTCCTCTCCACTTCACGAGAGGTTTGGAAGAGACATCGAAAGGGAAACCAAAATTGTCCAGTTCCACCTTAATGGGCCCAAGGAACGTCCCGTGCAAACAAAACACCAGATCCCAGCCCCGGCCAACTTTTCAGAGCGCAGGTTTTTAAATTAAAATAATATCAGCCAAGTCACATATACATAGAAGAAAACCTTTATAAGGTATTTCAGTTCTATTGCACTTGGCTAATTGGGACAGTTCTCTTATTGTGCTAAAGCGCCCTCTTGTGGTGCCTGTATGAAGGTCAGCCTCCTTCCCAGCAAGTGTCCAGGAAGTTCAGTGCCCAACAATAACTCTCATGGGCTTGGAATCCCTGTCCGGCTTCAAACACAACCAGCCACTATCACCACCAACTCCTGACTACTTCCATAGTAAAAGAAACCTGCAACCACCACCGAGCCAGCTGAGCACAGATGAGGCCTGCAATCATCGTAAGTGAGGAGTACAGTTTTAATACCACCCCCAGACCATCACCTCAAGCCACACAGGGCAACCTGCTTTTTACTCTGGCAAGCTTGTGCTTTCTGCTGGATCCAGCACTTGCCAGCCGGAGCTCCGTGGAGGTTTGCGCTGTAATCCCAGGGCCCTGGTCACCAGCCTCCGAGCCACCGCCACGTCCGTCTGAGGTCTCTCTTTGGCCAGCTGAAGGAGCTCTGGGGGGAAATGGAAGAGGAGGAGGAGTCGTGGAGCAACAGGGGTGCAGTGGGAGAGAGACGCAGCCTGGTCCGGGGGGGGGGGGGAGTCTGAAAGGTCTGGCAAAAGGGGTTTGGATGCCCAGGTTCTCTTTCCACAATACGGGGGTGGGCTGGTCTAGACGTGAAGGCAGCTGGGTGGGGCATAACATTGCAAGTGATGAACACCGTTTTTTAAGACTTCAAAAAAAAAATTTAAAAGCCAAGCATGAACACTATCACCTCCCTGAAAGTATATTAAAAAAGAAAATCGGCACCTCAGAGAGAAAGTTTCTTACTCAGTCGACTTCCTGATAAGAGCCTGGCTAAATTCACTGGGCCAGTTCACACATAACAGGAATTATAGCTTCCCGATACACAAATGTGTCAGTGAACTGACTTGGATACTCTCCCCTCTTCCGATGTGTGCAGAAGGAAATGGTTGAAGGCATCCACCTTGGAGACAAGCCACAGTTTCCCATCACATACAAACATGGGGTACTGTGGTTTGTTGAAACTCCACTTAGTGGACAAACCACTGTGGCAAATGCAGACTACTTCACAATTGCGTTGTGAACTGGGATAAGTTTGAAACCAGAACATATTTAAAGCTTAAACAATATAAAACCAGCATCCCTTCAACACACAATAATGCTGACATTTCATATCCCTTCCCATGCAATATGCTGACAATCTGGCTCTCTGCAGCAACAGAGTCCTGCTCTTTTCAACAGTGTTGTTGCTGCTGCTGGCTTTCACAGCTGGTCTCGCCCTCATTAACGCTCACACTATACATTGCTTTCTCTCTAAGGCAGGAGTGGGGAACCTGTGGCCATGCAGAGGATGTTGGGACTCCAGCTCCCATCAGCCTCAGCCAGCATGGCTAATGGTCAGGGGTGATGGAGCAACAACTTCCCCACCACCACCTCTGCTCTAGACAAACTCTGCTCTCAGCTTTCAGTCCCAGATCACAGCTCCCACTTAAATAATTCCACTATCAGAACTCAAGGGCAAGTTCCAATGAGGCAAAACCAAGCACGGCAGGAGCAAAGCCAGGCCACTGAGCATGTGGCCTGTGGAAAGTCTCAAGGGTCAGAGAGAGAGAGGTCCAGAAGCCACTGGGCCTGAAGTTTCCAGCCCTTGCTTTACCCCACCCCAGTGAACCTTCCTGCATCTGCCACACCAGGTTCAAAAACCACTGTATGATCCTTGTTTGCTCATTAGCTAGACTTTAAACCTCAGATCAGAAACATGGGGGCCATAAGGAATTAACCTGGCAGCTGTGAGCCTCTAAGCCCCAGCCAGTGTCCCCTTTGTGAGGAGGAGGTTAAGGACCTTGGAAGTACAAAGAGACGAAAGAGGAAGTTGGAAGGGCAGCACTCTGACCCACGTCCTCTTACATAGTTCTTTGGGAAGAGGGACTGACTGTTCAACCACTCTGGGAACTGTAGCTCTGTGAGGGGAAGAGGGGTCTCCCAACGACACTCTCAGCAACGAACTACAGCTCCCAGAATTCACTGAGGGAAGAAGCCATTACCACTTCAAGTGGTCTGAAACTGCTTTACACATACAGAGCAGATGGGGCTTTGGACCTTAGCAGTAAAGTGACAGACATCCATCTACATATGTAAGCAGGTCATTGCCTCTTGGGAAGTAGGGTGCCAGAGGTCTCTGAAGCAGCAGCCGCTTCAAAAATGCTCTTACTTGGCCGCTGAAGAGCCTTGATTTTTGACTGCCTTGTTCCGTGGATTAGGTGTCGGATCTTTAGGGAGGTATAACTCTGTTCCAAGGCTTGAGAAGCTGAAAAAGAAAGTACGGTTTTTCAGAAATAAGACCAAGCATGGTTTTGGACTACAACTCCCAACAATCCCAGCAGACACATGCTGCCTAGGGCTGATGGGCATTGTAGTCCAATCACGTTATCTAGAGGGCACCAGCTTGTGGAAGGCTGTCCTGAACTCTCTCCTAGGGTTGCCACAGAGGGAGTCAAATTACTACTGGAGCAAAACATAGATTGATGCCATGATTGTTGTCCAGTGCTTGGGAGTGTCAAATGTCTAGGGAAGATTGTTCACGCCCATCCCCCCTCCAGGTGAATATCCTTGTAGCTGCTTCCTGCCTACACATGCAGCCACCAAGTGAGTACACAAAAGGCTCCCCCAGCAACAGGCAGCAGGAGCCAGAGGGGATGCATATCACACACATTTGGCTCCCATGCAACCCCAAACCATGGTTTTGCCTTAGGAAAGCAAGGATTGGGCTCAAGCACTGCCCCTTCCAATTCAATTTCCCAACTTCCTATTTTGTGCAAACCATGGTTTGTTGATTCAGGTATCATAGCAACAGGAAGGTAGAGAGTCCAAGCTTCACTCGCACAATAGCAAACCATAGTCTGCCATTCCACATGAACTGCCTCTCTCCACAATCCATCAGTTACCTCCCTTTTATTACTCTTCTTGTCAGGGAACATTCCCTAAGAGTTGGGAGGACCAAGGAAGATCAGCTGCCTAGGAGATAAACAAACAACAGATGCAGAGACAGCCAGAGGTTCCTCCTTCCCAATACGTATGTCATTTGTAACCAGCTCTGCTTGTCTTGTGCATTCTCATGATCGGAGAATGCCATCGTTGGAGTGGGAAGGAGAGGAAAATGCACCAGACACAATTTAAGGGAAAAACAGGGGGGGACATAGGTAAACCCTAAACTCACAGGCATTCCTACAGAAAATCCAAAATTACCTGCTGCCAAACTGGAGAAGATCCCAAGCGCATGAGTATCATCGACCCACTGTAGCTTAAATCCACTCTCTCTAAAAGACAGACCACAGTGTTGCTTGTCAGTTACATGAAGCCACGGATAGTTCCACCCAGATAAAAATATTAAGAGAGGGCCTCTCTCTCTCCAAAGCACCCACACCTTCCCAGTTGTACACCCTTGTCCCCAGGCCACACCTCTCACTGGCCCTGCTTTGCTTCCTCCTTGAAGACTTTTCCCAGGCTGGAATGTGTCCCTAAACTCTGCATCATGCCTCTGGTTTGCTAACATCTCCAGGTCTGAGTTGGGCACATGCCCTGCTTGAAATTTCATAGATACCAGTCAGTATGTACAGCCCTGAACCAGATGGACCAAACGTCTGATTCAGTGTAACACCGCTTCCAGCCTTCAGCCAGTCCTGACCAGGAAGTCCCTTGCCCATCTACTTACTGGAACTCTGCAAAGGCCTCCAGAAGATGCTCCGTTTTTAGCAAGGGCGAAAAATCATATATCTCTAGCACATGGCCAAAATCTCCTTCATTGATCTGTGCTTCCCCATAGCTGGAGTAATCAAACTGGATTTTCTCAATGCTTATGTCCTTTATGGTCAAGTAATTTGTGATCTAGGGGCAGGAGAAAAGAAAAGAAAGAACACTGCAAAAACAAGAAATATTTACAGACAGGAAACATCTGTACGTGGAATACAGTCAGGATCAAGCTACACCATCAGCAGAAACAGGTGGCAAAGCTTTTTCTAGACCACTGTACCACTTCAGCATGCAGATGCACTCCTGCATTTTTCAACATTTCCCCATTAAAAATCACCCTGCAAGCAGAAAACTAGAAAGCTGGTCTTGTTTTCTTCCACGTCAGTTGCGGGGCACCTTTGAACCTACAGAAGGTGCTGAACTGTAACTGCATTAGCCTTGGTCATTGGCCATGCTAACTGATGGGACTTGTAGTTCAGCAATAGGGATGAGTGTGGTATCGATACATTGTCCAAAACCGGTTTGAAGTCCAGATCACGATAACAGTTTCATAATTTTAGACCTGGTAATATATTGTGTCCAACATTTCTGAAGGGGAAGAAGATTCCCTGATAGCTTGCAAAGAGCTCACCCACGTGCAAAGATCAGGGTCTCCTGCCCTTTCGCCTCTGACTGAAGACCCAGCACAGCAAACGCAGGAGCCAAGCCAAGTCGATTTTATCACCTGATCACAAAAAATAAACCTCTTACTTTGCTGATCTCCCTCCCTCTGCAGCCCAGCCACTGGCCGAGAGAGACCAGTAAGGAGAGAGCAGATTACAACAACTTGGGCTGGTCTGAAGTCCACATCCAGGAATCACCCCTCAGCTGCCGCTTCCTCCCCACTTTACATCCTCCTTCCTCCTTATTTCAGGCATCATGATATAGCGGTATCTCACGATTTTTAGCTGGTGATATATCTGTTGAAAACTATAAATCGCCAAGGCCTCTTCAGCAGCATCCCCACACCTGCTCTATGAGCTTGTTTTCTACATGCAAAGAGCAGGTGGTATTCTGTGCTAGTCCTGCCCCGAGGAGACCCCCTGAGGCAGGACACAGCTGAATACAACCTAGGGGTTCCCCCCTTGGGGAGCCTTCAAACATGCAACACTCCACCGACAGCCTCAAGTGGTACAGTCCAGAGACACATCCACACCATAGTCAAAGCATGACTATACCACTTTAAGAGCCGTGGCTCCCTCCAATGAATCCTGGGAACTGTAGTTTGTACAGACTGCTAGGAGTAATTAGGAAGACATTAACCAGCTACAGTTCCCAGGATTTTTCTGGGGAAGCCAGACTGCTAAAATGGCAAGAGAGTGGATGGTGCAGGCGTGATCCAGTAATAGTTTTTCCCCACACGATTCTGTTGATCCAACTCTCCCTTTTTTGTGCCAAAGGGCAGCTCTACACAGGAGGGGCTTTTGGGTGTTGGCTGAGCCCCAGAGTAATCCTTTGTTATGCTGCTACTTTAGCATTTTGGTTGCTTGTTGCTGAAACTGAGGAAGGATCCTATGTCAGGGATAAAGGACCCAAATCTGCCTGTGGAGGTTCAACCCCTGGTATCTCCAGGTAGGGGTGGGAAATTCTGGGGAGCTGCTGCCCATCAGTGTAGACCAGGGGTAGAAAACGTGATGCCTCCAGGTACAGTTGGACTACAACTCCCATCACCCTGACAGCTGGCCATGCTAGCTTGTAGCCCAATAACATCTCGAGGCTCTTCCTGGAGTAGAGAAATACTAAGCTAGATGGACCAAGAGTCTGACTCAGTAGAAGGCAGCTTCCTAAGTTCGTAATCATTTGAGAAAGCGCTGTAGCTCATGGCAGAGCATCCTGCTTTGAGTGTAGAAGGCCGCAGACAAAAAGGAGCTTCCATAGGTAGCAGGAGACCCCTTTCCCGAGAACTTAAAGCACCACTGCCAGCCACAGTAGACCAGGATGGGGAAGCCTTTTGAGCCCAGGAGCCACAGTTCCCCATGGGCTTACGCCAGTGGGGGCAAAGCCATGTGGTTTGCTCTGCGTGACCCAATCATGGCTTCTTTGGGAGAAGCAAGCCACAAATGCTGGTTGGGATGTGATGCAAAGGAGCTGCACTGTGGTTGGTCTCCCTGCTGAAGAGAGGAAGCAGCAAAGCGGACACCTACAAGCAGCCTGGGCACAATGTGGCTAAAAGAAACCACACTGAATGGCTTAACACAGCCTTTGCCAACCTGGTGCCCCCCAGATGTTTTGGACCACAACTCCCATCAGCGCCAGCAGGGGTGGAGGAAGAGGGGGACGGTGGGGGCAGGCTGCCCCAGGTGTCACCACTGAGGGGGGTGACAAAATGCCAGGCGACACTCACCGTGGGGCCTGCAGCATGCCCGCAGGCTCCGCACTGCCCCAAACGGTCTGCCCGCCACCTCTTCCTCAGCTGTAGGGCAGCTGAGTGGGAGGAGGCAGGCAGATTCCTCGGAGGCCCTTGGAGCGTCCTGCCCAGCCTCGCTGGGCACGCGCACCGCCCCAGGCGCCCAATTGGCTTGCTCCGCCACTGAGCACCAGGCAGCACAGCAGAAAGGGCTCCTGGTTAGCAAAAGCTGCCTTAGTGTTCCACAGCCATAGTGCTAAACCGTGGTTTACTGTTACATCTGAATGCAACCATAGTTCTAAACCTTGGCTTACTGTTACGTCTGAACCAACCCACTCAGAAACAAGTCTGTAAGTTAAAACTATTACCTCTTGTAAGAGTTCAGTGCCACAATCATCCTCAAAGATGCTGTCCTTTTCTTCCACGGCAGAGGGCCCCACACTTCCATCTCCAGAAGAGAATTCTAGCCCAGGCCACTGGTTACCTTCCAGGTCTACCACTGCTTTCTCCTGGCTTTCAAATACGAGGTTGGCTTTATCAGGATCAGATAGAGATGTACTCAAAAAGGGGAGAGCCTGTGGATCCAACACGGGTCGATCTTTGCTACTTTCCGTTACAGGAGTGGGTGCCCCATCTGGCCCAGAGCCACAAGGACTACTTTGACCCTGAGCATCCCCGTAGGACTCTGTTTGGCTACACTCCAATGCCTCAGTGCAATCCTTGTTCTGGGTTTCCAGTGCTGATGCCTCTGGGCTTCGTTGGAATGCAAGGTCATCCACAGCGCCATCTTCCGGCAAGGGCAGCATCTCGCTACATTCTACCTCAGTGGCACAAGCGCAATCATCACCCTTATCTTCTGCAAGGGAGAGATCATTATGAGGCTCCGACAAAATGGCATCTGCAATGTCTCTCACATGGTCTTCCAGAACAGGTGGGAAAACACCACTTTCCAGTACAGGGGAATCCTGGTTTTCTGCAACTGATAAGCTTACGCTCAACTCTACAGCAACAGCATCTAGAGGTCTCTCATTCTGGCCTTCTGGCAAAGGATGATGTCCACTTTCTTTGGACAGCACCCCACCAGAAGGCTCTTTCTTCTGCTCTTCTGGAAGGCCTGAGGTTTCACAGCACTCTGGGACCAAAACATCTCTGCTATCTTTACTAGGGCTTTCCAGTGCAGTCAGGCTTGGGCTGCTCTCCAGCACTGAGACTACCTGGCTGACGTTGCTTTGGCCATCCGGCTTTGATGGATTAGACACACATTCCGACAGAAGGCAGCTTGAGTGCTCCATAGCCCCTTCGCCACTTATACTACTGAGCTCCAAATTATCTGTACACATCTCTCTAGGGCTTTCAGCCTCTGGGTGATGCACGCAGGGATCACTGTTGGCAGGTAAGCTGTTGGCAGCTGGAATCCTTTTGGTGCCATGAGTGGCACTGGACATCTGGTGACCATCCTCACTGACTCCAAAGCCGGACACCTCACTCGCAAAGGCCTCCGCACCTTCCTGCCTCAAGCCCTCAGGCTTCTTGCGCATGGCTCTGGGAACGTACAGAGCTCTGTCCGGCTTCCTCCGGGGCTGCCTCCTGCCCCGGCCACCTCCCTTCCGGCCTTGAGAGCCATCTGCCAGCGTGTCCATGTGATGTGGGCCTCCTCTGGGTCGGCCTCCTCTGCTTCTCGATTGGGGAGGGTGGCCTGAGCTGGGGGCACTGCTGCAGGAGCCATTTTGATCATCTGGTTCATCTGGCAACCTAAACCCAAGAGAGGAAGAACAACAGCAGAAAGGAGACATTCCAAGGAGCTTGTCATGTGTGAACTCCCTGAGAACTGCTCCCTTTCAAGCATGGGACCCCAAAACAAATCCAACCTTACCTAACCCTATTGCAAGTTTACTCCAAATTAAATCTCCCTGTGGCCCTCTGGGACTACAACTCCCATCATCCCTGACCACAGACCACATCCCTGGTTTGCCGCTTCAAGCGCATGAACATCAGGTCCTGCTTACATATTTCTTATAGAGTAGGAGCTGACAGACCTTTCCAATGGGCCACCCAATTATCAACCCTCCCCCCCCCCGTCAGGTGGCAGCTTCAAAGGAGCTCGCTGTCAGCATCAATCCCATCAGCCAGTAGCTCGTGTTTCCCAGAATTCCTGTTTGCTGCCTCATGTGGAGGGAGCTTCTGAATTCCTCAACATTCAGGAGCCTGGCTTACATTTTACATAATGGATGCAATGTGTAGCCGAGCAGTGGGGAACCTCCCAACTGGAGTCTGAATTTGGCTTGCAAAGGCTGTCTTCCCGAGCCATGCCCACTTGCCCCACACCGGATGTCCTATATGGAGGGTGTGGGGCAGATGACGTTGGAGCTGTCTGCTGAAAGAGGGTTTTGCCAACACCACTAACCATCAGCACTTGCAAACCCCTGAGGAAAATGCTTCCACTGATGTCATGCTGACAGCAGGCAATTGACAGGTGAGCAGCTCAGCCCACCTGTCAAAATGCCCCACTGGAATTGTGGGAGATAAGAATTCAGCCCACAGGCTGGAAAAGTTTCCCCGCTGCAGTCTTTGCCCTTGGGGAGAAGGTGAGTCAAGGGCTGTAGAACTGTGAGAGTCCAACCTGATCGCTGAGTGACAGACCACCGTCCTCCTCCTCCAGCCTTCTCCAACCGAAAAGCTGCTCAGCTGGTCGACATCATCCACAGTCCTGTGGATCAAGTACCGCAGGCGACTGGACAACGGAGGAAACAAGAGGACTCTGGAAAAGGAAAGGGAAAGGACAGAAGAGTCAGTAGGGAGTGGTCAGAGGTTGTGCCAGATGTCCCCCAATTTCTGGCCATTTTGCAGCTGTGGTAAAAACAACTCGCATTCATAAGGAAGGGGGTGGAGAAGACTAAAGCCCTCCAGATATCACTGAACTGCAACGCAAATCATCTCTAACCATCAAGGGTGTGTTTTTTAGTGTACAGTCAAACACCAAATGTGAGGTTGGAAAAAATGTGCATTTGGACAGCTGATAATGTACTGTTTGAAAAAATGGGGAGGGAGATATCAGACATATTAAGCAGAAATGCATGTGAAGACAGGCTCCGGCGGATGGAGCGGACAGGACCAAGAGTGGCTCCAACGGTCAAGAAGGCACTTTCTGCATATGCTGTTGAGGGAAGTGAGGGGCAGATGGGGCTCGTCCACCTGGGAAGGAGGCCCACCTAGGAGAAGGAAAACTCTGATCCTAAACCTCCACTGCCTAGTGGAACAGCTTCAGGAGAAGACAAGACTCAGGAGTAAACCCTACACAAATCCGGAGCAAAGTCACTAAGGCAGTTGGGTGGTGCCTTGTATGCCTTCTTCCAGCAACCAAACTGGTACCAAATGTCTCGCTCTGCCTTCCTTTGGACCACGTCAGCGAGGCCAGGAGGGAGGGTCTTGTCGTCTGGGCAGCCCAGGACCTCCATACAAAGAGCCCAGCCTTGTGCCCAAGGGAAGTCACTTTGGTGTGGCAAATGCAGCAGTTTGACTTCACCCCCAGAGGCCCACTCCACTGTCTCTCGAGACAGACAGGTGCCAACAAATAGGCAATGGCAGGAACAGAATGTGCACGTATTATATAAGCATAGAATGGACAGCTTCCATACTTAATTTAAGCTGCCCATGACATATAAAGCACCTTCCTCTTTTTCATCTTTGGGCATTTTCTGTGCCTGCAAGTTATGGAACTAAAGCAGATTCATCAATGAATCGTTGCTCTACAGCACAGAAGGACTCCTAACCCCTGGGGAGAAACTGCCAGTGATACAGGGTAGAAGTAAAGAGCAAGGCACACTTTGTATTTGCTCAGCTTTTCTTTTTCCCCTTTTCCTTTTTTTTGGGGGGGGGAGGGTGTCTGATTGGTATTGGGGCCTGTGCTATTTAACTTGTTCATAAACAATCTAGAGTTTGGGGTGAGCAGTGTGGTGACCATGTTTGCTGATGATACTAAACTGTGCAGGGCAGAAAGGGAAGAGCTCCGAAGAGACCTTTCCAAATGGAGGGAATGGTCAGTAAAATGGCAATGTAAGCAAGTGTAAAGTAGGGGCAGAAAATAATAGTTTCACATGAGGTCCGAACTGGCAATGACTGACCAGCAGTGAGACCTTGGAGTTGTGGTGGAGAGCTCAATGAAACTGTTTACCTGATGTGTGGAAGCTGTGAAAAAGGCAAATTCTATGCTGGAAATCATTAGGGGGAAACTGAAAATAAAACTTCCAATAGGATAATGCAGTTATACAAATCTATGATGCAACCACATTTAGAATACAGTGGTACCTCGGGTTAAGTACTTAATTCGTTCCGGAGGTCTGTTCTTAACCTGAAAACTCATCTCCCTCTCGCGTAACACTAGAACATTCAATGAAGCCGAACATTGGAAGATTCAGGATGGACAAAAGAATTTATTCACACACCACACAGTTAAACGGTGGGATTCAGTTCCACAAGCAGCAGGGATGGACACCAACGTGGAGGGGTTTGAAAGAGGGTCAGAGAAATCCAGGGCTATAAGTGGCTACTAGCCACAATGGCTCCACTCTGCTTCCAGAGTCAGAGGCAGCAGCCCTGAGGGCCAGAAGCTGGGAATCACAAGGGAAGAGGCTGCTGCTGTGCCGAGTTTGTTTGCCTGGTTTCCATAGGCACCTGGTGGGCCACTACGAGAGCAGGATGTGGAACCGAACAGGCCTTTGGTCTGATCCAGTAAGGTTCTTCTTAGGTCCTTAGCCTTTTCCAAACATGGTCGCCACGCAAGGCGCCTTCCAGCTTGGGCACCTGCAGCGCTGGACTTGGGAGACCAGCGCTAGCAAGCATGGTGTCCTCTAAATGGTGTTGGATCCTGCCTCCAATCAGAGCCAGCGCATAGCCAATGGTCAGGGACCCGGAGGGCACCTCACTGCCTCACCTGTGGCAGACAAAGGCCTAAAGCAGAGGAGGACAGCAGCATCCACCAGCTGCTGACAGGAGCCACTCACTTCTCCAGCTGGTTGTGAAGCAGGAAGTGGTCCAATTCCTCCACAATCTTGTTGACAAAATCATTCTCCGTGGGGGAAAGGAATACACCGTCCAAACAGCGCAGCGCCAGGGTGACGGTGGGGTGGTGGCCTGTCGGGAGGAGACAAAGCAGGGTTAGCCATCCGACTGCTTAAAAAGAAATGTATTCACTTTGTTAGAACAATTAAGCATGGCAAGTTAATCAACAGGCTTGATACTTGTTTGCAGATTACATTTCTTTTTTGAAAAAGCAAATTTATTGTAAAACAGTTAAAAGTAACTTTAAAAACAACTTGCTGTAAAATGAACACTGGTGGGTTAGGTTACCAGAAATGGGAATGAGTTAGTGAACTTCTTAGGAAGATAGGAAGCTGCCTTGTGGTCTACCTGGGTCAGTATTGCCTACACTGACTGGCAGCAGGAAGGAAGATGTCCCTGAGCCCTACCTGGAGATGCTGGGACTGAACCTGGGAGCTCCTGCATGCACAGCAGATGCTCCAACCTAGTCTTTCCCTAACCTGGGTCTCCAGCTGCTGTTGGGCTACAACTCCCATCATCCCCTGGCTAGCAGGACCAGTGGGCATGGAAATTGTAGTCCAAACGCAGCTGGAGACCCAAGTGAGCAGTTATGGCCCCGTCTCCTTCTAACTGGCTGTGTCGAAAGACCAGCTGCAAAGTTCTTTAAAAAGGGGAATTCATGAAAAAGAGCATCTCTGTTTCAAAGAGACAAGTTTTTAAAAGGCAGCTGGCTTAAGCAGGCAGCAAGCACCAGAAACTGAGCGTCGTCGAGAGACCCCGTCTGAGGGGTCAACCCGGGCCGGGGGGTGGGGGCGCTTTTAGGAGACAAAGGCGGGATGGGGCGCAGGGAAGAGGGAAAGGGCAGCCGAATCCCGGAGGGAGAAGCCCCGGGGGCGAAAAGACCTCGAGGAAGCAGGCGCGTTTGCTCGCTTTGAATCGGAACCATTTTGCCCCCCCCCCACCCCGCGGAAACGCTGCCGGATGCGGGGGGCCTGGCAAGCGAGGGGGCGCCGGAGGCTCCGTCCGTGCGGGCCCAGCGCCGCGCCTCCCTCCCTCCCTCCCGCCGCGCCCCCGGCCCGGCCCGGCCCGGCCCACTCGCCCGGCGCGGGGCCCGGAGAGGCGAGGCGGGCGCGCCGGAGGGGGCAGCGGGCGAGCCCCGGACAGCCGGCTGCTCGCCCCGCCGAGGGCACGTACCGCAAGGCCCGGCCTGCCAGGGCTCCCGGGGCGGCGGCGGCGGCGGCGATGATTGCGGAGGCTCCTCCCTCCGCCGGCGGGGCTGCAGTTACAATTGCAACCGCAGCTGCTGCTGCTGCAGCTCCTCCTCCTCCCCTTTTATTTCCCTCTGTGTGTGGTTGGAGCAGCCGCACAGCGCCACCTCCTGCTCTTGGATCGGGCGCAAAAAGCGCGCAGCCGGCTCCCCTCCACAGTCATCTAGGAGGAATGGGTTAGCTTACACCGTCTCTCGCCCTTTAAGGAAAGGTGGGGTACCATTACAAGAAACTAGCTTCTGAATACGCAAAGCTGGTCTGCATTTCTGGAAAACATCCATACCTGGCTAGGAGGGGTCAAAAAAGAAGAAAGGCGGGTGAAGCTTCCCGTTTTAGGATGAATTCAGCGGCAGCAAACTGGCAAGACTGAGATTGCAGTCCTAATCCCATTTATCTAGAAGTGGGCCTCATTGGTAATTAACTCTGGAGTAGATAAGCATAGCATTGCGCTACCTAGGTACCTCTGAACGTTTTTATGAAGCTTCCAGCAATGCATTTATACATTTACTCAGAACTAAACCCTACTGAGTTCTGTGTATAGAATTGCAGCCTGCACATTGTGTACAAACTATGCATGCTGCTGCTTGTAGCTGAGTAAGATCGTCTTCCATGAACACAGTTTTAACAGGGGGTCCGTAAGTGGCTGTGGAGGCCAATTCTGGATCCTCATGTCCTTCTGCAGTGGGGTTTGCATGCGGGAGTTGATCACGGTGAGGGTTTTCCAAATGTGCCTTTCTCTTAGCACCTTTCGTCCTGAGTTCGAGCATCTTCAAAGCCCATGACACCTTTGGTAAAGGCTGTTCTCCAACTGAAACGCTCACAGGCCAGTGTTCCCCAGTTGTTGGTGTTTATACTACATTTTTTAAGATTTGCCTTAAGAGAGTCTTTAAACCTCTTTTGTTGACCACCATCATTACACTTTCCATTTTTAAGTTCGGAATAGAGTACGGTAGTTGCTTTGGAAGACGATAATCAGGCACCTGAACAACATGACCAGTCCAACGAAGCTGATGTTGAAGAATCATTGCTTTGATACTCATGATCTTTGCTTCCTCCAGTTCACTGGCATTAGTTCGCCTGTCTTCCCAAGTGGTATGTAAAAATTTTTGGAGACCCCGTTGATGGAATCTTTCGAGGAGTTTGGAGATGGTGTTTACAAGTGGTCCATGTTTCACAAGCATACAGTAAGGTTGGTAGTACAATAGCTTTGTAAACAGGCATTTTGGTTTCCCTGCAAATGTCCCAGTCCTCAAGCACTCTGCCCTTCAATCGGGAGATAGCTGCACTTGCTGAGCTCAGGCAATGCTAGATTTCGGCATCTATGTTGGCCCTTGTGGAAAGGTAGGGAAAGTGATCAACACTTTCCAACATTATACCACTGAGTTGGATTTGTGACGCTGCGGAAGGGTTGTTTTGTGCTTGTTGGTGCAGCACTTTGGTTTTTTGGATGTTGAGCGATAGGCCAAGGCTTCTGCGAAGATATTTAGGATGGTTTGGAGGTCATCCTCTGAGTGTGCACACACTACGTTGTCATCAGCATACTGCAGCTCTACGACGGAAGTTATGGTAATCTTACTCTTTGCTTTCAGCCTACTCAAGTCAAAGAGATTTCCATCTGTTCAATATAAGATTTATTTCTTTTAAAAAAATAATTTTATTGAATGATTTTATGTTACAAAAAACATTACAACCATACTACCACAAAATATAATTGAGAAATAAAAATTACACACATCAATATTTTGTTTGTTATTTGTTATTTGCCGTATTATTTCCTCCCAAACATTCCATACGAAACACACACCCACACAAACACCCACACAAAAAATAGTGATAATAATGAAAATAAATATTTTTTCCTTTTTGTCTTATAAATCTTTTCTTCAATTTTGACTTCCTGTCAAGTCCCTTCGCATATATTTTATCTTACAATTGAATGTACACAAAACAATAAACCTTTCTATATAGATTTTCCAGTACATTCAGAAAACATAATAAATCCTTAATTGTTATCCACCTCCTTTTACTTCCTTTGTCACTTGAAAGCTAGCATGGTGTCAAAACTATTATTGTATTTTTGAACATATCTTCTATAATCATCCCATTTTTCTGCAAATTTTTGCTTTGAGTTTCCTCTGAGTTTGCTAGTCAACTGAGCCATCTCCACAAATTCCTGTAATTTAATTTGCCAGCCTGTTATTTTTGGAGCCTCCTGATCTTTCCATCCCTTGACAACGAGTATTCGAGCTGCTGCAGTTGCATACAAGAATATCTCTCTTAAATTTTTGGGATCTCTTTGTCTAAAATACTTTTTTCAAAAATAATTTTTATTGATTTTAACATATAAATTATAAAATGTACCACAAAACTTATCACTTATACATTCTTTTTAGACTTCCATCAGCACCTCTGATGGTCCACCGTTTTAACCACTTCTTATGCATTTCTTAACTTTATATTGCCTTTACATCTCTTAACAAATCATCCTTCCCCGTCTCCATTTTTGCAATACTGCTAATAATACTCCTCACAAAACTTCTTGCAAACCTACAAACATCATCTGATCTTCACAAATACTTTTCAAATAGTCCGTAAATTTACTCCAGTCTTCCGTGAATTTCTGGTCCCGCCGGTTTCGAATCCTTCCTGTTAGTTTATCTAGTTCTGCATAGTCCATTAACTTCATCCTCCATTCGTCAATCATCGGTAATTCTTATTGCTTCCATTTTTGGGCCAGTAATATTCTTGCTGCTGTTATTGCATATAAAAAGAGCTTACATTCCTTTCTATTTATATCACTCCCCACAATGCCCAGTAAAAATGCTTCTGGTTTCTTTATGAATGTATATTTCTACATTTTTTTCATCTCATTATATATCATCTCCCAGAAGCATTTCACCTTTTTACATTCCCACCACATGTGATAAAATGTTCCCTCTTTTTCTTTACATTTCCAACATTTATTACTGACTTTATACATTTTCGCTAACTTGACAGGTGTAATATACCACCTATACATCATTTTCATCACATTTTCTTTTAGGGCATTGCATGCAGTAAATTTTAAACCTTCTTTCCATAATTTTACCCAATCACTCAGCTGTATATTATACCCAAAATCTTTGGCCCAGTGAATCATAACCGACTTAACCTCCTCTTTGTCTAAAATACTTAATAGAAATGCCTCCGGTTTTTTAGTAAAAGTTATCCCCATCATCTTTTTTAATTCATCGTATATTTTCGCCAAAAAAGTCTTAATCTTTTCACACGTCCACCACATGTGGATCATGTCACTGTTATTGATATAAGATTTCTACCCCGGTGGGGAGTTTCCCTTTGACAATGTATGGGATCATGGTAGTGAAAATAATGAATAGAGTTGGGGTGATAACGCATCCCTGTTTCACACCTAATCCCACTGTGAATGGTTCACTTTAAGAGCCATTGTTATCTGCAATTGTTGCTGTCATATTATCATGGAGGAGCTGAAGGATGTTCACAAATTTATCTGGGCAGCCAATTTTCAGAAGGACAGTCCACAGGGCATTACAATTTACAGTGTCGAAAGCCTTAGTCAGGTCTATAAACGCCAAATACAGGGGTTGGTTTTGCTGTCTGCATTTTTCTTGAAGGTGTCAAGCAGTGAAAATCATGTCCATTGTCCCCCTAGAAAGTCAAAAACCATTTTAGGATTCAGGAAGGGTAGCCTCGGATATAATTAGAAGACGGTTTGCTAAGATCCTTGGCAGAATTTTGCCAGCTGCAGCTAATAAAGAGATGCCTCGATAGTTTCTGCAATCCGTTCTATCACCTTTTTTAAAAAGGCTGATAATTTTGGCATCCCTAAAGTCTGCTGAGATCTCCTCTCTCTCCCAGATTTTTTCAATGAGTTTGCGAAGTTGTTGTGTAAGTTCAATTCCACCCACTTTGAAAACTTCGGCAGATATCCCATCAGGTCCGCTGACTTCGTTGTTTTTCATTTGGTTAATAGCTGTACACAACTCTCCCAGATTGCAAGCTCATCTCTAATTTGTTTTTGTGGAATTTGTGAGAGGACCTCAGCAGCTACGGGGAAGTTGCGGTTAAGGAGATGCTGGTAATGTTCTTTCCAACACAGTGCAAAAGCTTATTTATCCTTTAGAAGTGTGGTACCTGTCTGTTGAGCAGAGGGGGCATATGCCATGATTTACTGGCCCATAGATGGTCTTTGTGGCTTTAAAAAAACTCTGTGCATCATGAGTGTCAGCTAAGTGCTGGATCTCTTGAACTTTTTTTATCCACCAGGTGTTCTTTACTTCTCTGGTTCTTCTTTGAACCTCAGCCTTAGCGTTGGCATAGGTTTTTTTCTTAGGGGCGTTTGAGTGTTCATTTTGTGCCTTGGTTTCCTTCCTTGAAGCCTGCGTTGAGGTATAATCTAGATAGCCATCATGGAGCGTATTAGTTGGTGATCCGTCCAGCAGTCGTCGGCACTCATCATAGCTCTGGTAAGGAGCACATCACAGCGATCTTTAGCTCAGATAATTACATACTTGAAGAGGTGCCAGTGGTTCGACTGAGGGTGCCTCCGTGATATTTCAAATTTATTTTTTTGTCAAAAGAGTGTGTTGGTAATAAGAAGGTTGTGTGCTGCACATACAGTCAAAGTAAGATTCCATTCTGGTTGCTGTTGCCAATTCCTTTGTTCGCAATAGTCCCAGGCCACAGATCGAAATCTCTCCAACTCTTGCATTAAAATCACCCAGGATGATAACTTTTTTTTTTTTTTTTAATATTTATTCAAATTTTAAGATTACAAAAAAAGAAAAAATAAAGCAAGAAAAACCAATCACATACATCTTACAAAAGAGACACACCATACAAGAAGAAAATACACAAGACAAAAAATCACAATAAAAAATAACAAAAGAAAAATTCAAATTAAACAAACCGTTTTCCCATTTACTTATTTCCGTGACTTCCTCTCACTTCTCTGCTTTGTATTCTAATTCAAATTGTATCTCCAGCAAATCCTTCTAGCCTTCTTTTCATTTGCTTATTTTAACATTTTAACATTCAAAAATATTTAATTCTCCTCTATCTTTTAATTTACACTTCATATTTACTTAATTCCATTATACTCTGTCTGCCAATACGGTCTAATATTTCTTCTCCAACCTTTCCTAACATTCTTTTATGTTACAGTGATTCTGAAGATATGTTTTAAACTTTTTCCAATCTTCTTCCATCGACCCTTCTTCTTGATCTCGAATTCTTCCAGTCATCTCAGCCAGTTCCATGTAGTCTATCACTTTTCTCTGCCATTCTTCTCGGGTAGGCAATTCTTGTGTCTTCCAGTATTTCCCAATAAGTATTCTTGCTGCTGCTGTCGCATACATAAAAAAAGTTCTATCTTCCCTTCGCACCAATTGGCCGACCATGCCCAAGAGGAAGGCCTCTGGTTTCTTTAAAAAGTATATTTCAATACCTTTTTTAATTCATTATATATCATTTCCCAGAATGCCTTGATCTTTGGGCACGTCCACCAAAGGTGAAAGAAAGTACCTTCGTTTTCTTTACATTTCCAACATTTATTATCAGGCAAATGATAAATTTTTGCTAGCTTGACTGGGGTTAAGTACCACCTGTAAATCATTTTCATTATGTTTTCTCTTAAAGCGTTGCAAGCCGTAAATTTCATACCTGTGGTCCATAACCGTTCCCAGTCAGCAAACATAATGTTATGCCCAACATCTTGCGCCCATTTAATCATAACAGATTTAACCATTTCATCCTGTGTATTCCATTTCAACAGCAGATTATACATTCTTGACAAATTTTTAGTTTTAGGTTCTGTCAGGGAACTGCCATCGGAAGGAAGGGAGGTGAAAGGACTCAGACAGGTTGGAAGAGACTCAGCAGCTGAAGAGGGAACCAGCAAGGGGAGAGAAGCTGAACTGAGGGAGGTGAAAGGGCTCAGACAGGTTGGAAGAGACTCAGCAGCTGAAGAGGAAACCAGCAGGGGGGAGAGAAGCTGAACTGAGGGAAAGGGAGCTGGAGGGATGGCTCAGAGATACTTCCAGCGAAAACAGTGGTGAGGTTTCCGGACCTCCTGTAGGGACACCCACTCCTCGCCGGAAACTGTCACGCAGAGAGTCCAGAAGACGTGTTTCCGTTAAGGAGCTTTTATGTTGGAAGCGAATACGAAAGCAGCCACTGTCGGAATCTTCTAGTGACTAGAGGAGCCATGTCAGAGGGGCTCCGTCACAGACAGAGGTTTGTGGACTTGAACAAACTCTGAGGGAATACGATTTTACGCACAAGCAGCTCATCTTCCCATCACAGGTTCTAACAATTCCGTTTCCAGTTTAGATTTTTCCTCCTGGAAACCAATCTTTTTGTCTAAGTTAAAAACCTCCCTTATTTGATAATAATGCAGCCAATCTCGAACTTTGGTTTTTAATTTGTCAAAACTCTGCAATTTTAATTTATCTCCAACTTGTTCTAAAATTTCACAATATTTTGGCCAGTTTGTCTCCATATTAGTTTTTTCAATGCCTTTGCCTCCATTGGTGACAGCCACCTTGGTGTTTTACTTTCCAACAAATCCTTGTATCTCACCCAAACATTAAACAATGCTTTCCTGACAATATGGTTCTTAAAGGCCTTATGCGCTTTAACTTTATCATACCATAAATATGCATGCCATCCAAAAACGTTATCAAAACCTTCTAAATCCAAAATGTCCACATTTTCAAGAAGTAGCCAATCTTTCAGCCAGCAAAAGGCGGCTGATTCATAGTAAAGTTTAAGATCCAGGATGATAACCTTGGGCATCTCTGATAGGATGGCATCCAGCTAGGGGGAAAAAATTTCTTTAATGTCTTCATTGGCATCCAGTGTTGGTGCATAAGTGCTTAAAATAGTAGCCTGTTGGGTTTGGGCAAGTTTTAATTGAAGGATTGAAAGTTGCTCATTAATGCCGGTAGGGACTTCTGACAAGAGCTTCACGAGATCATTTTTGATAGCAAAGCCTACTCCATGTATTCAACATTCTTGTTCAGGTAGACCTTTCCAGAAGAATGTATAGCCTCCTTTTTCTTCCTTCAGTTGTCCCTCTGCTGCTCTTCGGGTTTCTTGAAGCGCTGCAATATGGATGTTAAAACATCGCAACTCTCATGCAATGATGACAGTCTTGTGTTCGGGACACTCATTACAGTGATACCTCCAGTTACGGACTTAATTCATTCCGAAGGTCTGTTCTTAAGCCAAAACCGTTAACCTGAGGTGCGCTTTCACTAATGGGGCCTTCCGCTGTTGCCACACCGCCTGCGTGCGACTTCCGCTCGCATCTCGGGGCAAAGTTCGCAACATGGAGCATCTACTTCCAGGTTAGCAGAGCTCGTTACCCAAAGCATTCGTAAGGAGGATGGTACATAACCCAAGGTTCCACTGTATCTGTGTTATCCAACAAAGTCCTATATTCCATGTTCTACATATGCAAAGCATATTCTTTCCCTCAAAGAATTCTGGGGACTAGTTTATGCCTCCCAGAGTTACAATTCCCAGAAAACCTGAGCAAACTACAGTGCCCATAATTATTTGAGGGGGCCTGAGCCCAAGAGAAGGGATGGGAACCCTTCAGGCTGTGAGCCAAATGTGGTCGTCCTTCCAGATCACATCTTTCACTGGTTCTGCTCTGTGCCCTCAAGAACTTTTGCCTGGATGGATTATCCTTGAGCTGTGGTCATGCTTCTTGCTTTTTAGAAATGTAATAATAATAATTGAGCTGTATAAATTCACCGAATATGCGAGATGGAGCAGGGATTTTTCTGTAACTGGACCAAACTGAGGAATTTAGTGACAACCCCATTTGAAAGAAGGCCTTGTATAGACATACAGCAAATATAACTCTTGGATTGTCAGAATTTATGAAATAAATATTTGCTTGTCACATCGGTTTACAAATCTTTGCGACTGCGTAGCATTCTTAGAACTGGAGTTTGGTATGAGACAACTTTAGGGAAAAGAAACTGTTGAATAATTAATTATTTGTTAAACTTTAATAAAGTACTTTCAAAGAATATTTTGAAAATCATATACACCCAGTTCTTTGCAGCCTGACAGAATGGGAGGCTCATAAAATAAAAATTGCAACTGTTTTGTTTTTGTTTTTTTAAAAAATAGAAGCTGGAAGTTGAAAGATAAGGTTCCTTCAAACCACACCTCATCTCCCTCGATGGGCCCTACATTCGTTGGTGCCCATTCTTATGTAATATGTTAAGCCACTTGTATCAGTTAAAAACCATATCAGATCATTGTCCATGACACATAGGAATTACTAAAGTTTTGGCGTTTAATGTTTAATAGCCCCCTTTATTAGAAAACTTACTTGAACTTCAGTTGATAGAGGGTAGTAGTCCCTTAAGCTGTTTCAGTTGTTCTGTGGTCAACATTCCTAGAATCTCCCCTGATTCCAGAATGCCCATTGTCTGTCTTAAAGGGCCCTTAAAAGGGCCTTTTGCAATCCCACAACTGTTTTGGACAGACTTCTATGCTGTGCACAAGAAGACGTTTGGGATGATTTGTTTCTCTGTTGCTCCAGGCAAGGCCCATATTTAGCCCAGGGAGCCAGGTTCCCTTCTTACTAAGCTTCCGGGGGCCACATGCCAGTGGTGGATGGGAAGGACCAAAGCAAAAAGAGAGTGGGGGTGCCCATCCCTCCCATTCTCTCTCACACACATAACAAACAAAGCTCATTCATTCATTCATTCATTCTCTCACACAAACACTCTCACCTTTCCACCTTTCCACTTAGGGACAAGCAAGCAAGCATGCAAACTTCAGCCATTTCTGTTTCCCTCTGACATCCCTGCTTCCAGTCCTAGATAACCAGCATTCCGTCTGATTTGTTTGCAGAGAGATTAGATGGTGCCAGCTGTTTCATGAGCATCCATCCCGATTTATTCGTGGGGAAATTAGACAGCAGTTGTGTCAAAGCAAGTGTTATCCCACAATTTCTAGTGTGCTTTCCTTATTGCAAATAAATTCATTCATTCATTCTGATCTTTTGGAGGAAAGCTCCAAATCAACTTGCTAGGAAGTGATTGAATCCCACCCAAAAAGAGTGAGTCTGGAAATTCTCCTAGTCCTGTTCTCCTAGTTTCCCACAGTGGCAAGCCAGATCCATGAGTCTCACCTGAGGATTCTACACAAATATATTTGTTGCATTTCATTTCTCTCCCACCTTCCCTCCAAGAAGTTCAAGGGGGCATACATGGCTGGTCCCCCTCCACATTTCATTCTCACAACAACCCTGTGAGGTAGAATTGGAAGGGACCACAAGGTTTAAGGCAGGCTGAGAACAATGACTAGCCCAAGGTCACCCAGTGAGCTGCAGGATTTGAACCCTGGCCTTCCAGGTCCTAGTCCAACCTTCTCCCCACTAGGCCCCTTTGGCTCTCTCTGAGAGGGTGGGTGTGGCCTGGATTCCATCACATCATATTGGCTTCTGCCAGGGGCATTGTTGGTGGGTATTCAGTGGACCACCACATGAATCCCTCCATTCAGTGCCTGGTGAATGACTGTGGCAGCATCTTCACTGGCAAGTGACCTTATGACCAGGGTCATAAGGTCACATCTCAGTCACACATGGCTTCTCTGTGAATTCTATAGTTTGTTAATAGGGCTGGGAATTGGATCTCTGTGGGAGATAATTTATTTATTTAAAAAACGTATATACTGCCTTTTATCCAAGGATCACAGGGTAGTTTACAGTATAAAAGCACAAAAATACATAACAGCAAACAAGAATAACTCCCTACCTGCAGTTCTTTGGAAGAAAGCGTGACAGTCAACAATGGATATAGAGCATGAATGTGACCTCAAGCTGACAATAATGCTGTATACGTTATCATGTTATTAGATTAGATTTTGTTTCTGCTGCCCTTAGTTGTTGGTTTATGTATTTCTGGTGTTTCTTACCCACCCTTCAGCCTAGGCTCCCAGGTTGATTGACAGAGACTGATGATTTTGCAGTTGTTTCCTTAATCATCAGTAAAGCATAACAATAAAAACATAAAGCACATAACAGTTTTTGTGCTGCTGACTTCAAAGCTGGCTGAGCAAACACTTTAAAAACTTTGCTTTTATGGCATGCTGCAAAATGCAATGCCAATGAGACCCCAGCTGCCCATACAGCATGAATTAGCATATGCAAATGATATGCAGATGTGCATCATGGTCCTGTGCCCTTTTCAGTACCTGGCAGTCCTTCTTGCCATTCTATGGACTGATTAATGTGGGAGCACTTTCCCTGGGGAGCTGATGCAAAATCCATCATGTTATTATTATGTTAGGGTTTGTTTCTACTGCTATTCTTTTTTATTTGTTTATTATTTATGTATGCATTTATTTATTATTTCTTGCTTGCCCTAAGGTCCCAAGATAGGTTGCACAGACAAAAAATACAATTACAAAATCTTCAGTATTCTGTAATCTGTGGGTCGTATTGTTATGCATTATTTCATGCCTGAGAGGCAACTGAAACCCATCTCAGTTTGCAAGTGCTGTTTTAGAGAGAAACTATTCCTAGACGATGCACAAGCTAACCAGATCTCACAGCCATTAGTCCTTTGAAATGAGCTGAAAGCAAAAGCCTCTTTCTGTAAGGATCTGCACTTTTATTTTGTATAAAATCAGGGACAAAACTGGAGGAACTGAGGGGTTATGGAATGCTGACAGTACATTATAAGAGTTTTGAAGAAAACAACATGCAATCCAGCCAGTGTGGTGTCATGGTTGAAGTGTTGGAATAGGAACTGGGAGACTCGAGTTCAAAGCCCTACTCTGCAATGAAGACCTAACTCACAGGGTTGTTGTAAGGATAAAATGAGGGAGGACAACTATGTATGCCTCCTTGGAGGATGGGAGAAATATAAAATAAATAAAGAACAAGCAAGCTGTGGCATGTTCCATTGCTTTATACTGTATAATTGCTGAATAGTACTGAGTTTAAATGCACCTTGAATACCTGTTTACTGCAAACTGCTTTTCATTGCTATATATACTGGGAATTTAGTGCTGCTTTTTATTTTAAACTGTAATCTGCTGCTTGTTTTAAACATATGTTGCTGTATTTATCTGCTACGGCTTTGTATGACTTATTTCCTTCCCAGGCACCCTATGCATCTTTCACAGGATCCCAAAACAAAACTGAGGTCTCCTTTTCTCCACAACCCTGCTGGGTGAGCAGATAGTGAGGGCTGAATTTACACATCACAATAAGCTAGGATTGCTGGCTTTCTGTGGTTTATTGTGAACATGCAGCATGCACCATGCTTGGCACAAGCAGGAGAAACATGCCAGGAAGCCACAGTTAAGTTTGGCTTGCTCGCATGTTACACTGAACACAGATACAAACTGTCTCTGTACATCTGCAAGTGTTTGTGTGAAAGTGTGTGTGCTGGTTGATTGTACAGCTCAACTATTGCACACAGAGTATGCACACTCGTGAACGTTGCATGTAAAAGCGCTTTCCTTGTGACATCCAAACTTTGGATGGTTACGTACTGTACTTGTTTCTCCTGAAGCCTGAGTCATTCCCCAGCATCACACCATGGCGTGTTGTTGTTGGCTCTGGAATCCTAGAGAGAACCAAAGCATGATCTCATATGCAAACATTGCAAGGAAGCCAGACTTAATTGCAGCTTCCTGCTTCTTTCTCCTGCTCATGCCAGACAGGGAGTGAAGCAGGAGCGATCAGGCACTAGGGCAAATCGCAATAAGCCAGCAAGCCTGGTTGATGTGAAAACTCCACCTTTCTCTTCCATGGCCAGCCTCTTGAGAAGCTTCTTGCCCACAAAGTGTTAATCTCTCTCTGCATTTCTCTCTTATTTTTGATTGCTGCGAATTACCATACAGATTGAGAAAGCCAGGTCTGTGATTGCTGAAGAGCCTTTGCTTCAAGTGGCCAAGACCTTCAGCAAGATCCAGCCTGCAGCCAGACCCTCACTCTGCACCTGCCTCTGATGAGAATGGCCTCTAAGGACTCCAATTGGGAAAGGAACCTAAGGAGGTGATGATGACGATTGATTTAAATCTGGCTGTTTCCAGTCAGCCCCCTGGAAGTCGGTGCTAACACTGTTCTCCTTTCCTCAAATCTACATCAGCTACCCTGTTCTCCCCCCTCACTCACACACACCCTATCAAGACCCTGATCCCACCTGAGGTGCTGTTTGAGCTTAATTTCCTCAGGCAAGAAATTGCATTAGCCACCAACTGTATTCCTTTTACCCCCTTGTGCCTGCTAGTTTCTACTCAGCAGTCTCAAGAAAGGGCCATAGCTCAGAGGTGGAGCATCTGCTTTGCATGCATAAGGTCCCAGGTTCAATCCCCAGATAAGGCAGGGAAAGATTCCTCTCTGAAACCGTGGAAAGTCCCTGCTAGTCAACAGTCCTGAGCTAGATGGTGCACCCCAGATAGGGGAGATATATAAGCCGACGTCAGGGCAGAACCTCTCTGTTGCTGCAACTGCATCATTAAGTGCACACCTAGGAGTAGCTGGGGACGCAGGTGGCACTGTGGTGTAAACCACAGAGCCTAGGGCTTGCCAATCAGAAGGTTGGTGGTTCCAATCCCCGCGACGGGGTGAGCTCCCATTGCTCTGTTCCAGCTCCTGCCAACCTAGCAGTTCGAAAGCATGTACAGTGGTACCTCTGGTTACGTACTTAATTCGTTCCGGAGGTCCGTTCTTAACCTGAAACCGTTCTTAACCTGAAGCACCACTTTAGGTAATGGGGACTCCTGCTGCTGCTGCTGCCGCGCCACTGCCACACGGTTTCTGTTCTCATCCTGAAGCAAAGTTCTTAACCCGAAGTACTATTTCTGGGTTAGCGGAGTCTGTAGCCTGAAGCGTATGTAACCTGAAGCGTATGTCACCCGAGGTACCACTGTAGTACAAGTAGATAAATAGGTACTGCTCCAGTGGGAAAGTAAACAACATTTCCATGCACTGCTCTGGTTCGCCAGAAGCGGCTTAGTCCTGCTGGCCACATGACCCGGAAGCTGTCTGTGGACAAACGCTGGCTCCCTTGGCCAGTAAAGCGAGATGAGCTCCGCAACCATAGAGTCGTTCGCGACTGGACTTAACAGTCAGGGGTACCTTTACCTTTACCTTTACCATTAGGAGTAGCTGAGACACATAGCACTGATGGACTTTCCCTAATTTGTAAGTGTACTTTTGACAATAAAGAGTTAATTCCTCACTTTGGGCATTTCTTGCCTGACAGTGCCATATTTGAAGCAAATTCCCAGCAGGTTTTTCACTAGAGGTCTTAACTGGAGTAGCCAATGTGGTGCCATCCAGATGTGGTTGAACTCCCACCAGACCTGACCACTGGCAATACTGGTTGAAGGTGATGGAAGTCCCAACAACACATTGGCTGCCCCTGACTGAACCCAGCCTTCTTCACAATTGGTGTGACTGACAGAGCTGGCCTGGAAATGCAGAGGTGGGCTTCTAGTGGCAGCAAGCAGCTCCTGTTCTACATTTCCCACAATGCCTTGGGGCAATGTTACATCGGACATTCTGCAGAACTGTAGGAAATGTAAGATGGTGGCTCATTTTCTCAGGTCATCTGCAAATGCACTTCAGATGTTGATGGGACAAAGAGGAGAACCTGTCCTAAACACCTTTAAACAAGGAGGGGGGAATCTGTGACCCTCCAGGTGTTGTTGAACTCCAACCCATCAGCCCCAGCCTTCAAGGGCAGTGGTCAGGCATGATGGGAGCTGCCACCCAGAAGGCCAATTTCTGCATCCCTGCCTTAAAACATGGGCAGGTTTGTATGAGAGAAGCCATCACCTGCTGACCCTTTACTCTAAACTGAAAAATCCAAAAGGTGCAACCTTTTCTCTTAGGGGAGTTTCTTGAATCATTTGGTTTCCCTTTTCTGAGATGAGGGAAGGGACAGAACAGCAGCTGCACTTTTTAAACAGCTGATTAAACAGAGCAGATCTATCAGTGCTGCAACAAGGAGAAACCAGGACGGTCCCCACAGAGCGTCAGCAAAAGGCTTTCTCCCACCCACACCAACTGAGCAGCAACTTGACTGTAATTGGGGTGTATTTAGTCATTACAGTTAACTCAGTAATTATCACCTTCATCTTTTTCTTTCTGTTAAAAGTTTGTTGGAAAGGAAAAACTGGGGAAGAAATGGCACTAGAGATGTCCCACCATGGTGGAAGGCAAGAGAATCACATCTGCACATCTGCCATTTTCTGCTTTGGCTTTTCAAAGAGTGTGTGTGTGTGTGTGTGTGTGTGTGTGTGTGTGTATTAAAAAAATAAAATTAAAAACCCTAACTTCTGTCACATTTTACAGTGAAATGGTGGCAGGCGCCCTCCTTCTCCCCCTTCACCTGCCACTCGAAGCTATCAGACAGGATGAGATTATGCAAGGAAGACAGTAATTAAATGGTACAAGTAGGAAAAGCCACTTTAAAAGCCATTGTTATTGAAATGAGACCGCCCCCCTGGTGTAGGGAGAGCCTTAAGGCAGCAGCCCTGATGAAATTTCTTCAGATAGGCAGGGCTGTGATGGTTAACTGGTAAATCCAGACTGCTGCAACCAAACAGGAAGTTAATTATGTGAATACAATTAAAGTGTGCTTGTTTGTTTCACTAAGTTAGTAGCAGCCCAGGTAATTGTGACCAGCCTTAGGACTCTGGGAAGTGGTGGGTAAGTCAAACTGCTCCTCACTCGGCCATAGTCTCAGGGAAATTACTTCTCCCAAGCTGCTATTTGCATTTCAAGGGAGATTCCCATTCACATCAATGTAGGCTTCTCTTGAGTTGCCAATAACTTCAGAGAGGATGTTTCTGTAGGGATTGTGGCATGGAGAGAAAGAGGGTTTCTGGACTGGGGCTATTTTGGGGTGGGATGTGATGACAAGAGGGAATGCTTGGTGTTCTTTTTCTGGAAAAAGTGGTGCCAGAATTCACCATGAAGGCCTCCCTTGTTCTCTTAGAATGGCAATGGCACCCACCTGAGAGGTGCTAGAACTGGACTTCCGGGGTGGCGCCATCGGCAATGGCGGACTCCCTCTGATCTGGAGGGACTAGCTCCACGCGAAACAGGTCTTTTCCGCTACAGCGAAGCGGGGACCCTTTCAAAAATCACAGGCGGATGAAGCCTGTGACAATGGGACTCGGTGGGCACCTTTAGCGCCCCCAACCCGCAAAAGAACCCACTAACGGGCTCTGGAGCGAAGAGGGGAAGTGGCGCAGTGCTGAGAGTCAACTGCTTCTTCCGTGGAGTGAAGC